GTAGGGATTGAGAAGAGGGGGACGGAGGGAGAGGTAAACTGGGGAAGCGGAAAGTGACCTCAGGAGGCCGGCGCGGGCGTCGTTGCTGAGGTGTCGCTTATGGCGGTCGTCACGTGCTGTCACCAGGGGGGGTGGGAAGACCCAGCCCGTGCCTGACTTTCTATCAGATATGAGTCTCAGGACTGCTTCACTGATTTGCATTCACTGGGACTAGAGAATGGATGTCTGTGTCAGATTTAGGGTATCCCAATTCATGAAATTACTACTACCTTCACCTGTAGCCATCATCTGGTTTCTTGTATCGCTTGTTCGGAATCTCTGTGGTACTACAGTAAGTGAACGGGGATTAGTTCCAGCTATCACTTGCCTGATGAGCCTGAATGAGTTCAAATAGATGATGAGATTGAGATTGTCTTGAGGTCTATATCACTTATGTTATACTCAACTCATAGATGATGAGGGATTGTAACTTCTACTTCCCTTGCACAGGACTATGTGCTAGAGGCTATCCATCATCCACCACTGCACCTATAACCCGGACTTTCGTCAACGCTCAACGCGACGTTGAAATCCATAAGACTTACAAGGCTACGGCCTGGGCTGCTATGATCCTAAAAGCAATGGAGGTAGCTCAATCTCGTGCCCGAGTCCAAGGGGAACTATTTAGTGGTCAGGCACCCACAACCTGCACTAACTCTGCGCGGATTTAGTAGCCTGCATCTTGCTTGCCTTGCATTAGAAGTCGTTCCCATATCAGAGGAAGTAGTGGATCCAGTCAACTGAGTGCTACTGTAGGGAGTATGTACTGTTGTCCAAGTGGTGATTTGGAAATGGCGGCAGAGCAAGTAAAGCCACATGGCCGGTTCCATCCGAACGAGCCACAACATCGATGACGTCAGCATCGGGCCCAGACCATGAACTCGATTCCACACTGTGTATGCAGTACTGGATAGTGTATGTTTATGTTCCTCTACTTATAGGTGTGGTCTCAAATAATGATCTTAATAGGCAGTCGAGGTATCTCATTGAACTCTGTGATGCTTTCCTTCGTCAGTTTGCATGCGGGGTCGTGCCCGGTCATATATTATACACAAGCTAGAGTCAATGTACGTATATGGGATAGACTAGATATATATAGCACAGATCCAGACAACCAGGTATAACACAACCTGGGCGAGCTTTTGTCGCCAGCCATAAGAATCGTTAAACATTGCACAGTCATTACTATGTCCAGTTATCGATATCAAAAGAACCGAAAGTCGCATGATGAAGACGCTCAAACATCACTTCCGGATCCGTGCACGCGCTGCACCTGTTGGTCGACTTTACGAACCAGCCGAAATCGCCGAAGCACGTGGGATTCATGCATCAAATGCATCAACGGCAAGGGAGTAATTGTTTATAGTCTGCAGATCCTAGACTGCGCAGTGCGCACAAGTGAAAAGCCTTGGCAAACCATAGGATCAACGACTTAGAAGACTGGTGTGGTCTAAGAAAAAACAAAACGCGACATCCGAGCGCTACACGCATCAGGCTCATAATAAGGCACTTTTTATAATTGGGATATCGCTATTGCTGGCCTCTGATCATCACAGTTTCAGGTATAACATCATCATAAACACACAACCATTGCATGCTTGGTCCTAGCGCAAATTCACCTCATTCACGTCAATTTAGTGGTGGAACAAACGGGTACCCTGCTCAACAAAGACAATGCCAAGCTTCTCCGAGGTCTCGAAGACGGGGCCGTCGTTCTGGCTACCGCTGGGCGCAGCGATGTACTTGACACCCGAGCGAGCGGCACGGAAGACATTGTCGATGAAGGGGAACTGCGTTCGGTGTTAGTTAGGTAGTCACAATGTCACACGAAGATAAGATCAAACTTACGAAGGCATCAGAGGAGACAGCGACCTCACTCAGCTTCTGGAGCCAGGACTCACGCTCCTCCGCGGTAAATGGTGCAGGAACTGTCTCGAAAACACGCTCATACTCCACACGCTCAGCCTCATTGCGAGGAGTTTGCCCCGAGCAGAGCAGGTCAATAGCGTTGCTCTTATCGGCACGCTTGGTGCCCTGCTTCCACTTGATGTTCAACACACGGTCGTGGAAGCGCATCCACCAGTTATCGGCCTTGTCACCAGCCAGGCGAGTGCAGTGGATACGGCTCTGCTGACCGGCGCCCAGACCAATGACCTGGCCGTTCAGAGCATAACACACAGAGTTCGATTGCGTGTACTTCAGGGCAATGGTCGCAACGGTAAGGTCACGCAGGGCGGAGTCGGGAAGAGCCTTCAGGTCCTTAGGAGTGATGATAGTGTTGAAGGTCTTCTGGGGGGAGATGACGACATCGTTGCGGTGCTGGGTGAGCTGCACACCGTACAAAGTGCGAGTCTCCTCGGCAGCAGGAACATAGTTCTCATCCATCTGGAGAACAAGGTACTTGCCACCCTTCTTCTTGGAGAGAATCTCCAGAGCCTCGGGGGTGTAACCGGCAGCGATCACACCGTCAGAAACCTCCCGGGATACAATCTTAGCAGTAGGAACATCGACGATGTCGCTCAGCGCAAGGATGTCACCGAAGCTGGACATACGGTCGGCACCACGGGCACGGGCGTAGGCTTGAGCGAGGCCGGAGGTCTCAATGCCCGGGATGTCATCAACCATGTAGACCTTACGCTCCTTCTCGTTCAAGGGCACACCGACAGCAGCGCCGGCGGGGGAAACGTGCTTGAAACTAGCAGCGGCAGGGTAGCCCAAGGCCTGCTTGAGCTCCTTGACCAGAGCCCAGGCATTGAGGGCGTCCAGAAGATTCACGTAGCCGGGAGATCCGTTCAGAGCCTTGAAGGGAAGCTTGCCCTCCACCATGAAGGCAGAGGCAGGCTTCTGGTGAGGGTTGGTACCGTAGCGCAGGGGGAGGTATTTCTCGCCATTGCCAGCGTACTCCTTGCGGAAAAAGCCGGAGATGGCAGTGTCGTAGTCGGCAGTGTGCTCGAAGGCCTTGAGGGCATAGGACTTGCGGCTAGCGTCGGTGATATCGCCGGCCTCCAGCTCCTTGAGGAACTCAGGGTAATCCTGAGGGTCAGAGAGGATAGTCACACGGGCGTGGTTCTTCGCCGCAGCACGGAGGAGGGTCACACCACCGATATCGATCTCCTCGACGGCCTCGGGAATGGTGACGTTGACCTTCTTTACCGTCTCCTTGAAAGGGTACAGGTTGCAGACAACAAAGTCGACCTTGGAGATGTTCTGATCGGCCAAGTCCTTCTCGTCGGACTCGATGTCACGAGCAAGAATGCCACCGTGGACTGCAGGGTGGAGAGTCTTGACACGACCACCCAGCATCTCCGGAGCGTGGGTGATGGCGGAGACATCTCTAATCGGGCCATCAGCTCTACACCTTGCTGGATAGAACGAAGAGGATATGGTCCTAGTCGTGACCACATCAATGTGATGACTCACTCGACAGGGAAGCCCGCCTCCCGAATCAACCGCGCCGTGCCACCGGAGGCAAGCAACCGGACATTGTGCTTGACGAGGCCCTTGGCCAGGTCGAGCAGACCAGTCTTATCGTAGACGGAGAGGATGGCTAGAGATTCAAACACAGTGGTCTCAAGTCAGCCCCAGGTTTCGATCAATTCACAAACGCAGCAGTCAGGCTCAGATGTGGAGACGGCGACCGGACCAATTCCATTGAACAGGCGAACCATGAAGGCTGCCGCGGACGGCAGACATGGAGGGGAGCGAAGGGCAAAGGCAGAGAGGGATTCATGAAACTTACCAGACTTTTGTTGAGACATCCTGAAAGACACTGACAGTGAGAACAGACACTGGGAGTAGACAAGTCAGAGATGAAGAGAGGAGAGAGGAAGCGATGCTTGAGGGGGGAGAAAAATGTTCGGGTTCAGTCAAGAGGATTGGAGGCCCCCCACAACCCCTCCACCCCTCCAGGTCGATGGATCAATTGGAACTTTGAGAGCTCCGAAGGACTAAAGATAGTCTAGTGCCGGGAAAGAGTAGTAGCACATACCTCAAACTCCGCGGGAAAGAGATCGTGTTGAAAGAAAAAAGGAAAGACAAGAAGGAAACAATTGAGACTCAGGAACAGGTCCTTTGCAGATATTTTTTTTCCTTGTCGGTTTCAAAAAGAGAAAAAAAGGCTCCGGTGGAATGAGATTGTCCCAGGGTGGTTGGTGCGCATTTCTTTTTTGAAAAGCCCAATCGCAGGTGCAGCTCATTGCTTCATCGCTCACTTTGCGCGGGGTCCTTCGCCGCTTTCGGACCTGATGTCGATGACGATCAGTGGCGATTACTTAACGAGGTGCTGTAAGTGGTAAGGAACTGACTGTGGGCCAGCTAATAGTTGCTGGCCATGGGTTGTGGCCTGTGAAAGTGGATACAGAAGCAGCAGCAGCAGCAGTCAGCTAAGAGAGGTACTATGGATATTGAATAGTGATAGTGTATACAGTTATGCTGCACAACAGCTGATTACTCAGCACTGCCCGCATCGCCCAAGAAGCTCGCCTATGAGTCACATGATAAGTGCACGGACCATCCACACTGTCCTACAAAACCCGCTCTCCATCGCGGCCCCCTTCTTAATTTTCTTTTTTCTTCACATGAACAACGCAAAATAACAACATTCTTAAAAAAAGCGTTCCTACGAGGATATACTTGTATAACCTATGAAGTACGGAAATCGTCAAACAGAATGGAGACAAACTGCTCTAGCAGAGTGTCGATCTTGGGTGCAGTGCCTGCTTGAACTCCATAGTAGGGATTGCAATGATTGATTCTACAATCCTTTTCGTGCCTCTCGATTGGGATTTGCCTCGTAGTTGGAAGTAAAAAAAAAAAAAAAAAGAAAAAAAGAAACTGTATCATATCTGATATCTGCCGATGCATTCAATGCTATCTGGATCAATTCTATCTGGTAGCAGACCTGTCTCTGTCATGATGGAAACTAAGTGTGGAAATGCTTGATGCGAAGGGCATGATGAGCCTAAATCCATAAAACGAGAAAGAGAGAAGTGTATACAAAGGAATTACTAGCGGTGCGGACAATATCGTGCAGGCAAAGCCAAGTCTCCTGCGCAGATCGCTCACTTTTTGAGCGACTCTCGGTTACCAATCGCCAATTGTCGGCCTATGTTGCCGAAGCAAACGCAGGCGCAGAACAAAACGCTGGCAAGCCAGGTCCGCACAGCAATGCTCTCCTGTGTCATTCCGATGTCCAACCCGAAGTCGCGCCCCGTGACGTTGGCCAACAAATTGGTGGGGCTGGAGGGCTCCAGAGAAGATGGCACCAGATCGGGGTTCACGCCCAAGACAACGCCCATTCCAGCCAACCCAACAACAGTCGACAGAAAGAATCCTGTTCGAGTGCGATCGATAAGATACCACAAGACAGGGTTCACAAGTGCGAGGGTCACCGAAGCTTGGGTAGTCGATTCCCAGGGAAGTCGGCGCTGGAGATCACAAGTAGAGTCAGAAACATGACGCTGAATGTAAGCGAGAGATTGCACAACGTACCATAGCAAACGCGATACCAACAAAAGCTCCAACGCTGCGGACTGCCGCAACCCACGATAGTGTGCGTTCCACAGCTTCCTCATCACTCGCCGAAGATGTAGTTTTTGTGCCGTGCTTGAATAAGTCATCAAAGAATTGGTCAAACCAAGGGAGTACGTTGCCCAGCAAGACCCCAGCAACGCCCCAGAATGCCAGATACTGCCATGACCCGTAGTAATGAATGTTCTCCAGCTTCACCGGGGTGATCCAATGATTCTCGTGTAGGTGAATTATGATGATTCCGTACACCACTCCGAAACCAAGCAGGAAGGCGCTCTTCAGCGCCTGGGGTAGGATCACCCCGCGGAAGAGTCCCTGGCTAAGGCGCGACCGCGACCGCTGCAGCTTTCCCGGAGCTGGACCTTGAATGACTGGCCGAATGCCAGCATTCAGTGCTTCGGGGGTATGGGCTTCCGTGCCCCACGGTGAGGAGTCATCGCGAGTGCTCTCGAATGCGGTCGGAGAATAAATGCCGACAAGGGTTGGCGATGTCAAGTTCATGATCGATACATTGCGGCTAACATTCGCCGAACCGCCTTCGCGGGGACTCAAAAGGTCCGAATTGGCAGGTTCGGCAGGGGAGGAGGGCTCTTCGGGGGTGAGGTCGAAGACGCGCCTCGGACGCGGACGAAGGATTGTGGACTCATCAGACATGACAGGCGAGGACGTCAATTAGGTGTCCCGATTCAGTGGGAACCGAAAAGGTGCACTAATTGGGATTTCGAAATCAGAACAAACAGGCGCAAGTCGTTCGCTCGTTCGGTGCGAGAGCTTGTGGGACGGAGAGAGCTCTATCTGGAGGAGAATTAGGCTGGCGCTCCAGTGGCTATTTAAAGCCCGTGTATGTTGAAGTCTGGGCAGGCCGAAATGCACTCTGAAGTAGATGACAATCCTGCTGCCAACGTTGTGCGCTCAGCGGTGGGGAAAGGGAGGAGAGCAAAGGATCAGAGGTGAGAAAACAAAAGGCCAAAGCGTGCTGATTGCTGCAAAGGCACAAAGGGGGTCAAATAGGGAAGGGAAGGGGAGGAGAGGGGGCTCTAAGGGCAGAGCGAGAGAGAGACACACAGAAAGATAGAGCCACAGAACGATTGGATCACCCGGGACAGATTTGCCTGAAGGCTGAGCTAGACTGGAGTTGAGCTAACAGCCTCTGTGGAGTAGAGCACGACTCATACGAGCAGGCAACTGGGGGCGTGTGGGCTGGCGGAAAAAAGGTGCAGGATCTGCAGTGGATCGACTCAAAACCCACAGGATGAATAATGGTGGAAGGTGAGGACAGAGTGTATAAGACTAGAAACAGAGCAGCAATTGAGAGTGATGAGGACAAGTCTAGGACGGGGACAGAATGAGGAGACGGACAATTGAGGGGACTCGCTTAGTAGGATTTTCAATAGGAATTCGAGGGGGGGAGGGTGGTTTGAAATGTTTAAGTGACATTGAAGAATGTTGGGAAGGGAAAGTGAAGGAGGGAAAATCTACCGCAATCACATGCAAATTGTCCCAACAACAACAGCAACAACAAGAACAACTAATACCATCTCACCCAATTTCCTTCAATCCCCCGACTACTCCGTACTTATGCTCTACTGACTACCTAACCATGAGTCGATCGAGCATGATGTGACCGAGATCAAGCTGTGCTCTGATGGCAGGCACAGCCAGCGACGCCCTCTCACGCACAGACTGCCCCCTCCTTGCATTCGGTGGTCGTGGTTGGAACATGTGTCAATATTCTTCTTGAGATGTTCGTCAAGGTGCAGAGGAGCTGAAGCGGGCCACCAGCTACCTTCAGAATTGCATAACCCCCGCCGTATCCCCCCGCATGATGACCTGCCACACCCGCGACTCTGGGCCAGCGAGGATGGAGGATAGTGGAGGGAGGCTCATGCCTTTCTATCTGATCTACGTCCGAGAGCCCTGTAACCCTGTAACGAACCTCAACAGATTCCCGGATATGGTGTGTAGGATTTATGACTAATGACTAGAAAACATCGCCCCGTCAAGGGAATTTGGGAAATAGCAAGATAGACAGCTAGCAGTGTTCTGTTTGTGGGATAATCGTACACTTCAGAAGGAAGACACAAGAGAAGGGAGGTTGAAAGGAAGGAATCGGGCTAAAAGGGACAGGAAAAAAAGAGGTGGCCAACAAGCACGAAATACTAAAAAGTTAGAATAGGTGCACATCACAAGTGATTCGATGCAGGATAGGTGCTTGCATGTCCTAAGCTTGCTCAAAGGCCGGAGATCAATGATCATATATCTGTCATGGTCTCATCGGCTACAAGTGTGTCGCCCTCCGCGCCCGCCACGGAAGAGGTCTCGCTGGCAGCATACCCATTGCCACCTTCAAGCGTCGAAGAATTTTCGTCAGCATCCGCCTCTGCTTCTCCTTCATCCAGATCTTCGTCATCAACTTCCTCATCATCATTGTCATCGGACGAGAGACCTTCGGCGTCCTCATCAGCATCCCCGGCCTCCATGAAGCTATCCTCATAGCCGGCTTCTGCCGCTCGAGACGCGCGTGCCGCTGGTGTTGGAGCCCCATCGTCATCACCGCTTGCTTCGCCGAGAAGTTCACGGTCAATTTCATCCAGCCCCTCGTCACCTTCGTCCTCATCGCCTGGGTGAGTTGAGCCTGGCATAGGTGAGAGTTCATGGCTCCGGCTAGGCACGTCCAGACCATCCTTGGCCGCGTCTGGGGTAGCCGCCACGGTATCTCCGGCATCGCGCTGGGAGCGACTGCGATTTGCCTTAGACCGCGAAGAGCCTGTAGCGCCACCATCTTTGGCGGACGGGGTATTGGCTGCCGCGTTTGCGAGCTTGCGTTTGGCATTGCGAGCAGCACGAGCGCGACTACGGGCAGAAGACGGGATACGCCCAGCAAGATCACCTGAGTTCTCCATGGCGAGCCTCATCTCCCGCGCTTTCTGGCGTTCCTCGCGTTCTGCCTTACGGTCCCGGCTAGGCCCGTTGGCATCATCGTAGTCCCAACGGTCCAGGCGTCTTGCGGCTTTACGAATCACAGACAAGAAGTAACTGGCACTTTCACCAAAATCTTCTTCCTCGTCCGGTTTTGGCACCAGTCCACCTTTGCCCCAAGCCTTCTCTTCGTCATCTGTGTCATAGCCTTCCGGGAGATTGGAGAGACGACGACCATAGCGGACAATAGGTATTTCGCTTTCGCGTTTGGCACGCAGCACCCGGTACGCCTCACTCTTACGTTTGGCTAGAATGTACTCGATCCGCTGTCGACGGTTCTGCTCGACAGCCAACTGGTGTTGAGTGAGTGGTCGTGGTCGACGGGCGGAGGTGGGTTGGGCGCTTTCCGTCACGAATCGATTCAAGATCGGGTGGCCCGAGCCTGGAGGAGCTGGAGAAGCAGCGTCAGGTGTGTTTTCCATCTTTGTTCTTAAGATGAGACGCTGCTGACCAAGAGAACGATTGAGAGAGGACTCTCTTTTAGGCCTCTTGGACCGGGAACGTGCAGAGTGCCCAGGTGTCAGGTAGTCATCCTCGTCATCTAGCGGATGACGCTTGGCCGATGGATGTAGCGGAGTAGACATGGTAGATAGACGGCCGTCACCCCGACCTGTATAGTGTGAGATAACAGCGATAAGAACAAGAAATACGATTAAGCGCAGTGCTTACCGGACATATCTCCTGATGCTTCGTCGTCGTAGAGGTCAGGCAGACCTGGCATGCAAATTAGTGGATTGGTAAAGGTAAGTGGAGGATGAGCGGGTGTTGCATTACCTTTCTTTGAGCGCTTAGGCACTCTGGGTAGCGGCTCGTCGTCCTCCAAGATGCCTGTAAACCAGTGTTACATGCCCGTCCGAACCAATGTGAAGATACTTCAAACTCACGTTTACGTTCCAAGCGCTTGGCCTCACCGTATTCAACCTCGGATTGAGTGTCCACATTCTCCTCGTTTGCCTGTTCCTCGGTAAGACTCTCGAACTGAGGCACCTTGATAGGCAAGCCCCCAGTCCCTTCACCGTCCAAACCAGGGCCGAAGGGGTTGTTGCGAGCTGCCTCGGCGGAGAAATCACTTTCCAAATACCACCACATCAACCAAAGAAAGGCTCTGGCTCTGCTCCTACTGCTGAGGGTACCTCTCATAACCAAGTCAAAGAAGTCGCGAGGAGGGAAAAAATGCATCTCTGACACCTTGGGAGCATATTGCGCGAGGACGAAAATCAGATTGACGGGGTTTGTGCGGGGGATCTCATGGCGTTTGATGCGATCAAGCGTGTTGGGCTGATCATGGTCTTCGGATGCGCCTTTGAGGATCGATTTCAGACGAGGGGCGTCCTGCAGCTGTTTGTAGGCGTTTGGATCCTGGTGGGCTTGAAGTGAGGGAATGGAGTGATAGGTCCGCAGCTGAGCACGCATCTCGGGGAAAACTAGAAGGATCCAGGCGTTAATGTCATACAATGCACGAAGACGGATGAAGACATACAGTTAAGCGTGGTGTTCATGCGCCCAAAGTTGACCAACAAGCAAACCATCGCCATGCTGATGGCCGCCTGCTTATCATTCTGCAATTTATCCTTCAGAATCTTACTGGTCTTGCTGCTTCTGGCCATAGCATCAATATAGATGTCAGCAAAGTCCAGATTCTTCTCCCCATCGGGCCAGCGAGTAAAGACTGGCGTTTTGTCCTCGAAAACCAGCTTCAGGAACTGATACTGAATGTCCTTGCGCCACAAAGGGATCCCATCCTCCTTCTTCAGATGCCGTATCTTGTTACCCGAATAGACTGAGCCGATCGTGCCATTTGCCTGGCGACGGATGCCGACCGTCATGTTATGGGTCTGCTGCTCATCTTGGGCCTCGGACTGGGCCAGCGACTCGTCCGCGACGCTGCTCTCGGCCTCCGCCATCTTCGTACGGCGAATTGCGAAATATGGCACGGCTGTGTCCGTACAATGAAATTAGCGAGTGTTCGCAAGGGACCCGACGCAATAATGGTTTCTCCGCGATGCCACAGAGAGCGGCAGATGGTGTACAGGCAAAAAGTCGAAAGCGATAGGCTGGATGGGACGACTGATCGATAACGAGCACGGATGAACAAGGAAAGACTTGAAGGACTTATGACTGTCGGAGCGGTCGAAAGGATCGTGAGAGGAGGAATGGAGATGAAGAGAGTTACGCGGGTTAAGAAGGAATTGCTGGCGACAGAGTAGGCAGACAGCGAAAGAGACTGAGAGAGTGAAAGTAGATTGAGAGAGAAAGGAAGCTGGGTTGCAGTAGGAACGTGATCCGCGATGGGGATCTTAATTGATTGGGGGCATAACTAACTAGTCAGGACACGGGGGCTGACTAATTATTCACCCTGTTCACTGGTTGTGTTGTCAATTGGATTAGAGGTTCATTCACAGCAACTGATTTCTTCAGGTTATTCACTTTTGCCATAAAAGAATATCAGAGGAAGATTCAGGAGGCTGGCTGCATTCAGCACATAAGCGATTGTTCTGTGTGACGGGAAGTCCCTGCTGTCCGCCTTCCCTACTGTTTATACTACGGCGCACTCTGTACGATTCACCTCTCCACTACATCTGCCGATGAACCATCACCATCAAAACTTATTGAGCAACACCACAAGCCCAGAAAACCTCATGTAACCCCCATTATGCCCAGTACGGCATCACTACGATATTCAAGGTACATATCTCATGGCACAGAAACATGAATCAAACTTTTTTTTGTTCAGTCAAGGAGCAAATAGCTAGTAGCTTCCTTCTAAGAGAGACACATCAACAAGGTTGGCTTCGAATTGCTACCGACCCGAGAGACCATGACACCCACAAAGTAGCGCCGTCGAAAGCAGCGTATCCTCCACGGATCCGAGATATGAAAACGAAAATAGAATGATCCGATTCAGTGTCAGCCTCCACGGACCCCGGGGCAGAGAATCATCTTGTGGACCCAGTAGCTCAAGCCAACGCCATACATAATGCAAAAAGGAAACCAGGGAGACACCACCTCTATCAATCCCATCTGTGATTCCGGTACACCACCATTCCCAGATATGCAGTAACCGAGGCACCAGTGCCCGCGGAAGAAACGTTGAGAGAGGCCTTCCGAAATAGAAAAGCTTTTTCTCGGTTCATGAGCACAAGACCAGTTGCGCAAATCGGGAAATACCTTCCAAGCTGATAAAAGCCTACCCAGCCCGGAAAAGAAACAAGAGGTAGAGAGTAAATCACAAGGATGGAAGGAAAGAAATGGAATATGAAAGTCCGCCATGAGATACCGAAACTGAAAGAAAACATCTATGTTGCGAGACACGGTCGATGCAGTTGATTAGCACCAAGCAGGGAACAACTCATAAAAGCACTTTTCAGAGCACGAAAAGCCGGCAATCCCGCTCGGCACGCGTCTTTTTCAAGCAGATCTCCACAGGGCCGCCCGAGAACAAAAAGGGTATCTTGATGGAAGCGGTCACAGGAGAAACACAAACGCATTCTATGACATCCATGCCCGACCCAGATGCTCTCTCGATTAAGAAAAAGGTCATAACCAGGAGCAGCGAGAGGAGGAGATCGGACCGCATCGAAAACCCATGTCTAAAAGCAAGGAAAATAACAAAATGCTCAACGGTAGATAAAGAGAACAGATAAATGAAAACACCGGCACATGAGACGGAAAAAGGACATCAAACAGAATCATATGGAAGATGACAAAAGAAAGTCTAGATGGAAGTCGTGGCAGTCATGACAAAGTCGGCCCGAGAGGAAGAAGGAGAAGTGGGTTAAGAGAGTAGAAGATGAACTCGGGGCTCGTTCTGATCGTGTCCGTAACAAGAGAAGGCAAAGAGAAGATGAAAGGAGCCAATCAGATCCGACGACCTCGTCAGGAATCACAACCCCGAGTTTACCACCAGGAAGAAGGTCCGGTAGGGCCCGAAGGGTTTCCGTAGCTGCCACCACCGCCGCCACCGCCGCTGTAGCCGCCGTAGCTGCCACCACCAGCACCAGCGCTGCCACCGTAGGAGGGAGGACCACCGAAGCCGCCGCCACCATAGCCGCCGCTGGGACCACCGTAGCTGCCACCGCTCCCGCCGAAAGAGCCACCGCCGCCCATGCCACCACCACCGCCCATGCGACGCATGTCACGGGTAGCGTTGGCACCACGGCCACGACCGCCACGGCCACCACGGCCACCATATCCGCTGCCCTCACGAGCAATGCTCTCCAGGAAGGAAGGAACCTCCTGGTGGGCTTCCTTGAGAAGGTCAATGAGATCACGGACGACACCACGGTTACCACGGTTGAAGAAAGCAGTGGCGATACCAGTGTTACCAGCACGACCAGTACGACCGATACGGTGAACATAGTCGTCAATGTCGGTAGGCAGATCGTAATTGATGACGTGGGTGACGTTGGGGATATCGAGACCACGAGCAGCAACAGCAGTAGCAACGAGAATGGGGCAGCGGCCAGAACGGAACATCTCCAGAGCACGCTCACGCTCACGCTGGGTGCGGTCTCCGTGAATAGCGGTCGCGGGGAATCGCTGGTTGAGCAAGAAGTCGGACAGAGAGTCGGCCATGCGCTTGGTCTCGACGAAGATCAAGGTAAGGCCACTGGTGCCGTGGGTGTGGAGGATATCGAGCAGGACAGAGCGCTTGTCGTGGTCCTCAACATATTCAACCTTCTGAGTGATGTTCTCGGAGGTAGAACCGACACGACCAACGGACAAGAAGACGTAGTCCTTCAAGAAATCACGAGCCAGCATCTGAATGTCGCGGGGGAAGGTGGCAGAGAACATCAGAGTCTGACGGTCGTTGACGTGAGGCATATCCTCGCCCTCAACGATACGGCGAATCTGGGGCTCGAAACCCATGTCCAACATGCGATCGGCCTCATCGAGAATCAGGTACTTGATATTGACGAGGGAGATACGACCACGCTCGATCAAATCAACTAGACGACCGGGAGTAGCCACGAGCAGATCACAGCCACGCTCGATCTGACGGAGCTGAGAACCGATATCGGCACCACCGTAGACAACGCAAGGGCGAACCCAAGAGCGGTAGGCAAACTTGCGGGCTTCATCGAAAATCTGGGAGACAAGCTCACGAGTAGGAGCCAGAATGAGCGAGGTGGGGTAAGCCTTACGCTGACGGCCGTAGCTGAACTGTCCGGAGGCCTGGGCAGGAGCCGCGGAGGGACCGTGCTGGAAAGCCTGGGATAGGATGGGAAAGAGGAAACCACCAGTCTTTCCGGAACCAGTCTGGGCGCAAGCCATCAAATCACGTCCGTTCATGACAATGGGAATGGAGTACTTCTGGACGGGGGTAGGAGTCTGGTAGTAGGCCAGCTTGATGTTGGCAATCAGGTGGTCATCCAAAGGAGGATTGGTGAAGGTGTTGACAGGCTCGGGGACGTCGTGACCGGAAGCTTCCACGGGGATATCATCGTAGTTGGCGAAGTTAATACCGGTGTTCTGCTTGGTGGGATCGTTGGGAACACCGAACAGTTCACGTTCCAAGCGGGGGTTGGCAGGGCCGGGGATGTGCTTGCCGTCGCGCCATTGACCGTCGCCGGAGCCGCGGGCAGAGCCACCGGAGCTACCACCATATGAGCCTCCGTGTCCTGGGTTTCCGTAAGCATCAGGGTTAAAGGGCCGGCGTTGACCGTCTTGGGATGTCCAGTTAGGGTTACCATTAGGACCGCGAGGGCTGAAATCAGGAGCGTTAGCGTTGGCCCAGTTTCCACCACGAGGGCCTCCTCTGTCATGTCGAAGCATACCAGTCAGCCGCTGCAGACAGTTCTGAGGAGGCAACCTATTTCGTGCCACAGAGAACAAGTGGAGTTTTTTGAGGAATGGAGAATATCACATACCTGTTGCCCCAGGAGTTGTTGGCGGCAGGACCAGGGGGAGGAGGAGCGGCAGCAGCAGCAGGAGCACCGTCCATGTTGGCACCACCCATCTGGCGTCCGCGAAGATGAGGAGGGATGTAGGCAGCGCGACCCTGGTTAGCGGGAGCAGCGGGAGCGTGTTGAGACTCATTGAGGGAGAGGTTTCCCATCTTCAAACCGTCGGCCATGTTTGCGGTGTTTTGCGAAAACTGGGAGACAGAGATTCGTAAGTGAAATGTTTCGCGAGTGTGGCGCGAGCGTAGCCGGTTGTAAGACGTACAGGAGAAAAATCTCAGTACTTTTTTTTCTGTGCGATGGGATCAAGGATTGCAGCAATTACAGGATGCTGTTCGAAGTCGCGTCCGATATGAAGTTCCCCTTCTTTTCTGTATGAACAGGATGAAAGGAATGAGGACGTCAGATGAGAGAATAAATCCCCGTGTGTCTATTCAGTGGCAATACAAAAGAGACTGAATAAGACAGCAAGTAACACAGTGTCAGAGAAGACGAAAGAAAGGAGTAAAGAGAGACCTTGAGGGAGAAGTGGACAAAGTGCAAAACAAGGCGATCTCCCAGATCTAAACCTCTATTACGGTGTAGCAAAAACAGAAGAAGGAAAAAAGGTTGGAAGAGAGGTAGGAGATTGTAGGAGAGTTGGTGAGGATACGGTGTGGAGATATGTTAGGAGGAGAGCGGGTGGGAGGAGAGGAGAGGAGAGGGAAAAAAAAAGAAAAAATCAAAACCAGATTTGGATTTTTAGCAGCGGAGAGAGAGAGGGAGGGAAGAGGGGGGTGGGATGTGGGTTGGTCCTTTTTGTGGTTTTGAAGAAGCTGTGGCAGAAGAAGGAAGAAGAGAGTTTGATTTTTTTTTTTCTTTTGTGTGGGAAGAGATTTGAAAAGAGGCAAAGAAAGAATGACTACGAATTCATTTGATTAAAAATCATCAGATGTCAATTGAGGTCACTGCCATCTCTTTCTACTTTAGTTGCATGTACTGTACAATAAGACGAAATGTGTAGTAGAACAGCCACCGTCAGCCGAATTCCTCGTTTCTTGTCACTTTTCCTGTGCCTACCAAGTCAAAATCTTCAAGGCTATTCAGCGGTTAGCTTTGGCCGGGTTGACCTGCTTATTGGGCGATCCCGGACTGGACCCAGAAGGGAGAGGAAAATGGTTTTAACGTGGAAAAAAAAAAAAAAACCACCAAGCGACAGGGGGAAAACCGCAAAACAACCATGTAATGCGTAAAAGCGGAGGAAACAAATTGCAAAAATGGTAAACAAAATAAAAAAAAAAGTTGTGCCAGTCAGCTAAAGATGGACAGGGTGGCGGCGCGCCGGAGGGTTCCAACTAGTTTTGTTTGGCTGTGCATCCAATACCCTCTGCGCTTCTGGGCTGGACCTCCCCAGGCCAAACACTGATTGATAGATTGCACTCGTTTGTCTATCCAAGCATAGATTGATATCAAATGAGCTACAAAATGACTTAATTTCTAGTATTCGAGTGAAGACCCCTACGTGCTTGTCACCAGTCAAGTATGTCAAACGAACTCATGTCGACTGCAACTTTATGGATGTATCACTGCAAGTCAGCCAATCTGACGGGGGCGAAAGGAAATTCTGGGGCGGCGGCGAAGGCTCGGTTGCGCCTCAGGCATTCATCGTCCCAGTCACTGACGTCTATCTGCTCGTTGGTCATGGGTTTTTAGTCGCCTCCTTGCTGCTCTACACAGTATGACTGCGCATGGGTGGGCGTGCGTGTCTATGGATAGGCTACTCCAGACCTCTCTCAGAAAACCAGAAGGATCAAGAAAGCACTCGAAGATAGGTTGTGGTTCTAAATTGTGCTGTGGTGCTGCTATGGCATGAACCACGGAGTGAATGGAGTACATTTCCCCCTGTCAATGTCCTGCTCCACATAACATGATATCAATATCATCATGAGATCAGCCACCCAACAGAGAATCATGTCGCATGGTCGTCTGCTCCGTAAAGGAGAGATTGTGTGTTGAGTGGAGGCAAAAACACCACCACGCCCGCTCTAATCGAATTGCTATATCTCCAACTCCTACAAAGACTCACAATCTTTGAATGAACCAAGTGGTAATTATTACCATAACTGAATCAAAACCACTATAGCCGTGACTGAAAAGATGAATAAATCATGGCACTACACAGTACTTGGACCCAAGTCCATAGATTGATTATCTGACTACTCTTCTACCCTCGTCACGCATTAGTGTATAAGGCAGACAACTACTGGCTGAACATCCGAAAATTACCATTCCCAATGGGAGTGACGAGAAAGTGTGTGACATCAGTGGTATTATTAATAGGTATAGTAACCACGTCCAGGGGTTCGAATGTGCTTGTGGCGGAAGTCCCTCAGATGCAATGCAGTTGTTCTGTGGTCACCGCTTCCATTCAATTCATTTTTAAAGTCCTCGACTCGTATGCGCAGGTAGATTATACAACTCCGCTCAGCGTGTCCTTGACTGCAGAAGCAAGTGAATAAACGCGGCCATCGCTTGAATTGCGTCCAATGATGGGGCTCTAGGAAAGTCTCATACCATATTCCTGGGCTGCGCGACGTGGTACGGAGGTTATACAGCAAATCTTCCTCCAGCGCTGCAGTGCTGCATACCTACACAACAGTGTGTTCTGCCGGGCCAAATGGAAATACTTGGCAACTTTGGGGAGTTGTGCTAGCTCTATCAAGGAACCGACCCACTATGAAGGGGTCAAGATAAGCAAGGGCCTGCCCAGTATGCCCGGCTGCCCGGCTGAAGTTGGATGGTTCTCGTAGAATTCTGACTGACTTGTCCTGGATCACTTGGAGTAGATTGCAACGGGGTAGAATTTGCAAAGCTGAAACGTGGTATTAAGGAAACTCGGTGAGAAGACACGGCCGATTGACTATGGATGCATCAACGGACATGAGCTAGCAACGTCTACAACCTATGAAACATACACAACGAATCACGACTACACTGGTTCATGGATTATCGTGGTAAACTACAGAGTAAGAATCTGTTGCTGCTTGGCGGAGCTGCCATTTCTTCTTTAGACAACACTTCTCTCAGCCTTTTCCCGCTGTCCCGGAGTGCTGCGTCGGATCAAAATCAACAGCAGACCAACAACAATGGCGAGAGCTGCGATCTTAGGGTAGATGTAAGGGTAACTATCAGAGGTGATAAGAGAGGCAACTGGAGGAGCCATAGGGGTTGCTGAAGGTTGTGGTGGGATCTCCGAGATCAGTTCTTCTTGACACAGCAATATCAGCACATCGCAGACTTTACTTTTCTAGAAGCAAGTGCAGACCGCAGAAAGGCCAGTCTACAACTCCTCGTGGCTGCTACCTTTCTCTTCAGCCGGCTCCTCCGACGGCAGCTCTCCGCTCTTCACGATCTTGACCGTCTCCGAAGGTTTGTCACCGCGACCCTTAGGCACGTTCTCAATCTGTGCGACAATCTCGTAACCCTCAAGCACCTCGCCGAAAACGACGTGGCGGCCATCGAGCCAACTGTCATGGAGTTATCAGCAAGTAGTTTCGCTGGCATGAGATAAGAGTGAAAACTCACGGAGTGGGGACAGTGGTGATGAAGAACTGAGATCCATTGGTGTCCTTGCCGGCGTTGGCCATGCTCAACAGACCCTTGCGAGTGTGCCTAAGCTTGAAGTTCTCGTCCTCGAACTTCTCGCCGTAAATGGACTTGCCTCCGGTACCTAGTGATTTTGTCTACGATTAGCACTCAACCTATCAACGCAGAAATGACTGCAAAGATCGTCTACTCACCATCGCCACGAGTGAAGTCACCACCCTGAATCATGAAATCCTTGATGACACGGTGGAAAGTAGAGCCCTCATAACCGAAGCCCTTCTCGCCGGTAGCCAGAGCCCTGCAAGTGGATAACGTCAGCGGAGGTCAGGAAAGTAGCCGAAAGAAGTCCTATGGCGACCGTACCGGAAGTTTTCAGCGGTCTAGGATAAGGTAATTAAGTTAGCATGCAATTAAACCGTAAACAGGGCTGCAGGTTGGATGTTTACATACCTTGGGAACAGTCTTGCCGTACAGACCAAGGACAACTCTGCCCAAGGGCTTGTCGCCATGCTCGATGTCGAAATAAACCTGCGAGAAGGATTGATTAGCACGGGTAGCCTGGAATGTTTTATTTGAATTGCACGACGGCAAGCTCTCAAGCTTCAATTCGTATATCATACCTTACTGGTGATCTTCGGGCCCCGAGGCTTAGCCTCTTCGGCGTGGACGAGGGCGAATCCGACCGCCAGGACCAAGAAGAAGGACAGGAAAAGGTTTCTGAAGTTCATGATTGCTGATGAATGCCTTCGGAAGAGTGAATCCTCGAATGCAATTACCGGAGAGAGAGCAGTTGCAGACGAAGAGAAGGAAGCACTCATTGGACCGCATCGAGCGGCCAGCTTGCATTACCTACTGCGGAGGTGCCAAGCCCACCATTCCCGATCCAGTAAAATGCATCCTGTGAGTGCACGGCCTGTAATTGTGCGTAATTTGCGGTTCGCCGATGAGCAATTCTTCCTAGAGAAAGTAGAGACCGCCCCGCCCGCAGAACGTCACCGAGTCTTGAAAATTACCGTCATTGCCCCGGAGAAACCTTGCTACCGGCGGATTTTCTCCCGCAGTCAATCATCGCGGCAAGTAATAGAGAAAGAGCCCGGCAATGCAAGCAACGTGATCGATTGAGTCCTCTATTGCAATATATTTTTGTATCGACAAGATGGTAAGTTTATGATTCAATCAATGCTTCGTCCTGATTCCCGCGCACCGCTAACAATACCTAACAGGTCTTTATCCTAGGCGTCAACTTCCCCGAGCGGAACCTTGTCAAGGCAAGCGAACTCGCAATCCCGTCCCCTTCGCGGCCAGCAGCAATCAAGAATTAGGGTGACTTCCCTTTGTCTGACTGACCGTGCATCAGAAATCCCTCGAGTCTTTCTTCGGAATCGGTCACCTCACCTCTTCACGCCTCCTCGCCCGCTTCCACATTCACCCAACATGCAAGGTCGGTGAACTGGGAAACAAGCAGGTTCTGGATATCACGGCCGCCCTGTCCGACATGAGGATTGAGAACGATCTGCGGAGACAGATTCTTGACAACATCAAGCGCTTAAAGGAAACCGGTACCTACCGCGGTCGTCGTCATGCGCTGGGGCTGCCCGTCCGGGGACAGAACACGCGATCTCAGGTGGGTTTATTCACTTTCCTCTGGTCTTCTCATGATTTTGCTCATGAGAAGGGCGTGGTTGCGGGTTTTCGACAACTTTCTGGAATGATATGTCTGCTCTTGTTCAGGACGGTTCTTGCTGATATCGGAGCTCGTAACAGATCAAAAACGCCACCAAATTCAACCGTATCGAGAGACGAATCTAAAAGGCGATGTCGGGGTTTTTCTTTGGTTGGCGGGCCTTGCGCTTGGCTTTTTTTATGTTGTGAGGGCATGGATTGGCGTTATCATTTTTTCTTGCTGTACCCTGTAACCTGTATTTCTCTTACTAGAACCCATCTTCACAAACTCGATGGAATGTATCACAATGTAGACATTGGATTCTTTGTACCACAAACTACGGTCGTATGCTTAATGTCTGGGACGATTCTCACTAGGAAGTAGCGATAAGTGATGTATTGCTAAAGGATATGCCAGCTTATATAGTAGCTCCCCCGATTGAAGCCAGAAACCAAACTTTTCATCCTACAAATGAAGAACGCCAGAGCCATATGTGCACCACTTCCTTCATGCCGAAGACAGCACACCTTCTCCCCGATTAATTTGAATCCGCTTGTCTTCACCGGCACTGACAATGCCGACAGAGCGATCCCAGCAGACACCGAAGACCTTGACTCCCTCGCCGCCAACGCGCTTGACATCAGCTTTGCCGGCCTCCTCGAGGCTTTTGCGGGTAATCGAATAGACGCTTTCTCCAACAACACCATCCTTGTCTGTCTTGGTGGCACGGATATCCCAGATTCGGCATGTACCGTCGTGGCTACCGCTGATCAGGCCGTAGCTGCTGTGAGGGTCGCGGGACAAGGAGACTACAGCGTTCGTGTGGCCGCGGAGAGTCATGGCAGAGATGGTTGTCGCTGAGACACGGGGGTCGATAAGAGTGATGTGACGGGCTGAAGTTCCTGTGGCCAGGAGGTGGTGTTCGGGAAGATGCTCCAGGGAGAGGAGCGAGTGCGAGGTTGACCGAGTGTCTACGAGGGCAGCAGTAACCAGATCCCATGTGCGGAGGGTATGATCCCATGAAGTTGAGTAACCGACGGTGGAGTCTTTGGCATCGAAAATGGCGGCGGACACTGGCGCAGTATGAGAGGAGAGCAAAGCCAAGGGCCCACGCTGAGGAGTGCTAATGGAGGAGTTCAACTTTCGTCTCTTGGAGGTTCTGGAGGCAGCAGAAGGGAGGAGATTCTCTGGGGCGGCCGGAGCATCGGATTTCTTGGTAGACCAGAAACCGACAGCGTGGTCCGAGGAGGCGGTTAAAATGCGATTCGAAGGCGCATGCACGGCCAGAGAGTTGATGCCGGACTTGTGACCGTACAGCTCGAGCTGGGGAGCGATCTTTCCAGAGAAACCATCTTCGCTCTCAGCGTATTTCCACAAACGCACAGTGCGGTCCAAGCCGGCCGAAACGATTGAAGTCGGGGAGAGGAATTTCGCAGCCTTGATCGATGCGCTGTGACCACCGTCTAGAGCAGATGGTGATGTCGCAACAATCTGAGAAGACATGTTCCATATCCGAAGTAAGCCATCGTAGCTGGCCGAGAGGATTCTTGATTGGCCCTGCGAAATTGATGATGAAGACGCCCATGAGGCAGCAGACGATGTTGCAGAGAGCACATCCACAGCACTGACCCAATCGTCGTGCTCGAACGAAGCAATGTGAAGTGGAGGAATCAAGGCTCTAATATATTCGATCTCCAGGGTCGTTTCAGCGGAAATGCCATTAGCCGTCAAATATTCATCGATGGAGGTCCGGAGGAATGCGCCATTTATCAGGAACTCGAACGGTACTGGCTTGTCGTTTCCGAGCAAATTATTGACTAGCGTCGAGAGTGCGTATCTGCGCAAGCCTTGTGGATTAGACGAGAATTAGCACCATGACGCGACATATCGGTGACTTAGTAGATAGTCTCACCAGTGGGAACCAGGATGGGGCCGGTATTTTCAGGAAGCGCAATATCTTCCTGTTTGCTGACAAGTTGCACACGCACCTGTCTCTGCGCACTCGCAGCAGATACAGAGTCTTGAGGCCCGTTCATAATGAATAACAAATTACCAGAGAAGACAGGGTATAACATGCGACTGTGGTATGAGGCGCAATTCGTCGCCGTTGAGAAAACTCCGCTGAGGGAGAAGAAAAAATACGGCGGGCGATGCGGCCAGAGGTGCAAAGCGCGGAGGTCTCCCCGCGACCGCCTTGAGATTGATCACTTAGTAGTAAGTAACAACAAATGATATTACATGGAGACAATAGCAAGGGTAAGCATGATCATTCTATTTTATAGATACATAACAACGTCTGTATGTCCCCAGCCCAGCCTTCAGTGAGCCCTTGATTGCCGACGTATGTCTGCAATTGCTTTGCGCCGATACTCAGATTCGGCGAACAGCGCCTCGATCAAATCCACTACTTCCTCGGACGAAAATTCCAGGCTAAGTTCTCCCTCAACCCAGAGAAACCTGATATCAGCCAGTGAGCTCTCGAGGATGTTGATGAGATACTGAAATTTGAGCCAGTTTTGCACGTAAACAGCTGTCATAGGGACACGTTCGGTATTGTCCTTGGCTTCGGGCATAAATAGCTCTTCCAGCTTCGAAACTTGGTTGCAGAACGATACCAACCGCTGGGACTGAGGCTCTGAGATGTCACCCAAGTCTTCAATATCGATCACCATCTTGCTAACCACGGTCGCGACCAACGACCCTATCGACTGAAGGAGGGCTGAATGTGACAGAATTGGCTGCCATTCTGCATAGACGCCTCGAATTCTGTCAACAGCGGCAGCAACCGCGTTTTCACATTCGCCTAGATACGGCTGTTCAGAGCACTGTCCAAATCCTTGTGCGCCATCGAGCAGGTCGGTCACAATGGTACGCTGGGTTTGCATCTCTTTACTGTATGCGAGTTTACCAAATTTCTCCAGCGCTTCAATGTCGGCTTGCAATCGTGTGAGATGGTGCTCCTCCATGATCGCACGCATCTCGCCAGCAAGATATTGGGTGTCGTTATATAAATACATTTGACCAGCGTTCAACTTATGATCATAGAAGGACGAGGCCGTGGCTTTGAACATGGCGAGGATCAAGGTTGGAAGTGCAAGCAATCCCGTTCCAGATGACACAACACGCGAATGTGAATGTCTGATAAGTGTTAGCATGAATTCCAGCTGCTCTAGGGCAAAGATGAACGTACTCAGGTTGAGTTATGGACTGAGAATCAGCAATTTGTTGTTTGATAATGTCCAAGATGGAATGAGGCAAGTCCGTGATAGTGTATCTTTCGGTCAGAGTAACCTCCCTCGAAGAGCTGGCTGACCTTGCGTTTGTGCCATTGACAGGCTCGCGAGTCTGCGAATTTTCGGGAGGCGGCTGGCTCACAGTCTGTCCTTCCTCATCATCATCTCCCCAACCCCAAGCATCTCCGGCATCATCTTCAGCAGAAGCACCTGCTTGAGCTTTCAAGTCTTGCTGCTCAGTGTCATCGTCATCGAGCCCCCATGCACTCACATCCTCTTCATCCCCGTCCTGAGTCCTGGAGGCCTTGCCTTCATTATCACCCTCATCACCATCATCCCAGCTGGCATCCCAATCGTCAGCTGGAGCGTTCTCCAATAGCGTATCGTCTTGTCCAGAGATCGTCTCCACTTCAACCTTTTCCACCTGCTTTGTGGTACCTTGACTCGCGGCGAGCACTTTGCGAACTTGGTCCAGGGAGTTCACTCTCCTTTTGGCAAGCCAAAGTCGAGGGGCCTGGTTCACCCAAGAGACAAGCTCCTCATGACCATGCCAGCCGAGGTCTTCCACAGATTTCGTGAATTTTAGGACACCATCGAGGGTACGCTCGAATTCCTGAAGCCCTCCCAAATCAATGGGTATAGACGGTGACAGCCACAATTTAATCAACTTTGGGGACAATGAAGGAATGACTGAGTCCGAAAACGAGTCGAGAATGGAGGCCGGTACAGTCTGTCGCAAGAATCCAAGAAGGTTGGCTATGTGATCCAGAATTTCGGGAACCGAGGCCCTGGATACAAGCGACTCGACTTGAACAGAAGATTCAGAGATCCGGATCCCACGGCTTTGACCCTCAGCACCACGTAGCAAGATCGGATTCAGTATAGCACTGACGATGTCCTTTGCGAACTTATCTCGTGCAGAGGCGAATATCTCCATTCTGTGTAGTGCTGCGATGGTTTCTTCTAGGTGTTTACCTGCGGTTCACATTAGACATTGATGCCGCCAATAATTTGGCGTATACGAGGTCTTACCGTCTTTCTGAACCACAAGCTTCCCTTCCCGTTTGTCAACTTTCAGCTGCTCATTCCATTGAGAATGTATAACGTCGGCAATCTGCTTCCGTAGACCGGCGACATTCTCCAGCAATATGTGTAGAACGTTGGTGTTCGCAAAATGGTCATTTTGTCTCATTGCGAGCTCAGCTGCCTCTAGCGTATCGATGACGGCCATGATTCGGCCATCTCCCAGCGCTGACCGTCCATCTTCCAGCTGCCGGCAAAGTCCCTGCACCTCCTCCAGAGCAGTGGTTACTGCCTGATTGAACGCGATCTCAGTTTCTATTAGCGCGACCTTCGCAGCGGCATCCTCCACCTTCAACTGCAAAGGCGTGGTGTTCTCATGTTGCTTCACAATCTCTCGGGCAGTGACCCTGGAACGTTCAATGTCTGCATGCAGTTGTTTCGCCTGCGAAATCCAACCATCCGCGTCGAAGTTATTTTCGCGACTGAGAGAGGTTATTTCGGCCTGTCGGAGCGCGATTGGTATAGGAATTAGTATGGGTCAGATAAGCTGGGGTTGATGCGGGGTTGCGCCTCGGACCATGCCACTCACTTCGACTTGTTCCCTGGCTTTGGAGATCAGTTCTAATTCCGTCGCCAAAGCAGAGACGGGAAATTCGGCAGCAATAACCTTCTCTGAGGAAGGATAAGTGCCGTCAGTCACGAACGTCAAGACTGAATTGCAGATTTCCTGCTCCGAGGTCTTGCCGGGCATTATGGTATCGTGTCCTCCGCGGGCAAAACAAGCTGGGAGAAACCGTCAACAATGAGCCCAGTGATAGATTGCGCGGCTTAGAGAGCAGTCGCTTGCTTCCGCTACTGCTATCGATGTCAGCTCTATGTCTCAGAAACTGGATTTAGGGAACAGGCAGTCGAAGACAGAACAGAATAGCTGAGGAGGAAGAGCAACAGTTGGGGAAACTATTCTAGAACCATGTGACCTCACCGCTCACCGCCTTGGCTGCGATAGACAAGGATTAGGAAGGGAAGATACGATCATCTCGAACTACTACTGCTACTACAACTCGCATGCATAAGGTGGTTTCACTGCGTTCTTAAATCGTGGAGTCTGGCTCTTGGGCTGACATTACGCAGTGGTCTCTTACGGGTGTGTGTTGTCCCCCCGCCATAGGCCAACAACTTTGACCTGGTTCGTTGGCATGGTTGATTTCTCTACTAATTACTACTACTGTATCAGACATCGGAAGCCAAAACTCCACTCCGAAACTGTCGCAGTTCAGGTCGAGGTCAACCTTTCCTCAACGGCCATCGAGTGCTCCCAACACCTGCTTCTAAAGTCTTTTAGAGACACTGTTGTTAGGCAAAGCCCACCGTGACGCCAGTGGCTCTTTTACGAGGCCTGATTCGGGCAACATCTTCTCCAACCATGTGAGTTCATGTCGCTACCCTCCCGCTTGACTTTGAGACAAGAAAAAGAAAAAGGAAAAAAAAAAGCAAACCCTGGTCAAAACGTGCCCCTCCACCCTTCAACATTATCACCAAATTTGTGGGCACAGATCCGCATTTAGAGATGCCATGGTCTTCGCCAGCCACCTTGACTGTTATGCAATTATCTTGAATCATAAATTATCGCATGTTTAGCATTTTCGAGCACCAAGAAAAGTGCATCTATCATTCAAATCAGTGTTTCAACCCCAGAGCATTGCTAGCTTCCATGAATATGCCTTAAAGCCCCTCATCGGGCGTAATACTTCAATTGGTGTCGGGTATGGCGTGCTGACAATCAAGTTAGTTCCTCGATACGGGGAGTGACCGCAAGTTTTGGAATACAACCATATCCCCGCAGGTACGCAGGGTCGGCTATTAAGATGTCACCAAGCCAGAAAGGTCATTTCAAGCTCCTCCAAAGGTTCAAGCCGGACTATTCGCCCAGCGAGTTTGTTCAGTATGAATCGACGAGGACTGGTATGAGGGTCGTGGTCATCGACCAGAAAGGCCCTAAAGTTACGGGATACTTTGTTCTAGCGACTGAGATCCACGATGACTCAGGAGCTCCTCACACCTTGGAGCACTTGTGTTTTATGGGATCACGGAATTACAGATACAAAGGGTTTCTTGATAAGCTCGCAACTCGAGTGTATTCTAGCACTAACGCTTGGACTGCTACTGATCACACCGCATACACGCTGGACACAGCGGGCTGGGAGGGTTTCGCTCAGATCTTGCCTGTGTACCTAGAGCATGTCATTGCTCCAACCCTGACTGATGAAGGGTGCTATACTGAGGTCCACCACATCGATGGGACTGGAAACGATGCAGGTGTGGTTTACTCAGAGATGCAGGGTGTACAAAACAATTCCGCAGAGCTGATCGACTTGACTGCTCGTCGGTTGACTTACCCTGAGGGTGTAGGTTTTCGCTACGAAACCGGGGGTATGATGGGCCAGCTTCGCGTGCTCACTGCGGATCGTATCCGAGCATTTCATCGTGAGATGTATCAGCCTAAAAACCTGTGTCTGATCATCACAGGTGAGGTAGATCATGAGAACATGTTGAGTGTCTTGGACAAGTTCGAAGATACCATTCTAGATGTCATCCCTAGCCCAGATGCGTCATTCACACGCCCTTGGGTGGATTCTAAGCAGGCACCTCCCTTGGAAAAATCCATCGTACAGAGAGTCGAGTTTCCGGAAGAGGACGAGTCTTTTGGCGAGATCGAGATCAGATTTCTTGGACCTGACGGCACAGACCCAGTTCAAAGTAAGTCGCAAACCGCTTCCTCGGTATATAGCTCCAATACTTACTGTCAACAGCTGGGGCTGTCAACGTTGCCTTGTTATATCTGGCGGGATCATCTGCTTCACTGTTGGACAACATCTTGGTAGAGAAGGAGCAGCTCGCCAGCGCAGTCTATTATGCCACCGAGGATCACCCCAGCATCGAAATTCGCTTCACTTTGACTAGTGTAGAAACGAAGAAGATCGCTCGGGTGGAGCAGCGTTTCTTCGAGGTCCTCAAGGATGCGATGGAGAAAGAACTCGACATGAAGTACCTCAGGGAATGCATCGACCGACAACGACGGACATGGAAGTTCTCGACGGAAACGTCAGCTTCTTCCTTCGCGGAATACGTGATCTCTGACTTCCTTTTTGGGAAACGGGACGGGTCCACCATGTTGGACGTTGCATCTCTGAAGGAATATGACGTGCTGGAGAAGTGGAGCGAAGGCGAATGGCGCAGCTTCATCAAAAGATGGATATCCGATGCGAATCATGTCACGATCTTGGGCGTCCCATCCATGAAGATGTCCGAGACACTTAAGAAGGAAGAAGAAGCCCGAGTGGCGGAGCAGAAGAAGCGGCTGGGTGAAGAGGGCTTGAAGAAGCTCGCCGAGAAGCTTGAAAAAGCCAAGGCTGAGAACGACAAAGAGATACCAAAAGAGATGCTGGAGAAATTCCAGATTCCGGGTGTGGAATCCATTCATTTTGTCGAGACGACAACTGCGCGGTCTGGTACTGCCCTGAAATTGGGCCGCCCCGACAACAAGCCCCAAAGCCTGGTGGATGCTGATGGCTCTGACCTGCCCTTGTTCATTCACTTTGAGCACATACCAAGCAGCTTTGTTCAGCTATCCCTACTTATCTCAGCAGCAGCCGTTCCTGTGCAGCTTCGCCCTCTTCTATCTGTATACACGGAAGCATTCTTTAACCTGCCAATCCAGCGTGATGGAAAGACCATCGATTTCGAACAGGTTGTTGTTGAGTTGGAAAGAGATACAGTTGGGTACTCTATGGAAGGCGCCAGGAGCCTGGGATCTTCCGAGATGCTGCGTATCTCTTTCCAGGTGGAACTGGAGAAGTATAGCACCGCAATCGCGTGGCTTCAAGAGCTTTCTTGGAACTCAATATTCGACGTCGAAAGACTACGCGCAATCACCAAACGCCTCCTCGCCGATGTACCGGACTCGAAGCGAAGCGGTGACGACATGCTGGCGGCAGTCCATGTCATGGTACACTATGCGGCCGAGTCGATTGTGCGAGCCCGCAGCACTCTGGTCAAGGCTCGTTATCTGAAGCGGATCAAGAAGCAATTGGCCGACGAGCCGGAGTCTGTCGTTGCACGCATGGAAGAGATTCGTCAGGCTCTCTTTCGGTTCGAAAACATGCGGGTTGTGGTTATTGCCGATCTGGAGAAGCTGCAAAATCCTGTCTCGGCCTGGAAGCCATATGTTGAACGGTTGGGAGCTGTCGCTCCTCTGCGACCCATCACAGCCAGACGTCCATTACTTAGCGAGGCTGGCCAGCATCTTGGAGGCAAGTCATATGTGGTACCCATGCCGACCATCGATTCCTCCTTTGCTTACGCCACGTCTCGGGGTTTGGACTCCTACGACGACCCGAACCTGCCGGCCCTGCTGGTTGCAATCGCGTACATGAATGCTGTCGAAGGCCCCCTCTGGGTTGCAGTCCGTGGCAAGGGATTGGCGTACGGTACGAACTTCGCCTACAACATTGACACCGGATTCGTCAACTTCGATGTGTACCGCTCACCGAATGCACACAAGGCCTTCGATTCGAGCAAGCAGATCGTCGAGGACCACCTCTCCGGGGCCATCGCGTTTGATCCCTTGATGATGGAGGGTGCGATCAGCAGCATTGTGGTCAGCTTTGCCAACGAACAGGCCACTATTGCCAACGCTGCGTCGGACAGCTTCATCCGTCAGGTCGTCCGTCGCCTACCCAGCGATTACAAGGAGAACATGCTCAAACGCGTGCGCGCCATCACTGTCGAGGAGGTCAAGGGTGCTTTAAGGAAGACTATCCTGCCCCTGTTCAACCCTCAGACGGCTAACATTGTCATCACCTGCGCTACTGTGATGGAAGAGGTACGTAATCTTAAGTCCAACCCTCCCTTCTAGACTACCCTTGACTAACTCATCAATCAGACAATCAAGGAAGGCCTACAAGCTTCCGGCTTCACTCCCAAGGTGCAAGCTCTCAAGGAATTTGAGGACGACTACGGACTCAAAACCGGCGATGACAATGATGATGAGGAGTCGGATGACGAGGATTCCTCTGATGACGATGACGACGACTCGGAAAGCGGATCCGAAGACGAGGAAGACTCCGAAGAGGAAGACTCCGGCTCCGATGAGGAGTGATTCCCCTGTGTGATTTGTTTTGATACGTTATATGAAACCGAGAGTAGAGCACGTGGTATACCACGTAAATGCTTTAGACAACAAGCCTCGATGAAACACCTGTTAGAGAACACTCTTACTATGCCGAACCATGAAAGACCCTGCTTTCTCTGCTACATAAATAATAATGCCAGGCTCTCATGTACATGTAACAAAATGCCCTAACTATTACAACATATGCCTAATGGCCCGTCCTTCGCGTTAGATATCCTACCGTCTTCTTTGCGAATGTCTACCCCCCACACTTTCGACTTGCAAGTTCTAGGTAGAATCCAAGACAGCCACCACCCTGAGAACTACGCCCTGAGTTCCCGGAACCCATCGCACATGGCAGTAGTAAGATGTGTATATGGTACAGATAAATAGTATCAAGATAATGGAGGGATAGAATACAGCCGCCATGATATCAATCGATTTAGTCAGCCATTCCCCCCGACCTCCGGAGACAGAGAAAACCCCCCTCTAGATCCTCGCAAACATCACCTTCAAACGGGATATGCAACACGACACGAAACAGAACCAGAAACGAAACAGAACCCCACAGCGAGGTACCCCAGCCAATGGTCCCAACAGAGCCACTGAACGATCGAAAAAGCCCCTAACCTCCGTGGCCCCTCTTCACCCCCACCCCTCTCTCTCTCTGTCTGTCTGTCTGTAGTGGAAGGGAAAACGAAAGTGGAAGAGAAGGCCCCAAGAAAAACCGAAAATCTACCAGCTCAAGGTAGACCGGCCGCGGGCTCTTCTCCGCTGGATAATCTTCCGGCCGCCCCTGGTCCGAATCCGAGCCAGGAATCCGTGGCGGCGCTTCTGCACCCGTCGCGAGGGGTTGTAGGTGTTACGCTTTCCGAGCAGGCAGGCGCTGGCGGAGAAGGAGCGGGATTGTTGCAGCAGGGCGGTTGTGCTGGAGGGGGATGTGGAGGGGAGGAAGGAGGAGGCGGTGGTTGATGAAAGGAGAGAAGATTGGAATCTTTGTTGCTGGGCGCGAAGGGGAGAGAAGGCGGAGGTTATGGAGGAGGAGGAGGTGGTGGTGATGAGGGTGCGGATCGGGGTGGTTGTTGCGGTTGATGCGCGGGCGGCGGCTTGTGCGGAGATGGGGATTCTAGAGATAGGGATAGTTGGTTAGTGGTCGGCATACCGGAAAGGCTTTCGAGAAGACAGTGCTATGTGCTCAATGGTTATGATTCTGTTGTGCAGTCTTCCTCCGCAGCCCTGGACACTGTGCAAGGGGGGTTCAGGTGGACGATATATGGGGTGGAGATTGGGTGGTGTGGAATTGGCAGGACATCGATCGCAGCAACCAAACGTACCTGGTGGCCGCGGTCATGGAGGACCGGAGAGAGGCGGGCACAGCCCGGCACTGGAAGCAAAACATACTGTCGGACTAAAGTGATGGAATTGACGTCCGAAGAAACGTCGATCGAGCAAGCAAACCGGAATCGCCGAGGGGGAGATCTCGAAAGGTGGAAGGGAAGGTCATCAGCAGGTCTGGAGTGACGGCGGACGAAAATTGAACCTCTGCGCACGGACCACCTCCGACTCTACACCAACTTTTTTCTGTCCCGCCCGCAATTTGTCGGCGCATCTCCATCCAGCTTCCTTTTTTCTGGCCCATTCGCCTCATTCTCCACCCAGAGATCTACTTCTGTCGCAAATCCCCGACAGGTCCGGAGAGCGTACTTCAATTACCTTATCAGCCAAGTCCGACCATTTCTACCACTTCGCATCGTCAACTCCCAGCACGCTCCGGAAAAGAGAAAAGCTACATACATAAACTCGCATACAACCACCGAAACTGAAGCGAACCTCTTGTCACAATGGCCGCCCAAGGTCCTTCGGCTCTTCCTCCCACGACCATAATCTCATCTAAACCCATCTCCCAGTCAGCTGCCCACGATTTCCTTGCTGCCTACCTCGACCGCGCTGCGACAGACCCCGCTCTGCAACCCAACGCCGGAATCAGTGAACATGGTCCCTTGTCGCGCACCACGGCCGCGGCCCCCAATTTGATGCTGCACAATCTGAAGCGCGTGCAGGCCGGTTTGGCCGGTGAGGTCCTGGGTCGGGACCTGACGCTGGCAAAGCTCATGACTGGAGAGGATGGCGATGCGCAGCAGACCACCGGCGCCGAGCAGGGTCAGGATTGGGAAGATGCCCAGAAGTTCCAACAAGAAGGGGAGGGTCTGGAAGGCTTGCAGGATGCGATGGACGCAGATATCGGCATGGAGGAAGATCAAGCAGACCCCGCCGCTGGAGGTATTGACAAGGAAGAGAGGAAGCGCAGGAAGAAGGAGCGCAGACTGGCTGAGAAACGGGCCAAGGCTAAGGCCGAGGACTGATGCTTAAAAAACTGGATGGACTTTCTAGTAGCAAAAATCTGGTTGTTTTTGTTACGGTTGGCGATGGTCTGCACTAACTTTTCTCGGGGATCCGCTGCTATTGATTTGGGTTTACAAGATTAAACATGCATACAGCATTGGGCGCATCTGAGGCGAATTTACATTGGAGGTAGCCAATGGTTGTTTTATTATCCCCCGTCAAATTTCCTACAATTTTATTACACCATTTCCTTGAAATGTCATGTTTCATATCGGTCAAATTGCCCAAACACTACCGCAATCTGCGAATGGCAGAGGAGGATGTGGTGCTTTGTCAGATTCCCGGAAGACATCGAAACAGAGAAAGGTCTCACAGCTCACGGTCCGCGGCCTTGACCGGCTTCTCGCTGTCCTCCTCCTTGAGGTTGGTGACCTTTCCGCCCCTCCAGCCAAGCGCCTTGAGACGTTCCGAGAGGATTGGGTGCGAGTAGTGGTAGCTGGCGTACATCCAGTCAGCATCCATGGTGCTGAGGTTCTGGATTTGGAGCTTGAGAAGAGACTGTGCCAGCTCAGCGGAATATCCGAGTCCAACAGCAAAGGCGTCTATGGTTTGTTAGTCCTCAAAACATCTGGGGCTCAACTGTGTAAGCAAGAGGTGATAACATACCAGCCTCGAACTCAAACTTGCGGCTGAGGATGTTCATAAGCAGCTTGACGACGGCGTCCATGGGAGCCAGAGCGTCGGAGAACAAGAGGAATCCGATCATGATGGGCTGCTGGTTGTGGAAGCCAAATGACTGATATAAAGACTTGTTGTTCACGAAAGCGGAGAAAAGGGCGAAGATGTAGAACATATGGAACTGTCATTTCCACGTTAGTCCATTTCCTGTAGCATTGCAAATGGCCAAGGATAGTGAATCTCACCTGGGCGATACCAAACAGTTTGGTAGTGTGGCTCAGGCTCCAGTGACCGAGTTCATGGCTGAGCACTGCGACCACCTCTTCAGGCTCACTCTTCTCAATCAAAGTATCATAGATCACGATATGCTTCTTCCATGGAAGTCCGTAGAAGTAGGCGTTGCTGTGAGCACTCCGCTTGCTGCCGTCGATGACATGCAGCTCCTTCAAGGGAAATTCGAGCTTCTTGGCGAGGTTCTCAACGCCAGTCTTGATTGGGCCTGGCTCGAGGGGCGACAGCTTGTTGAAAAGAGGGAGAATGACAATCGGGTAAATGGTTATGGCGAAGATCTGAATAAAGATGGCGAAGATCCAGAGGTAGTAGAAGAACGAGTTGCCAGTCTTTTGGATAATCTTGAGGACCGCACTGATGATCGGGGTTCCCAGCACAATACCAAGCAACTGACCCTTGAGCATGTCCGTGACCCAGAGCTTGACTGTTTGCTTGTTGAAACCGAACTTCTCCTCAAGAACGAACGTGTTGTAGTACGAGACTGGGAGAGAGAGAACCGTGCTTATCAAGTTGAACCCGAAGAGAAAGACGAGCGTCTGCGCGATTTCGCCCTGAAACCGAGATGGAAGATACCGTGCCAATAGGAGACCACTAACACCCCAGAGCTTGGGGAGGACATCGCCGTAGATGAATGCGAGATTTTGAATCTGACCGTAAAGACCTGCGAAGAAACCGAACTTGGCTTTGGCGCGACCATAAGCCTACCACAAAATTTGGGGCTTGTCAGTGACCTGTGAAGGTAAGAATGCCAGACTGAATGTGTATACCTGACTCTGATCATAAACCTTCTGCGATACCTCGCCCTCCAAGACCTGGGGGGGCTTTGTCCGCTGCAAAACCTTGTATTGACGGAAAGACAAGAGACCCTCTAGGATGAACTGTCCCAGAGAGAACCCAACGAGGACATTCTTCCAGGGAAATAATGGGCGGTCGAGCAGACGCGCCAATTGCTAAACGGGACACGGTAAGCCGCGTTAGCTTCAACTTGCTCCCAGTTGTTCGAAGTATGAGAGTAAAAACTATAGAGATCGTTCCTGGGATCTGAAAGCTTACCTCGAGAATATACATGATAGCGTCCGCAGCACAGCAAGGATCTGAGATAGAACTTGCTGCGAGGTGGGCTGTAGTAAAGGAGGAGGAAAGACGCCGCGGAGAGGGTGAAACGTAATTAACGACTACCTAAGCTAACTAAGTGATTGACTGCCTTGCAGCCTTAGTCAACCGCGGCTTTGTCACTAAATACTGTCGTCTTATGAAGTACAAGACAGGCTGTCAATAAGCAACAAGGAGCATTCAATGACCCGAAATAATCAGGGACTTCCCACTACCTGGTGTGCAACTCATTACCATAAAAAACATGAAGCATTTGAAGTCTTAACTTTTGTTTCATTGCATTCATCATTCCCCTATACAGCATCTACAAAGAGGCCATGTACCTTTTGGACCGAATAACAAGAATGAATAGAAAAAAAAGAGATGAAAAGAGAAAAGTTTTCCACAGAATAGCGTCATAACACACGTCAAAGGAAGTAGCTCTTCGTACACCAACTCCAGCCATGCTACTTCAACCTCCAGCCTGCCTATCCATCCTGCTGTATGCATGGCCTCTTTGTCTCTGCAAACCTTGGGCTGGGCCGACGGGAGCTGAAATATCCCCCCGTACTCTTCAGCAGGTGAGATAGGCGAAGATTGAACTTACTGCGTTCTCTATTCAGGGAATCAACCCGACACGCGCTTTCATTACCATAAACCCTTCTATTTCAGAGTGACCCAGTCCATCAAGGCTAGTTGTAAACTAGACTACAATGTCTCCATCAACCGTCTCCCGGTTGGACCAAGTTGAGACTCTTCAAGCTACCAATAGCTTGTTTTTAGTTCGAAACAGGCTCAAGAGTGTTACCGCTAAGAAAAGAGTTAGCCAATATTCATGACCGCTCATCCTTCTGAGCCTGAAACCACACAAAATGAGGGGATAACTCACGCGACAATGTTGGCCCATCCAATCAAACGCCAGTGCTTCTCAATTCTGCGGCTGATAGCGATCTTCTCGCCGATTTCGGTACAGGCAGGGCTGGTCAAGCTGAGTTTAGCAGCGTCGGCCTTGACACCGACAACCTTGGCACCAGTGGCCGTAGATCCGATGTTGACCATGAGAACCTCGTTCTTCGTCAACTTGGCAACCTTGGCTTGCTTGCCATCGGCGGTCTTGACACCCAAGAGACGACGGAGCAGGAAGTAGTTAACCTCCAACTCGGTGTAGATGGCAGGAAGGCGTCCACGGTGACCCAGAACGAAACCAACGAGACGATCAGCACGGCAAAGAGTAGGATCGACACGGGTACCGACACCAATCAAACCACCAGGCACGGCGAACTTCAGGTCGTTGTGCTCAGCGAAGAGGGACATAACCCGGGAGAAAATGGGACGGCACTGAATCTTGCCGTTCTCGTCCTTGGTCACGAGACCAGGACGGATCTCAATTTCGTCGTTCAACTTCAACACACCAGTGAGGATGGAACCACCAGCAACACCGCCCTTCAACTCCTCAATCTCAGCACCAGGCTTGTTCACGTCGAAGGACCGAATGACGATCATGTGAGGGGAAGCGGTGAAGTCACGGACAGGGACCGGGATGTGCGAAACCAGGTACTCGTTGACAGCATCGATGTTGTACTTCAGCTGAGCGGAAATAGGGATAATGGGAGAGCCATCGGCGACGGTACCACGGATGAACTTCAAAATCGACTGGTAGTGCTGCAGGGCTCCATCTTCTCTCATCAGATCGACCTTATTTTGCAAAATGATGATGTGGCTGAGCTTCATGATCTCAATAGCTGCCAAGTGCTCCGAGGTCTGGGGCTGAGGGCAAGTTTCGTTTCCGGCAATCAACAGCAAGGCAGCGTCCATGACGGCGGCACCTGACAACATAGTACTCATGAGAATATCGTGACCGGGGCAGTCGACGAACCTGCGACGGAGCGGGTCACCAGTTAGCTACAAGAGTGCTTTGCTCGGAAAGACAGGGTGTAAAGTACATACGAAACATGTCTCAAAAGTCTGTAGCGACCGGAACATCCATCTCTCTCACAAGGCGGGTCGATCTCCTTCTCACTCTTGAAACTCTTGAAGCAAGTCGGTCTGGGACACTCGGGGTTGTCGCACTTGTAGATCTTGGCATTGGCATAACCCAGCTTGATGGTGATGTTTCGCTCCAACTCGTTCTTGAAACGGACAGTCTGCACCTCAGAGATAGCTTTGACAACCGTCGACTTGCCGTGAGCGACGTGACCGATGGTACCAATGTTGATCGTGGCCTGGCGCGCAATAATCTCGGGCGTCAGCGGGGTGAGTGTGGACAGGTCGAGGGTCTCTGGGTTGGGCTGCTCAGGCAGCTCCGGCCGCTTAATCTGGGGAAGAGAGGGCACTCCAGAGTTCTTCATCGCAGACTTCAAAGGCTTCTCCTCGAGGTCGAGGGGCTCCTGATCTTCGATGTCATCGTGACCGTTCGCATCGAGCATAGGAGATCCAGGCTGAGATTCATCGTCTGTGTAATCGCCGTTGGTAGCCATGATTGCGATCTTAACCAGGAGACGACAACGGGGTAAGGTATAGAAGGGTGGGTTGACGAGGGGGTGGATTGGAGGGGCGGATATCGAGGGTCGTCTGGTCGGATGAAAATTGCTGCTTGGGAACGGAGAGGCGATATGATACGGTTTGAGCCAGTGGGGTTCGGGTTTGTGCAGTGGAGAGCGAGTAGGCGGTGGGTAGCGGCAGGATTTGTGTTGACCAGTTGGCGAGCAGGCCGTTTTGACTCATCGCGCTCTGTTGACCAACCACTATTCAATCGGGCACCAGAATGCAGATGTAGGGATACAAGAGTACCTGATCCCAGTACAAGAGAGAAGCAGGGATTATAGTCACTAAGTTCCGAAGGAAACTCCATGCAGATTTTTACCACGCAGAGAACATACTAACAACATGATTTTACCAACGGCAATTGAACAATTCACCCCGCTTTTGTCTAACAACGATGGTTGGGTATAACGTTATAGGTCAACATACATTAGGCCCGCTGCTACTCAGCGTCGCTGGCTTCGCTATCGGACTCCTCCTCGCTGGCTTCATCTTCATCTTCGAGTTCCTCGTCATCCGAATCGAAAAGGTCGGACGAATCGTCAGCCGCCAGCATCACGAATGCTTTCAAGCAAGTGACCCGATTCCCCGTAGCATAGGTGTTCAACAGCCGGCCGACTTGGTTGACTTCAGGGGCCTTGTCGCTCTTGGAGCTAGAGTTCTTCTTGCCACCCTTTTTCTTTCCTACCAACTCAGAGCCGCGTAGCAGCCACACGCGGATCAAACCCTCGCTATTAGCAGTAACGACCAAGTAGTCGCTCTTGTTGGGCCCTGGCTGATCCTTCAAACTAAGAACCTCGAAATCCTTGACTCTGCCAGGGAACCCATTTGCTCTGCCACCGAGCTGGGCAACGACCTTGGCAAAAGGAATAGGAGATTCATCCCCCTCCGGTGCATTCTCAACCTCTTTGGTGGAATAGAAAATGACTCTGCCGTCTTCAGTCGATACGGCAAGCAGTTCATCACTATCCTCTGAAGAGGGATCAGAGCTGACATATGTCATCTGGTGAAGCTTACTGCGGGGACTGGGGAACACCCTGCAGATGGGAGTCGAGTCCTGTCGGGGTTAATCAGTTGGTGCCATCCTGTCAGGAGAAGCCATACCGCAAACTTACAATGCCAAATACAACAGCGCCCCATTCAAAAGCGACAGCAAATTCGTCTCCCGCGGAATTCCACACAATCCTCCTTCCTTCACCAGTGCTCCACTTTCCTTCCTTGACACTTTGTAGAATCTCCCGGTTGAAGCTCAAGACTCCAGCTTTCTTTCCAGTAACCAGATTCCACAATCTCATGCATTTCTCCCCCTTGCCAACGCTTAGCATGAGCTTCATACTCGGATGCACGGCGAAATCGTTGATTCCAGATGGGGAGCCTCCGGGAGGCGCGGTGTCACCACTTGGGCGGCCCTGGACTTTGGGGCGCGGGGCCTTGATGGTCGAAACGACGCTGAAGTCGCGCGTCTTGGTAACTGAGATGGTGTTGTCCTCGGCCGCAACCAGGATCTTTGAGCGCGAGGGAAAGCTGAGGGCGGAGATGGGAGCGGAGTGATGCATCAATGAACCCAATTCGCGGTTCTTGGGGTTTTCAAGAATCTTGTTGCCCGCGAGAGTCGGGACAGTAGGATACTCTTCGCTAAAAGCCACTGGAGCTGCAGATAACGAGTAGAGATTGACACGCTCATCGGTAGCACCGCTTGCCAGAATTACTTGGGGGGCTTCGTTGGAATCTGCCTTGGGCAATGGGGACAATGCGAGGCATCGAATTGCAGAGGTGTGGGCCTCGAAAAGGAAGTTGTCCACAAACTGAACCAGATTAGCGCTGCCGGAGGTCTCGGTGGTGGTGGCATTATCAGGCCTTGCGAAGGCATCAGGTGAAATAGCAGCAGTGAAGCCATGCAGCACACGTTCGTAGGAGCCGGTGACTATCTGCAGAGTGATCGCCGGAGAATCGGTAGCGGTGGCAGCAGGAGTCTGTTGACTAGTGGTTGATTTTGCGACCTTGGACACCTGCTTCGGAATTTGTTGGTCTTTGACCGTTTCCTCTCTCTTGCGTTTGACCATGATGAATGATGGGTAATATTGGGGCTTGATATGAGGAATCTGAAGGAAGTTTGGATGGGCAATCTGCGAGCGATCAGAAAGCGGGCAACTTTTTTTTCTGCCAGGCGTTATCACCGGGGAAGCTTGGCGGTGAATGAAGGTGGGCCCTGTTGTGGTTCTTAGTGGCCGCAGTTGCCTTTTCTCCAGAGCAAAAAACACCTTTTACTACTACGAAGTACGGGCACGACTCACGTATTAACGTTTTCTGGAGGCTGAAGGATGATATTGATCAGTATCAAATGAGTTTGGCTAGGTGGTAGCTGATGCTCTTCAACGCAAACAGATGATATTATACCCAGACTACCTGTACTTCACGATGAGTCCTCCTTAGCATATGACATTCCATTGACTCTTGGTCTAGCTGCGTTTTCACTGATATACATAGCATTGGCATAGAGCAGTCTACTCAGTCTAGTAAACAAGCAATCTGTAAGATGTCTGGGCTCTAAATTTCTGGCAAACTTTTCGGAATTCGAGCATTGTAGAGCATACGGAACATGTGCATGTCCAAAGAGGAATATGGATCATGGTTGAGAAGCCTTTCAATGAACTTGTATACTAGTAGTCAGTCAGTCATAGCTGACTCTTTGATCCCCCATATCAACTCAGCCCCATTCATATCTATTGGTACTGGCCAACTGACTCGGAGTCCCATCACCTATTTGCCTTCTTGACCCCAAAGAGTGTGCGGTAACCAGACCCCCAAGCCTTGGGCCTAGCAGGAAGCCCTAGAATGACTCATCTCAACTTACTCGCCACGACAGTGAAGACTGGTGCTGAGCCTCAAATAGGGTGATTTGAAGGAAGAGACCGAGAAATAGAAATGATCCAATGTTTCAGGATCCCGTACGACAACGTGGCTTGTAGATCCTCACCTTCTGTTCAAGACATTCATTCTGCTCCGGTGTGTCAGTGTAGACCTACCTTGAATACGCCAACGGCGAGCAGATACCAAGCGATTATATATCATAGAAAGGCTTGTGGTCCTAGTGCTGATGTGACGTTTGGCACCGTCAGACCATCTGTGACCAGGAATGATTTTAAAATTGACAGCTCCAAAGTACGAGTATCCGTCCGTCCAAGTAAAGGCCAGCCTGCATCAAAAACATAAATCGACTCGAATCTTGTGGAGTGGCTTTTTCTTTCTCTTTCCGTTCACGGAAGAACTCCTCCTCGTGTCTCGAGTGGTAAGTAGATCATAAATCGAATCGAAACTGTTGGTATCATGAAGAGAATATCACCGCTTTGGATGATTTTATATAAACCACTCGGTCGTTCTTTCTGCCACACATCAGAGTGATTATTGCACTATACCTCTTGTTGCTTATTAGTGCATTTTTTTCACATACAAAAACCACTTAGAAATAAAATTCCAGTACCGGGCAAGTCCACAAAGAGCTTGAATAGGTTCACCTGCGGCCAAGTACAACAATACTGTACAGAGTACAATGCAGTTCCTACCAACTCTTAAGTGGGAGTAAACAGGCAGTTCATAGAGATCACTATACTGGAATAGGACTAGTCTTATCAAGCAGAGCTACCTTAGTAAGGGGGTGAAATAGCCACAGGTTCTCAAGGTGATTTCCACGCACCATATCCATTCCGTTGTCACCCAGAGTTACTTTGTATGGTAAATCTCTTGTATCTGTTACCTTACCCTTGATTTGAATTTGCTGCTGTTCGCGGCATTCACTCAGCTTCTGTCTCCCTTCCTCCCATACATACCAGAACTTCCCTCACAGTTTCCTCCTCCCTCCCAACCCGTACCGTACCCGGCCCAGAAGTCCTCACCACCACCAACACTACCATTCACTCTCCCACCATACAAACCCCCCCCCGAAAAGACCCCAAAAATCCCTTCCGCGGTGAAATCTTCGCGTCGTATCTTTGGCATCAGCTCCCTTCACAACCACCACCATTTCATCCTTTCCGAGCGATTTTTTCCTTCTGGATGACTTCGCTCAATTGGTTTTTCCTAATTTTAGCGCGTTAATCGGATGCTGTGTTCCCCAAAATAGGCTCCATGCTCCGTGACGAGCTTCTCCGGTCTAAGAAAGATGAGATCGCGTACGTATTTGATACTACCCTCAGTTATCATTTTCAAGCGATTTATTATATTCCTACAAGCCTAGCGACTGGGATTTATCGCTCATTGATAATTATTTAGACGTTGTTTGTCGTCGCGGAAGCGCAAACTGAGCGAGCTCTACTTTGCGACCGTAGGCTTCGCGGGCGCGACCGGGAACGCTCCGGCGGACTCTCTATACCATCACAAGGAACAGGCGTTCCTCGATGCCAACGACCTGACCAGGTGAGACAATTCATACTCCATGCTGCTGCCATCTAATACATCTTTTTATTCTACCACTTTCTTTTTTTCTTTCTTTCTTTCTTTTTTTTCTTTTCATATTGCCTTCCCTTAAATGAAATTAGCATGTCATCCCATATTCGTCCTATGAAGTCTTGAAATGTGCAGTTTACCAGACGGCATGACCTATACACTAACCTTGAACAGAGGTCGTTACTTTGATGAAGCCACTCTTCCACAACTACCAGACTATGCAGCGGTCTTATCGCGAGAAAGCAAGAAGCCTACGGCTCATGTAGCGCCCGCACCGTCACTGCCAGTAGCACCTGCTGCGCGAACTCACGATGTCGCCAACCCGTTGCCCACAGCAGAGAAAGCTGCCACGCAGATTAAGCCAGTTGACGAAGAGCAGCATCCAAGACCGCAGCAGATCCCGGCACAGAAGCTACAGCAACCCGCGGGCGCATCGCTAGCTCCTGCTCAACTTGCGCCTGACTCCTCTTTGACAAAATTCCAGAGCCGTGATGAATCTTCAGAGACCAGAAAACTTGCGCCGGCCGCTCCGTCCCCAGTCGTAGATCAGACGACACATTCTGCAGCGCAAGGGAAGCAAGTCAGTAGCCAGGACACGGCATTGGCGGCGGCTGCGGTCGGGCTGGACCAGAAGCAGGCAAATGCCCTACAATTAGGTTCAATATCTAATGTGCCACCGGCCCAGAAGAAGCATGATTCACGTCCGTCGCTCACTCTGGGAAACGCCCCCAGAGTCCCGGAGCAGCCGCTCTCTCCTGTCTCGTCGGCCGGTCTATACTCAAACAACACACCCCCTCTACCGGTCACTGTATCGCCAGCTACAAGCCCCACAGAGCCGGTCAATACTGCTGCTGCTGCGAGACTTGCAAGCCCTAAAGATGAAGAGATTGCCACCCCTCTCCCCACATTGGTACCATCTACGCCTGATGAACAATTGCGGTTTGAGGAGGCGCAGTCACTTAAACAGACACTTGCTGCAAGCAAATCGCTGGGCGATAACTCGGTCAACGATACTGCGACGAGCCAAATTATTGAAGAAAGTACCGCCTCAACTCCTGCTGCTGGCACACAATTACCAACAGAGGCTCAAATACAGCCTTCAATAGTACCAGTAGAGTCGAAGGCGTCGCTGGAGGTAGTCGGACAGCCTGCTGAGCCTCAGCTCTCTGCCAAAGATTTGACTCAAGCTGGACCAAGCACCATGGTTCCCAGAGAAACAACATCAGTAAAGAAATCATCACCGCCTGCCAATGCAGCACCGACGGTTGAAAGAATGACAACGAGAGTTTCATCTGGAGCCATTCGACATAAATCAGTATCCGAGATCCTTGGGGAGTCACCCAAGCCATTCCCCCAGCCTGATAGGCAGAGCTCCGCCGAGAAGCCTACGGAGACGACAAAGGCCGGAGTTGAGGCCACTCCCCATTCCACGGCCAGGACCCGGTTCAAGGATCGCAAAGCACGGGAGAAAGAGAGGACTAAGTTGTCTGCGGTTGTATTCCCCAGACAACCGCAGCAGCAACAGTCTCAGGAGAAGAGCGAATCGATGGAAATCATTAAGCAGCATGCTGGTGACCTCGGCAAGCTTAATGAAGAGCAGGACTACCTCTTTACTTTGTTCCAGAGCCGAGCATATACACCTCCTCGTGGGACAAGTCTCAGCACACTCATTGCTTCTGCTCATAAAACCCTGACAACGTCAAACCACCTCCTCGACTACCAGGAACAGATGGATTGTCGCACGTTGCGTCGGATATATTCTCTACAAAATGCGAACAGGTGGCCCTTGCGTCAACTGAAGCGATCGGTGGAACCTCCAAGACAAGGGACTCATTTGGATGTGCTGCTGAATCACGTGAAGTGGATGCGCACTGATTTCCGAGAGGAACGAAAATGGAAAATCGCCGCAGCGAAGAGTTGCGCAGACTGGTGTGCGGAGTTTGTCAATAGTGATGTAGAGCACCGTTCCCTGCTTCGCATACAGGCCAAGATTCCTCCCGTGAACAAGGCTGTGGAAGTGGAGGCCAAGCCCAGTTTGATATCGCCCCCCGAAGAAGAGACGGTTGACGAGGTGATGATCATTTCTCAACCTACCCCAGATCTGGTTCCTTCTACCGAAGAAGATTCCGCGAGCGAAGGCTTCAGTGATGAACCTCGCCTTTTAATGGGCGATACAGTCGCTCCGGCAGCCATCTTCTCCTTAGGCACAGATGAGTTCACATTCTCATTGGATATGACTCCCGCGGCCCAGAAGCTTCTGGACGAGCTACCCATTTATTCTCCCATCACAATTAAGCCCGAAGTGGACTTCCCAGTCTTCAAAGAATCTCCTGACACGGTATGGAAAACTGACATTCTTCCCGTGTCGAAATACGCGCTTGGCAAAGTTACATTTCACGACGACGAACCGGCTCGGAAGCGTAGTCGATATGATTACTCCCAATATCGGTCTGATCTCGACCACGGCTCGCTGGAACTTCCTCCGGAGCAGACAAATGTCGCACTTTTTCGCATGGAGAACAGGCACATCCGTGATAGAATCCACCCTGGCCATTCCTTTAGACCCCCTACCGAGCATCCTATGCCCACGGTCGGTTTCTTTGAGTCAAGACAATCCTCTCAGTGGACCTATGCTGAAGACGATGAGCTCCGTCGGCTAGTGAAAGAGTATTCCTACAACTGGTCACTCATTTCCAACTGCTTGAGCCCATCCTCGCAGTTCACATCTGGCGCAGAGAGGCGAACACCTTGGGAATGCTTTGAGCGTTGGATCGGCTTAGAAGGATTACCTGCTGACATGTCTAAAACCCAATATTTCCGAGCCTACCACCAACGGCTCGAATCGGCACAGCGCACGGTGATAGCACAACAACAGGCGGCCCAGCAACAGCAGCAGCAGCAGCAACAGCAGCAGCAGCAGCAGCAACAACAGCAACAGCAGCAGCAGCAGCAGCAGCAGCAGCAGCAACAACAACAACCGCAACAACCGCAACAACCGCAGCAGCAGCAAGGTAGTAATACCAACACCAACTCGCAGTCACTGCCTCCAATACGGCGGAGAACTACACAGCCGGTTCGAGTGGACCGAAGAAGATCTTCTAAACATCTGGCGTTGCTCGATGCTATGCGGAAACTGGCTAAGAAGAGAGAAACCATGCTTCAGAAGCAGCAACATGGTAAGTCACTCGCTCACGAGTGTGCCTAGTACTCTACTGATGACTATCTCCATAGCATCTCATCTAGCCTCGTTGCGGAAGGTGAATGAAGCCAATCAACCAAAGCCTCCAATTTCATCGCCTGCTGAATTTAGCCGACTCAAATATGAACGTGAAATGAAGCTCCAGGAGAGACAGGAACAATATCGGCAACAGATGTTCGCTCAACAGAGAGTAAGTCCTGCTGTAACATGACTGTTATTACATGCTTGTCGCTCACATTCTATTCATCAGGCAAACATGGCCAACCAAGCAAATATGGCCGCTCAACGTGCTGGTCAAGTACCTAATCAGCAGCAGATAATGAATGCTCCGGGGCGAACTCCTAATGGTATGCCACACCCTGGGGCGCCCGCTATGGCGGCCAACACGCCAAACGGAATCTCCAACGGATTGCCAAATGGAATGCCAGCTGGGATGCCCCATGGTGTCGGTCCCAACCAAGCTCGACCTCATATGCAGGGTATGTCTGGTGGTACACCTGTTAATGGAGCCATGCCGCCCAACCCGATTGCAGTGAAGATGATGCAACAACAGCCCAGCATGCAGCACAATGCTGCTGCTCGTCCTGGGATGCCCATGCAGACTTCTCCAGATAACGCCCGCGTCATCCGCGAAGCCAACCGGCTACAAGAGCAACAGCGAATGCTGCAATCAAGGCAACAGCCACCGCCGCATCCTCATCAACAGCAGACCCAACCCCAGCAGCCCCAACAGCAATTCCACAGCCAGCAGCAATTCGTGCCACAAGGCTCTCATTCTCCGAACCTTAACATGCCGAATGTCAACGGGACCCCTAACAATCCAGCCATGATGGCTGCACTGCAGGCCTCCGGTGGAATGCAAAGCCCCAACTTTCACAATACCACTCCACAGGGCGTCTCGACGCCGTCCCCCCGGATGGGTCAGCCGAATCTGCTCTCTGGCAGTATGGTGCCTACAATCAGCAGCCTGCAAACCCAGATTCAACGAAGCAACCCAAACATGCCTCCAGAGCAAGTCACCAAGTTAGCTACGGATCGCTTACATCAGTTCCAGCAGCAGCGTATGACGCAGGTTGCCATGAGTAATGCAGCTGGCAACATCGGCGCTGTTCAGGCTAATTATCAAGTCTCGCATGATGCCAATTTCCAATCGCCCCAGGCTGCGATGAGTGGTGGGCCGGGAGTTCCAGTACAGGCTCAGGGCTTTTCGCCCATGATGCGTGTTCCCCAGCCAGCACAGCAAAACCGAGTTGCTGCTGTAGGAAGCTCTCCATCCATGAATGGCGCTGTTCCTCAACCCAGCCGCAGTGTTACTCCACAGACCCAGCGCAGTGGTAGCGTTCAAGCTGGTCCAGTGCCGGGCGCTGCGAATAAGAGTCCCAACCCTCCTCAGGCTCAGACGGCAACTAGCTGAAGTTGTCGAACAGATTAGGCTACTAGACCAATCTCTGATATCTTGTCTCTTCTACTCTTCCGCTGTACATATTTATCCCCCCTTCTTACTACCTTTTATTCTACCTTTCCGTGTTACTCCTTGGACCATTTCCGCCATGAAACCAGCCTTTTGATGGCACAGACTTCCCTTAGCCTCACATGAACCCTTCTCGCCTTCCCCGACTCACTTTCTACCTTCACCCTCTTCCTTCAGCTTACTCACCCGCTATTGTTACCCCTTCTTTTTCTTTCTCCATCATCTGCGACTTCTCACGCTATTGAGGTTCGGCTTGCACTTGAACGTTCCGGGGGACTTATTGTGTCAATTCTCTCTGCGCTTTTGTACTACATGTATTGATAGGACGGATACAAAAGGATGGCGCCGAGGATACAACTTGGAAGGCCAATTGGAATGGGATGGGCTCGAAAGATATAATGAACCGCACGACTGTATGATTACTGCTTACTTTGTTAACGCAATATATCCACGTATACAAGGTTTTCCTCCATCGGGGCCGCTTTAAGACACCCATCCAAGGTTTTCTGCAAGAATACATACTCCATGGGCGGTTGTTGATTCAAATCCCTGTAAGCGCGCGTTTAGCCCCGCGTCTCTAATTTTGCCACCGCCTCGGCGATGCTTATTACGCAAGTGAGCTTTCAATGAGTGGTAACTTTCGCATACACAAAACCGCAGACCTACACCTTGCATACAAACGAGTTCCACGGATATAGGAGAGGGCGCAGTCATACCCTTCCTCCAGCTCAGCGCATGCTTGAATAAATCGCCTCAAATGGAGTGATCGGTGGACCTTTGAATCAATCCAGAATCACAACCCCAAGATCACCTCTCACTCATCCAGCTTCAATTCATTTCAGTAGCCAGAACTTGAAGAAAAGAGAAAAGAGAGAAAACACAATGTCCTCATCCAACGGCCCACAAAGCAGTGGCGATCCCAGCACAGCAAAAAAGCCCTTCTCCCTTTCACTAGGCAAAGGAGGAGGCGGAGGCAGCGGAACAACAACTCTCAACTTCAAGTCCGCCACTACCAAACCGACTGACTCTTCCTCAGCCGCTCGTTCCCTACCCCTCGCCGCGCGCGGGCGCCGCCCCCCTCGGCAGCTTCACGATGATGACGAGGACTCGGAGGATGAAACCAGCCGCGCCCCCGCCCACGAGGAAGTCACGGGCTTTGACACGGCCACAGGAGCCGCGATCTCCGCCGCCGACGCCGCCGCGAAACAGCCGCTCGTGATCCCCGTCGCTAGTAACAATAATTGGCGCGACCGGCCAGGCGCGCGGCCGCGTGGGACGAAGAATCTGTTGCCCAAGGAGGTGCAGGCGCTGCAGGAGGCGCAGCGGCGTGGCGAGGTCGCTGGGGGCGCGGCGATGGAGACAGAGGGGCCTAGTGTGGTCTACGGGTTGAGCTTTGCGGCAAAGAATCCGGAGGAGGATGGAAAGCAGGATCAAAATGGCGATGGAGATAGGGGGATGGAGGACGCTGGAGGGGTGGTGGGCGGTGGTGACGAGAAGAAGGATATATCGGAGGAGCAGAAGAAGACGACAAAGCCGATGACGCAGGATGAGGTTGCGTTGCAGGCGCTGATTCGAGAGAGCAAGGGTGAGACAGCGGAAAGGGGTCGGTCGGATCTGGTGATCCAGGCTACTGCTCCGGCTTCGGATGAGCCGCCGCTGCGCTACGATGAGACGAGCTCGTTCCGGGCGGATATCGCCTCGAGGCCGGAGTCGGCGACGCTGGACCAATATAATGCGATTCCCGTGGAGGAGTTTGGCGCGGCGTTGCTGAGGGGAATGGGTTGGAAGGAGGGGCAGGCGGTTGGGAAGGGCAAGTATGGCGGTGCTGCTGCCGCCGCCGCGCAGGGCAACAAGGCGCGGGTCCCGGAGCGCAGACCTGGGTTCTTGGGCATTGGAGCCAAGGATGTTTCGGGGGGTAAAGGCGCGGAGGCTGAACTGGGAGCCTGGGGCAAGGCTGCGATGCGCAAAGGATCGAGGAAGGCCGGGCAGGAAGGGGGTGCGAATACGGAGGGTGTCTACATGCCTGTCATGATGCGGAATACGAAGACGGGCGAGTTCATCACGGAGGAGGAATTGTCCTCCCTGAAGAAGGAAGCGAAAAAGAAGGATGAGGACGATGATTGGAAGGCGAGGCGGGATCGCAACTTGGAGAGGAGCGGGCGCGATCGAGATGACCGGCTCAGAGAAAGTGATCGCGACTCTCGACGACGAGATTACGATGGAAGATCCAGCAACGGGTCGTCGAGGAGAGATCGGAGTCGTTCGTCAAGCGATCGACAATCAAGAAGACGCAGGTACGACGATGGCGGCAGTGACAGTCGCGATGATCGCTATTACCGAGAGCGAGACAGAGATCGTGACTCTCGTCGAGATCGAGAGAGGAATCGAGACAACAGGGACAGGGACAGTGACAGAGACAAAGACAGAGACAGAGATAGCGACCGGGACAGAGAGCGCGAAAGAGACGGTGGCAGGAGTCACCGATCTCGAGACGATGATCGCTACAGTTCGAGGCACTCCTCGAATACTTCCAGCAGGCACCGTGATCGTGATCGCGATCGAGACCGCGATAGTGACCGCGACTCGCATCGGAGACGAAGATATGACGGCCGGTAGCGTGACTTAGAAAGGATTAGAGATTGCCCACATGTATAGTCGGAAATGGCTTTTTTCTCCCTACAGATATCGCATTATCACCTAGACGAACATAACTTTTTACAACGCGGTATTCCTCCCAACCAGAATCATCGAGCAAGACAGCAGGACTCCGCTCACAGCGCCAATATCTCCAAAAATAACAGATGATCTTTTGTCTATCTATACATGTTCTCATTCATGGCTGGAATCCAGTTTAGATCCATGGGCCTGTCTTCATGATCCCAACATGACGACATCCTTCTCGGACTCAGGCACATTGTCCTCCAAAGAGTTGGCGAAGAAGTCATATGTGCTCGCAGCACCCAACCCACCCAAGCCCACACCACCATCCATCTCTGCTAGCACCCACTCCACAAGGTAACTCTCGTCAGAGAGTTCCTCAATTCGCCGGTAGTGGCGGTCTGTGTAGGCAGCCAGAGCCTGCAGGATTTCCTTCAATCCTGCACTAGTGCGACTGTCGCTGCGTCGCTTAGCCCTGCCTGATGTTGCGAGCTCAACGAACGTTGATGCAGGGTAAGACCGGAACAGAGCGAACAGGATGCGTTGTGCGACTCTGGCAGTGCGCGCATTGGTATTCCAGTCACGAACGCGGAGAAGAAGGGTGCGGAGATTGTCGGGATCAAGGGTCTGGAGGACCTCGTCAATTGAAGCGTTGCCAGTGAGACTGTTCTGATTCGCAATGTCCTTAGCCTCGGTTGAGGACGGGTCATCAGCAGCATCAATGGCGGAAGTGAAGAGGGAGAGAAGGCGTCCAGGGTGGTTCAACTGGAGCGCAAGTGTGATAGCTTCGCGATAAGCACCGGCGCGGATGTAGTTCTGTAACTGCTGGTCTTGTTCGATGCGAGCCGAATTGGCGTTCACTGCGGCCGTGTAGGTGGCAGAAGTGGTATCGGTCCAGAATGTGACTGTCGAGTCGGCAGAGCCAGAAACAAGACCATAAGGCGAAGAAGTCTTGAATGTGGTGGGAGATGCAACATCTTCGCGAGAGCCGGAGGGGGTCGGACTGGCCAACGCCCACACACGATCCTCATGGTTGTCAAGAGTAGTCTCGAGCTCGCCCGAGTAAGGGGACCAAATCTTGACCAAGCCATCGGCGGCGGCAGAGGCCACCAAAGGACGCATTTGTGCCGCTGTGTTCTGTGCCAGTGCAGATTCTTCCTCCTCGTCATCCTCTTGCTGGTGGGATAAATCTGAAGGCGGGAGCCAGATCACCTTAAGCACACTATTCGTGTGGCCTTCAAAGGTGAGAAGACAACTGTAATCCGATAGACTCCAAATCTTGATGGTCTTGTCACCCGAGCCCGTGGCGATTAAGCCTCTGTTGGTGCTAGTCCCGCTCTCGGAGTTGAGTATGGGAGTGCCTCGAGGGGCAAAACGTGCAGACCAAACACCTCGCTTGTGTCCACGCAGGACACCGACCGTGGTGCCATCCTCGGCTGCCCAGATCTTGACGGTGCGATCCTGGGAGGCAGATGCGAATAATGTCGCTGAGGGATTGACATCCAGAGCATTGATATCTTTTTCGTGCGCCTTGCGGGTGTAGATAGCCTTGGGGTGGTGGGGCTTGTCAGAGCTTAACGGAGGCAATTTCCCGAGATCCCAGCGCTTGATCGTCCGGTCTTGGGAGCCCGTGAGCAAGAACGCAGGGGGATGGTTCAAAGGATCGTTGTAGGCAGGAGTATTGGCGGGGGGTGGGACTCGGGGGAAACTGATAGCACCCAATGACTCGGCATGGCCGGTGAAGACCGCGAAGCAAGTATAGGATGAATTCTTAGGGTCTAGACGCCACAAACGTGCAGTATTATCCTTTGCACCAGTGACCAGCCAGTGACCGGACCAATCTACATCAACGCAGATAATGATGTCGTCATGGCCCTCAAGGTGCGTGATATCGGCACCAAAGTATCCTTCTCCGTCTGCAGATGGTCTGTCTTCAGATGGTCCCACCGACACAATGCGGATACTCTCCGTGTTTGTAGCCAGAGCCAGCATCGACCGGTCAGAACCAACATATGCGAGATCGATGATATCGTCGTCGTTGCCCGATATGCGCCGAATAATCGGTAAAGGATCCAAGGTTGTGCCTGGGTTATAGCTGGCCAAAGGCTCTAAAGAATAGAACCGGATAGTCTGGTCAGCATGCACTGTCAATGCGTAGGACATGCCGGGAGAATATTGAATTGCCACAACGGCCTCATATTCAGACGCAGGTTCTTGTTCGGCAGTGACCTCTCCTCCGCGATTGCAATCCCATACGCGCAAGCGACCGTTTTCGCCCGCAACTAGACACAATCCACTATCGGCGACGAAGCAGGAAGCCTCCACACTTTCGAGGACTGGAATGACCCTCCGCGTCTTGAATGTTCGCATGTCCCATACAATCACGGTTTTGTCGCGGCTGGCTGAAAGCAAGGCATTTTCTGACGGCGAATATGAAACGCTGCGCACAACCGAAACGTGAGACTCAAGCGATGCGATGGGCTTCCTCCTGTTCAAATCCCACACGCATACCTTACCCTCCTCATCTCCGGAGGCAAGTCGGAAAATTCCCGTTGAACTTCCCATTTCTTCATCTTCATCTGAGTCGTGCGACTGGTTCTTGTTCTTCCTCTTACTCGAGGACGATTTGTTCGTGACGTCTGGCGCCTGGAAAAAGCACAAGGCTGAGATGACACCTCCGTGGCCATGGAAGGTATGCGTGATATAACCGCCCCGGATGTCCCAGACCTTGATCGAGCCATCCGCAGCACCAGTCGCCAGTAGGGTACCTGTGGGATCAATTGCAGTCGTCACGACAGGTGCTGTGTGGGGCTTGAGACTTCTGAGTAGCTTCGCGTCGATCGTACGTGTGGACTCGTCAAGAGGTGTTAGAGAGTAGATTCGCATAGACATGGACCGTGAGCAGAGAACGACATGGGAGGCCGACGGAGAGACTAAGTATAGTCAGAAACACCAAACCACAGAACGATGATCATAAGCTGGGAGATTGCATACTGGCTAAGCTTGTGATAATCTCGCCATCCTAGATGTCTCTATGTCAGCGGGATGCAATAGAATAAAAGGTGAACGACTACTCACTCCTTCCAGACTAGCGACCTGATCTCCGGTCTCCAGATCCACCACGAGAGCATCTTCACTGATGCATGTCACCAGGAAGCGACCGCTGGCATCGAGCGCAGTGCTTCCTCCGGTGTAGATGGGACGAAGCGTGCGAGAAGCCTCGAAGGTCGTCTTCACCACAGCTTTAGACATAATCTGCGAAACTACAGATCCAAAAGGATCCACGTAAATCGGAGTTTATGCGGTTGCTGAATGCCATCCAACTCGCCGTCGCACCGAAACTTTTGATCTTTTTTCGATATGTTTGTCTTGTTTGTCTCTTTTGCTGGGGGGGGGGGCGCGCCCGATTCCTGCCGCCTTCCTTTTCGGGAATAATAGCCTGCCAAGGTTCCATTAGTCCCGCCCATCGATCATCAATTACTACTCGACATCATCATCATCATCAGCTTCCTCCATAACTACCTCCGGCAATCAAGAATAAAAACCTCCGTGGCGAATATGGCTTTGAGCGCACTCACCCTCGAGTAACAATAAGGCATTTATGCGATGGGGCGCCGAGCGTACCTGAATCGACTGGCTTTGGTATGCTTCACCTTCATGTTTCATTTCCATAGACAGTACTACAGAGCCTCACACAAGAGTCTATATCTTTCACTCTGGCATTCTACTCAAACTCACAATCATGTCTTCGACGTCCGATACACAGCGGTGGCAATGGTACAATAAATGTTCCCATATATAAGCTCTATTGAGCTCTTATCTAAACTGGTCTTTTTTTCATCACGTGGCGCTCTTTACCCTCATTGCAGTTATCCCAAAACATCTGCCTGATAACAATCTATTAACCCTCTTCAAGGGACGATCACCCTACGAGGCTCCTGATCGTCCCATAGGCTCTCCAGCGGAGCAGGAACCTGCTTGTCACAGGAGAATATCGGCTCTGCATGCTGATGACTATGTCCAACACTATGATGAGAGAGGTCATCCTATCAACCCAGAGTCTAAGTCTTTTGGCAGAGAGCTCAGACGAGCGAAAAATGACGTTCTATCCACAATGGGAATTGTTGTCAGTGAAGAAGGCAACATAGGCGGGCTCACCGAACAACAGAAGATGGAAATTATCGCGGCCGAGAATGACTATGGCCTGGTCATTGCTACTCTAGACCAAATTTCTGTCTTTCTCGGCTCGTGGTGGACCTCATCCCTGATGGGTCGCATATTGGTAATTATTTTTCGACTATGCGAAAGGAAGATGGCATGGAAGACCTTGTCCTGACTATTCTACAGACCTTCAAAAGTTACACGCAAATCCCACTACTCAGTATTATGCATCTAGAGCGCACAAGACATGGGATAATGGGTTTCTACTTTGCCGGTATTCCAGCTTGGGCAGTCTCAACATGCTTATCCTTTCTTCGACATCATCCCTTGGACCGCTTGATTGCGGCTTGCCAAGATTTATTTCCAAATGATAATGTGTTGTCGAGGCTCATCCGAGCCTCCCTGAACATGATACGCTCAGCGTAGGTAGATTGTACGGCCAATTTACCCTCCCTTGCTGACAGCGCATGTAGAACCCGAGGAAGTCTACTTATCCTGGCGATACAAACTTACATGTATTCCCTGTTGCAGTCGCTTCATCTCGTTCATCCTTACTCTTTACATGGGCTGAGGGCCATTCTACCCTTCGGAGAACATGCTTTGATGCAGCTTCCCATGCTACCAAAAGGCTACTCGTGGCGATCTTTCGCTGGGCTTCTAGCCAGTGTTTTGAGGACACCGTCGCTTCTCGTTTACCTATACGTGTATCTACGCCCAGTTGTAGAGATCAGACTCTATCGCTTGATTCGACGAAGACTTCCGAAGCCCACCTATGCAGACGAGCTCTCGGTGAAAGTGGCATGCGATAATGACCTTGTTGACTGGATGATGCCAGCACTTGGCCGTCGAGCTGATGAAGAAAACCGTCGCAGCAGCCTTTCTTTCATGGAAGACTTAGCTTACGAAGTCAATTTTTTCCGGTCCTGGATTCTCTCTTGGTTTGGCTTCAGGACACAACATACAGAATCATACTTAGAGCAGGCGCGAGAAGCGCACCGTCGCTTATCGCAAATAGAAGCAAGATCATCACGCGCACAGCAATCACGGGCCGAGCGGCAAACACGCGTTTCTCCACAGAACGAGCCTGGATTAGACACTGGGCGGGCTCAGCGGCCCAGCGCTCCTCGAGCTTCCACTACTGGCGGCACTTCAAATTCGGGGGCCATCTTCAGCGAGAGTCAAGTACTTCCCAATGAAGAGAATAGAATGTCTCAATCCCCGACAGAGATGAGCAGTGGTGACTATGCGGACATGGCGCCATTGCGACGGGCGATGGCCCTACCCTCAGAGGAGGACCAGAGTGAGAGAGCTATACCGGGAATCGAAGAGGCAGCCGACACCCAGATAATTTCGCGGCCGACTACGAGTCTCTCACACCACTCCTCGCCCGCTACCTCATCTTCAGCTTCGCCCCTGGTCCGTGCGTCGCTAATACACCAGAACTCCGATATTATCACCATGCAGTTGGAGGTTCTAGGAAGCCCTCATGCGCAGAACCTTGGTTCCGGGGAGCCAGCAGCAAGCAGCGAATTTGGCCAGCCACACACAGATGGGGAGCCGGTCAATAATCAGGCAATGCCAAATCTGCTTGATGACTTACTGGCCAATCAAGGCATGAATATAGCCACAGTGGTCAACTCAGATGCTCTGGACAGTGATGAACTCTCTAACATGACTCAGGGTATATCTTCAGAATCTGCAGATATAGCACCACTGTCTGCGACGCAAAATTCTCAAATACAAGCTCTGAGAGCAGGCTCGCGCTCTGTCGGGATCCCTGCACCTAATCATCAAACTGCATCACCAGATAGCACAGGGACGCTGAATCAAATCGCTGCGCATCAGCAGCTATCTGAACCAACTCCAAGGACTACCAACAATGTCAGCTCTGGAACACCTCAGCATACTTCCAATGAGAGGGCATCGCAAATTCCAACAGATGACCCTAGCCCTATCGCCCACCGAGTCACAATTCTTTCGTCCCTTCCCATCGATTCTCTAGCCTCTCATCTAGCTTCTATCATCACGACCTTGATGTTCATTCCCCTCGAATCAATATATCTTCGATCGCTTGCATCTTCATATTTAGCGAACACTGGCGCTCCCGCTGCTCAGCGATCAGATGTTTACAGCATGGGATTCTGGGCCGGAGATGGCTCTCAATCCAGTACGCTTATGTATTTCGGTAAAGTCGCCTTGATGATGGGGGTGCAGACAGCCGTGAATGCGAGTGCGTGGGGCATTATCTCTGGTGCTGCAATCAGAATTGGAAGGAGATTTTGTGGCTGGGGATCTTTATGAGTGGATAGCAAAATCTGTACAGTTCTGCCTAATTCTCAAAAAGGATCTGCTCGTATGTCTGGGAGCAGATTTGCTACCCAAGCTTTCGCATAAGCGGGTCTGCACTGGCACAGTCTGTAGCAGCCCTTGTAAATACAATTTTGTACTACAACTAAGCGCTCAATCAGGTGCGTTGACCCTGGGCGTTACCAGGACTGGAATGTCCTTGGTAATAACACGAATCAGTCGGTACAGTAATAGACTTCTACTATCACCCTCGTGATGTTCATAAATATCTAATTATACAGTGATTCAATTGGTATGTGCGCTGAACCGGAGTCCTGACCTACGAGCGCAGGTATAAATAGCCAACGTCAAAAGGGCATCTTCTTCTCGCGATTACTTGGCCGCAGCTTTGCCCTTACGATTGGCCTTCCCGGGGACTTTACGACGCTCCCATACCATAAGATAACCCTCCTTTGTGAACAGGGTCTCGCTTTCGGCCTTCTTGACGAACAGGTCCTGGATCTCTAGCCACTCGGGCCCCCGCTGCTCGCCCGCATGTTCTTTCTGCACGCGGCTATTTTCCGCAGCCATGGCCTTATCATGTAGTTGTACGAGCCAGGAGACCTTCTCGCTCCCCGCACCAGCGCCGCTCGACGAGGATGACCCACTCCCACCACTGCTACCGCCTGCTGCGTTGACGCCCTTGTCCGCGGCGGCTTCTTCGTGGGCGCCGGGTGCGGCGACCGTCGGGTCGAGGATGATGTTGGCGACGAGGTCGTATAGGATCGGCTCGCTGTGCGGCCAGATGTCGGGGTTCGGCTCGACATAGGGCGACATGTCCAAGGAGCGGGGCGAGGGGAACGTGACAATGGTTGGATTACGCTCGGATACGAAGCGGTTCTTGCTGAAGCGTTTGATGTGGAAGAGGAGGTAGGGAGGTAAGGGGTGGAGGAGCCGGTGGCGGACTCTCTGCGCCAGCTTCTCGGAGGCGGTGATGCCGTTGTACTTGTTCAGGAGGGTGGTCAGAGGCACCTGGGGGATGATGGATTCCCGGTTGGAGGACTGGAAGAGGGGCGTCGGGGGTAGGTCGAGGGTGAGAATGAGGTAGGGGGTGGTTTGGCTGTTGATGGTGCCAGATTCAGTGAAGACCAGGCGCGCGTTTTGGGTATCGGAGTGGGCGGTGATGGCCTGGCTTTCGATTCGGAGGTGGCCTTGAAAGGCAGCTTGGACGACACTTGTTGGCGTCTTGGAAGGCTTCTTGGCGCCTCCGAGTGAAAGGTGGAGGTTGTTCAGAAACCAGGAGAGGAACTCCACGGGGTCGGATTGTTGGGTGAGAGTGAATCGTTTCGAGGAACGCAAAGCGATCTCCTGTAGAAGCTCGTGCGGCGAGACATGGGACCGGAAAGCCTTATGATTCCATAGCTTGCGGACCAGTGTGCTAAACCGAACGGCTAGTTGGGGCGTGCCGGGCTGGGAGAAGTCATGCAACAAGAAATAGTTGCGGATAGGGAAAACATGGGCGAGGAGTTGGACCACGACATTGAGGTAGTCGTTGGCTTTGATGTTGTTCATGCCGACAAATCCTGGGCAGGGGTTAGCTTGGTTCTTCTGGCACTAAATGGGAAATGGGGCGCGACGCTCTTACCCGGTCTGTAGCGATTGCCTGCGAGGTCGAACGCATCATGAACCTCTTTGTCCAATTTGGCCACCTCTTCCTTGTTATAGTGCGGGTCCACCACGTATTTGATATCGTCCAAGCTCTTATTCTGAACCTCATATCCTTCAGGTAGAACGTAGACCTTCTTGGTTCCCATGTTGATGAAGACATGGTGTCCAACCTCAAGCGCATGGAAGTACGCATGCGATTTGGGACCTCTGCCCTGGAAGTACTTGCCGCAAACTAGGCAGGCGTATACATTGATATTAGACAAGCTCACGGAGCATTGTTTTTCGAAATCGAAGTCGAGGATTTCGCGGTTGATGGTGTCGAGGTAGAGGTCGCTGTATCCCTCCAGTGGCGCGCTTTGACGTTTCGGGGCTGCGATCGCCGGCTTGTCGTCGTCGTCATCGATATTAGCATCAGAGGACTCCGCTCCTTGATCTTGTGCTGCTTCCTCGAGTTCCTCGCCTTCCTGCTCTGCAGCCGCGAGTATGTCCTGACCATTGGCGCGGCGAAGCGGCAGAGCTTCGCTGCGCGCTTCGTCTTCTGGCAGGTCACCATCTTCGACACGGGCCTTCTTCGAGGCAGAAGAGCTCATAGAGAGTTCTTCCTCTTCTAGCGACAGTTCCGCTTGTCTTTTCGACATGATTGACTGGACCACGGGATTTAGCTGGGAAGTATGCGGCGTATTTGCGGGAATGAAACTGTGAGGGAGCGATAGGAACCGGTCAATGCAAACATGGCAAACATCGTCATACGGCGGACGATTACAGCATCATGGCTCCAGCCCGGAGAAACATCACCGGCATTTGAGAGATAGCTAGGCACTGTACACGGTGGATTCTGTGCTTTAGCGTAGTATCGTTGATTCTAGTCTCTACCTTGGTTCAATCATCGGCGAAACTACGTCCTGGTCAAAGTCATTGGAAATATCCTGCCATGCTAACCGATCCTCTCAGAAAACCAAGTCCCGTAAACCGAAAATATAAGACAATCATAGGTATGATACAACACATTAGGCACTCTTGACGATTCTGTTATTATCAAAATCTTGCTCCCGCACACCATCCTTGGTTATCACCTTGACGAGGACCTAGAAGACGTTAGTAAACCGGGACCATGGCGCGATCTAGTGCGGAGATTATCCTGTCACATACCCCCTTGTAGTCGATCGGTAGTCTGCGCTTCAGCTCGTCCGTGCACATTTCCAATAGCTTCAGCCCCTCATCGAGAGAGATGTCGGGGTGGTGGTGTTTGTCGAGGGTGGATAAGCAGTAGTATCTAGGCATCTTAGCGCGGTTCTCGGTCGATGGAAGGCCGCTGTTAGGTCTGGTCCAAACTTACTGGGCATAGCCATGAGCAGCGTAGGGTACGGAAGCCACAGAAGCCAGGTAGTCTATCCAGTAAAGATGAGGCTTCTGAGTGATTGGGTCAATTCCGCCCAGCAGAAGGTTGACTGTGTAGGGGTTCCGGGATCTCAAGCTTCGAGCCAACTCGCCGCGGACGAAACTGGCAACCGCGTTCGGACCTAGTTCGGTATCGTTCCTCATGGTGTATAGCTGGATGTTTGCTTGAATGTATTCGGCAAATTGAACTAGAAATTCATACGGTCAGCTGGGTGAGCAAATTCAAGAGCTTGGTTTGTCGGGCCACGTGAACCCACCAGTGTCTCCCGCCTCTCCGGAGAAGGCCATCAGGTTGTGTTTGTTCAACTGTTTTGTCTTATCGTCTTCGGCTTTGATAATGGTAGGACCTCGCATGGTAGCTTTTGAAGCGGCGAGAATGACGAAGTCCTTGCCAGTGATGCCGAGTAGTACCTCCCTGTAAGCAGATTAGCTGACAAGTGGATCCCAACATGTGAGAGATCAAAGAGCTCACATATTTGCGATTGTCGTTCCGGGACGTGACTGAAGAGAGAAATAAGAAGAAAGGTGATGTATAGATGTGGGGAGAGGAAGATGATGATTAGAACCTCATCGCTGGCCGCGCGGAGCTTTGACTGCCTGGAGCTGCGGCTACGAGAGCCTGGCTGCCTGAGGCCGGAGCTGCCCTGCTCAGTCAGCATTTAGGCGTTACGTTGATGCGGTCTCCGCCTGCACAGACCACCGGCAGAAAAAAAGTGAGCAGGCGAGTATCTCCGTCGAGTCGGGGTGACTATCAGTATCTGTTCACGTGTACTCCTCCATATATTACGCCCTTGGGTCGCCGGTTATCAAGCCAAACAGTCCGGGAAATGTCCTCTTTCTTCACAGTTCCCGCCTCCCAGCGGAAAAGAAAGAGAGAAGATCGCGCCGCAGCCCCGGCGTCGAAGAAACGAGGCGTTGATGCGAAGGGAGCATCTACAGGAAAACGAGGCGGCAAGCGGAGGGATGAGGATGAAGAATCAATTTCGGGAAGCGACCTAGATGAGGACAATCTCAGTGTTGCTTCTGATGTATCAGAAGGCAATGCATCAGATTCCGACGAAGGCGAGACCGCCGCCGACCGGAGATTAAAGCTTGCGGAGCGTTACCTGGAGAATGTCCGAGATGAAGTGGATGATATCGGCTTCGATGCGGCTGAGATTGATCGCGATCTGATTGCGGAGAGATTGAAGGAGGATGTGGTATGTATTGAATATACTTGTCTCCCATGCCCTCCATGGAACTGACCCTCGGGACAGGACGAGTTCAAAGGACGCATCTACCGTCAGATTGCATCGGACCTCGCATTTTCCAAAGCCTCGCATACGTTTTTTAGAGCAGACACACATTCGACTACTTCGATCGCAGTTCATGCACCCTACGTCTATACCGTGTCGAAGGATCGAACTTTGATCAAATGGGAGCTCGCTACTCCCACGCCCGCAACTGTGCCGCCTTCAACAAACGGAGATTCCAAGCGTCGCCCGCGTCCACAGAAAAAGAAGCCAAAGCAAGTGAAGTACGTTCGGGGCATGCGAAAGGTTGCGGAGACGGGTGAGGAGCACGGCCACACTAAGAGCATCTTGTCTGTTGCTGTATCGCCGTCTGGAAAATTCGTGGCCACTGGAGGCGAAGACAACAAGTTGATCGTCTGGGATGCAGAGACCCTGACTCCGCTGAAGACTTTTACACAACACCGCGACTCGATCAGTAGTCTTGCTTTTGCCCGTCACATTTCTACCATGAGTTCTGGAGAACAGCTTTTCACTGGCTCAAACGATCGCACAATTAAAACCTGGTCTTTGAGCACTGCTGGTCATGCTTACGTCGAGACGCTTTTCGGCCATCAAGACCATGTCACTGGTGTCGCCGCCATGACGATCGATCAATGTATCAGTGTGGGAGCGCGCGACCGTACAGCTAGATTATGGAAGGTTATCGAAGAACAACAGCTGATCTTCCGCGGCGGGTCCAAGAGCGCCTCTTACCAGGAGAACAACATCGATTGCGTGGCGCCTCTACCCCCGAACCACTTCGTCACTGGCTCGGATTCGGGCTCCATTTCGCTCTGGTCTGTTCACAAGAAAAAGCCCCTCTTCACGATTCCCCTCGCGCACGGCCTCGATCCTTTACCCCCATTGGATGAGCTCTCCGCCGAAGTCGACCAAGCCACTGCTGCTTCGAATTCTCGCCATCTCCGCCGCATGCCCCGCTGGATCACTGCCTTGGCGACAGTTCCTGGTACCGATATTGTGCTTAGTGGTAGCTGGGATGGGTTCATTCGCGCCTGGAAGATCTCAAGCGATAAGCGAACAATTATCCCCTTAGGCGCCGTCGGAGGCGTATCTAACCTGTCTCTGACCCCTGATACCCCATCCGAGCAACTAAGACAATCGCTCGCATTGGACACACCCACAGAGTCGGGCCGCATGGACGTAGAAGGCGCTCAGGCCCAGCCGACCACAGACGCTCCCGACGAGGAAGAGCCGCTTGTCAAGGGCGTCGTCAACGGCATCGCCGTTTTTGAACGTCGGGTTGAGACCGCCAAACCAGGCCAGGTCCCGACGGAGGCCAAGTCCAAGGCGAAGTCAGAGCCGGAAGCTCGTGGCCTGTGCATTGTTGCAGCAGTAGGCAAAGAGCACCGTCTAGGACGTTGGAAGTGCTTCGGCAACAATTTCCACGAAGGCAGCTCGGCCGAGGGCCGCAATGGTGCAGTTGTATTCGAGGTTCCGTTTATCGGCGACAAGCTCAATTGATGAAAAGGCCATCACACCAAGTACAAGACCAGAAAAAGAAAAACCAAAATGAAAACAAATCCGAATTAATCATCCTGTGACACGGTGTATGATGTTGTATGTATCCATCCTATCTTTTCTTCCATGTGGATTCTATTCCCGGGCCCCCGCCGCCTTTGCATATCCCCCTCTTTGTCGTTTGGTTTGAAAAAGTTATCTGCATCCAGAAGCTTCCCTGTTGCCCTTCTTGCTCTCTCTCTTGACCTTTTCTCCAAAGTGCTGCGGGTTTGCCGGACATGTACATATATACCCGATATCGTGAATGGACGAAAACACTTTAGATTCTAGACTCAACTGTTGCTGCTGGACGGTTGGTGAATGTCTGTTCGTGCAAGTAAGCCTACATGCAATATGCCTTGTTTCCAGACTGGATTCTTGTGCAGCCTTGTCGCCTAGTCAGAGTCAACTCAGCAATTGAAATATGTGAGGTAGTATAGTTGACTGCCGGTTCTAGACTCGACAGGCAACTAGTACTAACGGAGATGCAGATGGAGTCTATCTCGATTGAGCGGGTCAAAGGCCGGTGCCAAGGCGGGCGCCTATGCTATAGTATAGTCCGGCAGATGGTCGCCGGGGGTTACAGGGTCCCTGTCCGAGATGGGCCTAAACAGTAACTAAACACCAGTCTTTGCGGGGGAAATTTGCACGCACCCTGGTAAAGGGTCCCATCCCTGGCCCTTACAGTACCAAGGGAAAGCTATAGAAGGAAATAAGATCGAAAGCGTAACTAAATTCATACGAAGCCGGGTATAGAACAGCCTTGAAAAACACTTCTGTAGAACCTTACCGGGTGGAATTACTCGTCGAGCCTATGGTTTTTCTTCTTCTTTTGCAGTCGCTTTGATGCGCTGTTTGGCTGGTTGTGAATTGAAACCTTTGTCAAGAACCAGCCCTAGCTTTCTGCCCCATCAGAAGCAAACATGCCAGTCACGAAGAACGTAAGGGCCTAGAATTTCTGGTAATACAAGTCGTTTCGAGCGAGTCCATGAACAATTTGTCCTCGTCGATTTGCCATGCCTACCGGAGGTGCAAAGAGAGGAGGAGCCAAACGTCATCTGAAATGATGTTGGATATCAGGATAGACAAGCTTTCGTCATTTTGGGGCACGGCATATCCTCCTCGGATGATAGTGAGCATCTTGTGCGCAGTGTATCCTATGGCTCTAGATAGTCAGACCGAGTTGCTCCTTTGCGAATAGAAGGAGTTCAACACAGTTCCACGTGAACCTGAGACGAGGGATAGTGGTTGTAATAATCATAAATATTCGTTGGCCTTCAGCACCTAGGATGAAAGGCACATATGGCTGGATAATTGGTGCTTAGAGGGTGGACTAGCAGTTTTCTCGCACCCTTCTATTCCTTCTCGTAGGTCTCACAGGACCTTCATCTTCGGAAGAAGAGGCTATATATATCGGATTCGCGTCGGTATTGGTGGGTGAATGTTGAGTACGGCGAGAGCCTCCAGATGTTGTGCTAGGAGCCGCGTTCGCCGATCGGGCCGCCCTGGTTGACTGCTCAATCTCTGGGATAGGGGAGCTTGAGGGCACGCGATATATTGGCGGCCGGTTTCGCCGGCTAGCGTTGACTGCAGGTCTGATGGGCTCATCATCATCGTCATCAGAGTCTTCCGAATCTTCCGAATCCTGATCTTCCTCACTACTACCGTCTTCGCTGCCATCTAGCATCTCGTCGAGCGTACCGCTATCAAGAACCTCTGATCGTGAAGTAAAGTGTTCTTGCTGTCCGACAACAGTAGACCGGTCAGAATCGGAGTAATCCCCATGCTCATGTTCTATGTCGTCGTCAATGAATGAATCCATATCCGCATCGTCTTCTTCATCCATTTCACTGTCCTCAATCCCCGAGGAAGGACCTGAATGCCAACCACGGGTGAAGTATCCGGGATTTCGACCAAAGATGGCGTTCTGCATCTCTGGCGGCAAAGCATGAAGGTACATTTCATCGAAATCATAGTCTTCATCATAATCTCTGAAACCATCCTCAATTTCATCATCCATGTAGTCCGTCATGTCATCAGTCTCCATATCACTGTAATATGTGCTCGTTACGGAGGACCCATCTCGTTGGTAGCCACAGTGTATGCATTCATCATCTTCCAGTTCCCATGCACAGTGCGGACAACGCATTATGTTATCATCGTCATCCATAATAGGTTGGCTAATCCTTGGTTTGTTAAATGTTCCACGAAACAGACCCCCCGCTTTGGGGTCTGTATTCTGTCTGTCCCTTTCTAACCGCTCTGATTCCTCGTTGTGATGGCGCTGGTGCTCGTCCGTGGTCTCACCCTTGTCGAGTAGCTCGGGCTGGCTAGTGAACATTTGAACGACCGCTCTAACCTTTTGAAGTGTGAGCCCAGATCTGCAAAAACGTCTTGAAGCGAAATCAGGTGCAGGCAATTTACCAGGTAAGCAGGGGCTGGCTGCGCCTTCACCGGGGCTCGACAGTCGGGGCATGTTTTGTTGTGTCGTCCACCGACAAACCATGACGTTAGGCACTAAATCGTGCTGTTAACAAACGCGCGCTTGAAAATCTCATCAAATGAGGACACTAACACTGTAACAGAATGTGTGTCCGCAGGCCAAGGTATAGGGTTCGTAGAGCGGCCGAATGCAAACGCCGCATTGTATGAGGGATCGGATCTGGTCGACATGACCTTGCAAGGTTTGAAAAAGCTATAGACACGTATTTTAGTATCATATCAGGCAAGAAATTTAGACAATGAGCCTACCCCCGACGCGTTGTCTCCGGTATTTATCGCGGGCGCATTTGTGTTATCGGCACCATTGTTCGAGTCGGAAGCAGCTTGAGCCGCCATTTTTCCCGAAGCCTGCTTTCGCACAGCCGGGGGAAGGCGTGAATGAGAGGTAATTAAGATAGTGGAATTCTGATGTACGTAAAGCGCTGAGTTTGAAACTGAAAGGAAGAGGCCTTGTGCCCAAGAAAGGGTTGAGAGATAAGTATGTTCTTCAGGTACGCGAGAAGATCGCCGACCTTAGAGGGAGATAGGCAACGGTAACGAATAGCGCTGATCAAGTGTTACAGGGTGGGTTAGTTAAGAAGAGAGAGACCAGTAGTTGTGAGTTATGTTTGACTTGAGGGAGGCTCAATATGCGACTCCTAAGAAAGAACAAGGAGAAATGAGACGAAAGAAAGAAGCAAAACTCGGCACTCATACCAGAAGATAAGTTTGGGGGAGGGGGGAAGCCTTTCCAGATTCCTGCCTGAGGAACAACGGGATCACATTCAATTTGTCTTGGCCGATCGGGGATTCCGCGCGCAAACCAAACAAACATATCACGTTGCCTGAAATAACTATAGAACAATAAGTGAACATCAGCCGGAGCAGTTTCGCTGGTCTAAGATATCCGCGAAGAATGAGTGTACCGCTGAGATCGGCCACCCCTCCTGCTTGGGAAGCATACAGAGCGTCCTAATGCCCCAAATACGACTCGGGCGTTAGCATCATGTTAGCGCCGGGTACCTTGGTATGACTATGATCGGGGCGTCGTTCTCAATCTCCTGAATGCTTTATCGAATTGCTCACGTGAAACATCTCTCTGACTTCGAGTAGGGAATTCTAATGCATATCGCAAATGAGCTGCGTACTTTTCTTCTCTGTTATCCAGCTCTCTACGCCAATGCGAATAAATGCTGTGCTGCAACTCCCTGACGCATGAACCGGGCAGCGGCTCGCTTGGAAGCCCAGCGTATCGACCGGTTGCTTTTGAAGTCAGGTTAATTGGCTTATCCGAGTTAGCGCCTAGGAATCGAGGACTATCGGTTTGTCCCATCAGAAGTCACATCTGGAGTTGTTGCTTGATCTATAACGTGACCGAATATGTCGATTCTTACCAGGTTCTCTGCAATGGCTATTCATTTGGACCAAGATCGGCGCATGCAGAACTCCCTTAAATCTGGATTCAATGAGCCTACAGGACTTGAGACGACATAACAATAATCGACCACTAACCGCTTCCTATTTCAAGTAAAGGGGTAAAAAAGAAAGAGAGAAGAAAACCCGGCGCCCCAAACTCCAAAGCGACAATTTGCCCAAAGCAATCGCAAGTTATCTGCGTCATTATAAATATGCCAAGTTTGGCTCAGCCCCTTCTCTTGCGGGATACAATGAAATCATCATGCGAGAATTAAAAAGTGATAGGAACGACTCCTAGGACGACTACTAGGAGTAGTGTTTGTCAGATCTATTCCACAGCAGCAAAGCTTCGTTTTTTGGAACGCCGCTGCTTAAGATCCTCTGATACCAGGTGGCCGTCATCGGTAACACCTTTTAGGACTTTATCATCGTCAACTACTTCCTTGTTCATGTGCTCCAAGAAAGCTATCTGCTCTTGAATAAACGTTTTGAGTAAACGGGTGTCAAAGGGCCTGTTAGCTCTCTTCTGGTCGCGCATGAATCGATTGGCATCTCGCAGACGTTCTTCAAGGATTTCGAACCGATACTCAGCAAACTGATGGTATAATTCTCCAAGGTTGGAGATTGGACGCACTGTGGTGAGCACAGTGTCATCTTTGATAGCTGAAGCGCGAGGTCGAAAAGAGGTGACCATGGAAATACGTTCAGTTGTGCCCAGAGCACGAAGCGCCTGGTGCTCAATATAGCGCCCTTGGAGAATGACAGCAGATCCCTAGCAAAGTCCATCAGTCGGCTATCATGGTAACCAAGCATGTCAGACTCACCATCTGTGGTCCTCGGACCTTGACCACTTCGCCATTGCCCTTCCTCAAAGCTGTCTCGCCTCCAATCATGTTTGTGCAGTCGGAAAGCATGGTCACGCAGACAAAAGGGTAACTGTCTGTATGCCAGTCCACAATCGGGTCTTCATCCTCCCAGGGACATCCCGCCACGCCTTCGTCCGCCTGACGCGTTGCTTTCTCCATGACTGCTTTGAGAGCTTCGTTCTTCTCCTGCTCACTGTGAACGGAGATATTAACGTGGCCAATCTCGAAGTCGAGGGCAGGAACGAGATCTACACCCGCGATTTTCGAGACAATTGCCAGGGTTTCGGGGTTTCTCCAGGCATCATAGATGAATGGTGCGCACCTTGCACGCTGATCAGTAATGTCTCGCATACTGGCTCCAGTATCACTTACTCGGCCGCATATCCTCGCAGTTGGCATTGAGCGAGATCACTAGAGTATTTGTGCTTCATAAAAACTTCGTCGCTCAGAACCTCTGCTCGCATTTGCTGAATGGCCTCTGCAGAGAACAATGGGAACGGCTCAGAAACTCCCACGGGAGAAACACCTCGACTGTCCGAGTAGCCGAGCTCTTTCATGCTGTACACTTTGGATGGAGCGGTGTGGGCCAGATGTCTGGACGGGTCGAACATGATTTGTCCTTGTGAAGAGGCCGACTTTTGCCCTTGGGTGACTCCCCTCTCTTTGTGCTGGGTAGGTTTTGCCAGACTTGGGGCTGGTGTCATGGGGTAAGTGTCCACGGAAGCCATTTCACTGCAGCTGTGAGTCCCTCAGGTCAAAATCAGTTCCAAGAGTCCTCTTGTGGTTTCCATCAATAGGTGAAGGCATACCTTTGTATGTTGTATATGGAGCTGAAACAGGTAGCAGGTGAAAAGTCAAGGAAGGAGTGGAGTTGTGAGATATACAAAGTTCGAGTCTTCTGATGCAATGGTTGAGGTTGGATGAGGAGGGCGAGGGCTACAAAGGTCCGTACTTATACTCATATTTGGTGTAAGTGGCAAGCTCCAACCACGCTATTGTCAACCTTCTCTGGATGACTGTGACAATACCGTATGTGAAACAGATTAAAAAAGCTTATGGGTTTCCTCTACCATACTGACTGTGCTGTATCAAACACGATCACCATGCTATTGTCGTCTTTGATATCTACTGTCTCGAATACTATGGCGCGCTTGCCGTGCCTTCGGTGCTCAAGGTCAGGTCTAGTAGGCAGGGCTTGAGTTGCCCACTTCATGGAAACTATTCCTACGTTGGGTTTGGTTTAAAGGGTAAATGCTCCACTCATGCCATCTTTCTGAGGTAATAGGTATTTCTTCAATTGGGCATGTTACTTTTCTCTGATAGTCAGAGCGGCATGTGGCACTTGGAAACCTGCCTCGAAAGAAAGATTATAATAACTAAGATCTGTGACCAAGACACCAGTGCCATTAAGAGCATGGCTGTTAACCTTTTAGGAAGTCCGGACCAGGCCCATGCAGACGTCCTTGACATACCCCGAGGTCACCAAGTCTTTGTCAGAACAAGGTGGGTCGGACACTAAGGCCTTCCTTGCGGCTTTGAACACTGGGCGAGAATCCGTGAAGAGCGTCATCGCGATCGGTCGGGCATCAAGAGGCCTATTGGATTTGTTCATGGTTGCCAGTGAGGTGGCAGGGGGGCCGTTACTCAGTCTTGCTGCTAAAGGACTTTTTGACCAGATTTGGGATGAGGTGTCATGGCTGGTAGGCTATTGGTAGAGGATCGCATGCATGAAATGGTTATCTGTGCTGCTTCCGATAACACAACCCCCCTCTCTTGACACCCGTTCTGTTGCCCTTGCGTTGTCCATCCAACCGGCATGCATCTTGGTCTCAAACCTCTATCACTTCGTGTGCCATTACCCGGTCGGCTGTTGCCCTCACCTTGCGACAAGAATGACCTGGGTTGTCAACACTATTAATGTTATTCTCAGCATAATATTCATTCACACTAATCAAGCACCACCTTTGCTTTGTTTCAATGCCAAAGCCGCGAGGTGACCTGATTAATTCTATTGGTCGCTCTATATCCTACAGAAGTGTCGTCCCAGCTATTTACGACTTTGACTGCGAGTTGGATCCGGGTCGAGACGCAGAAACGTCAAACCCAAATTAATGTACAAGTGATACCCAGCCATAAAACTCAGACAAGCATGTCTCATGGGAGAATGAAGCGCACATAACCTCTCTATCCACGGGGAGAGGGGGGTGCAAAGGTGTATTCTATGATGGTTGTCGGTCTTGACCAAGGTTTCAGCCCGGCAAGAAGCATCAATTGTCTGACTTCAAATGGTGTGGCTGGCCCAGAATGGATAACTGAGTGCCGTAGATCCAGGGTAGTTACTGATACTGAATGACTAAGAGGGGTCGGAGGGAGATTTCCCCACGCCAAGTCCGGCGGGTCCAGCTTTTTCCGCCTGCCAATCGATTGATTATTGTTCACTTCCATGTCCTCCGCATAGTTACCGTCGAGTCGCTGTATCTAATTTGTAACTCAGAGTCACCAGTGACACTTCGTCTTGTCTTGTCAATTTAGGCGTCTCAAATCCCTTTCGTCTTTTCCATTATCCTTATTCTTTCACGCAAGTCATGGCCCCCTCCTCGGAACAGCAGCAGCAGCAGCAATCGGCAGCAACGACGTCTTCGTCCTCCTCAGACTCAGTTCAATCTCACTCGTGGGAACGGGTGGAGCGTAAATTCTCCAAGTAGGTTCCCTTTTTCGCTTTCGCCCCAGCAAGTCTCTGACAAGCCTCGTGTATCGGACTGTTTCCCTATTTTCTGTTTGCTTGGCAACCTTGTCCTTTTGCTATTCTATCGATATCCCAGGCGGAAATGAACAACAAACCCTGGCTGCTCTAGTGCCGTTGCCACTACCTAGCTTGCTAGTACTGCTCGACTAAGCCTCAGAGGATTTCTTACCGCTCAATCTGGGTAGCTTTCAGCACTAACCGAACTATAGCAAATCTGCTAGTGAATACTTCGATCCATGCCAGGACTTCGCAGACCGAAGTCTGAAATGTATGAAACGCAATGCTTTTGACAGAGAGATGTGTCATGACTACTTCCAGTGAGTGCTTGGTCCTATCACGATCTTCCTTGTCATCCTCTACCAATACACGAGTGTACCTGCGATTGGTGCTTGCTTATCGACAGCGCGAACCGTCAGTGTAACATTCTGTATTGTTGTTTTTCCTCATCAAAAATGACTATCGAGTCTTAGTGTTTCATCTGCTGATTTGCAACCTCAGGGCTTATCGTGACTGTAAGAAGCAATGGGTGAGTGACATTTATTCCAAATGGTCACCTCTTAATCTCTCTCGCCTGTCGGATGCCCTTCCCGGAGCCTTTTGACCTGAACCTGAGAAGGATGTTCCTACCTCTTTTGTCGTTGCTAACCCTTATCATCGCAGCTGACGCAGAAGAAGAGAGCTTCGTAGGCTAATGCCGAAGCAAACAATCCGCAGCCCACCTTTCCTTGAGTTGCCTTCATTTCTTGCTCCGCGGTGCCCAGCAACATTGAGAAACGCTTCGAGGCTAGTCTCAGACTGTGTTGCATTCCAATGAGTAGTCATACTGTGATGAAATTTGTAGGAATATGCGTTCGCATCAGGAGGCCGGTCATGCTCGGGGCAAGCAGAGACTGTCGATCATGTCACTAAAGGTCGCTCTCTGGCTAGAAAATAATTGGCATCAAGGCTGGCAAAGGACGTTCACTCGGCAGAACGATATCTTCTTCGTCCTTTGCAACTGGCTAGTCTTTTCGACACGCGTTTACGCTGCACTTGGGTATTTTATTCAGGAAACTCGTCCCCTCTCCTCAGCTTCCGCTTATATTGTACATTACTTGCATGTTGACTGACATCGCCACAAAATTATTCAATGCGTTTCTCTTGATGTATCATCTAAGCATCGTGCTGTCCGCTGAGCGCCTTCTGAACATAATCGCCTGCCACGGTCTACAGCTGGCTTCCCCTATCCGTTGCCATCTTACATCTCTGTCGAGACGCAAACACAGGCGGTTGTTCTCATACTTCTATCTGAACCGTCAACCTCACTAGCAATATTGATAGTCATGGAGAAGCTTCAGGGGCCGTGTAGTACTGAGCTAGAGACTCCAGTGAAGTCAAAACCCTCAAAGAGTCAGCTCAGCCCATGCCCGCGTCATCGACCATAGAGTACGAAGCCAGGGGCAGCCCACATGTCCGGGCCGTTGTCACCGCCTTCCAGATGAGCTTCCCCGCCCACCAAACTCAGCAGAAAGACGATAAAGATAGATGAAAACACCCACAATTTCCCCTCATTTTCACCCTATAATTATATCTCCTCCGCACACCGTGTGCTGTGCTGACTTGCGCAGCATACGCTATATTGGTCTTCATCACTGGCATTGAAGCGACGAGTTTCTCGCCCAATAATCCCCCAGTTTAGTGCTTCACCGATCAAGTCGCCATGTCATCCACCAATGATGCCGTCTTTTATCGGCGGAACAAGCAGATTCAAGATGCTATTGACGGACAGAATTTGAAGCAGGCCCTGCAATTGATCGAAAAGCGCATCAAGAAGGGTGAATGTACACCGTTTCTCAAAGTGAGTTTGTTCGTCGTTCAACTTTCTCGTTCCGATAAAAGTGACTTTTCCGGCTGTTCTATTTGCTTCCTACTAAACATGTTGGTGCCCCGCTAATTGAATGGAACTCATGACAAAAAGGCGTGGAAGGCATATGTGCTCTACCGTCATGCCGACGAAGCCCACCGCAATCGTGGAATTGCCGAGACGCTCGAACTGTGTAGAGCCGAGCCTCCTACAACGGACCTAGAAACCCTCGATATTCTTCACGAGACACTTGAGAAACTTAGAGACCATGAAGGGACTTTAAGGGCCCTCTGGGAAAGAGCGGCCAAAGCTAGCCCGAAGGATTTGGATATCCAGATGCGATGGTTTGAATATGCGTTTGAGGGTGACGACTGGAAATCGGCGCAAAAGGTTCGGAGTCTCCAAATATTATTGACAAGCGGGTCAGGAGTGCTAACTGGACCGTCCCGGTCGATGTACAGGCTGCTATGTCTCTTCAGAGTAATTTCCCAAAAACTAGGAAGTACTATTTCTGGGCCACCTTCCTCTGCTACCTGATCTCCGTGGATGCTGGTGCCTCGGAGGCTGAGCGCAAGCTTTTTGGAACCTTAGCCTACCGTATGATCTCGAAAGCTGCGGAGAGCGTTCCTCAAGATCCGGTATGTTGGCATCTAATTTTTACGTGACTTGTGGCCTGCTATGGGCTTTTCTTTGATGAGGCATTATGGTGATGTTTGAAATCGTTTACACAGAAGGAATTACTGAGCCCACCCAGAGCGATTCAATCGGCCGAGGAGCTATTGTTGCTTGTTAAAATCTTCGAGTCCCAGGACCGCCATGCAGAAATCGTCAAGATCCTCGACAGTGACGGATTAGGGTTGAACTCGCGTGTCGTGCAGAATGATTGGTCATTTGTTGGAGTGAAGCTATCCAGTCTGGAAAAGGCCCAGATGTGGACGGAAGGTTTGGACTATGCAAAGAGTCTGCTCGCCATCCCAAGCAATGAGGACGGAATGAAGGCTCTTCAAGAACGCGACGACTGGGCGGTCTGGCACTTGCTCCTCACATCTACTCAGAAGATCAATTCTCCGGAGTAAGTCCGACATATATTCCATACAACGCTAGAATTAGATCAGCTAATCGACTACTCAAGGACTACTGCCGCGACGCAGGATTTCATCCGCAATTTCGTGGCGTCTGTGCCCAAATCTCGCAACTCGCAGTTGGCTCAGCTTGACCTGATGCACTGGAAGTATCAGTCGAGCCCCTCTAATGCCAAGGAATTGATTGCCTCCTGCAAGCAATACTTTGACCTCAACAAACACAAGCTCTACTGCTTTGGCGACTTGCGGACTTATGCTTCATCACTCGATCAAGCTTCCGTGGCTGACTTTGTGAAATACGCTCTGGAAGGCCCCAACGAGGGATCTGATGTAAGTCATTCGGAATCATATGCTGAGCTATGAAACTAATAGTACTTCTGCGCAGGGCGTCACAAAGATTAACGCACTCAAACTCGAGTATTGTTTCTGTCTTTCGGCCAACGAAGAGAATGTAACCCAGGCCCAAGTCGAAAATTTCATTGTTCGCTGTTTGCAGGTCTATCGTGAGGTACAGCGCCCCGAGAAAACCTCAGCTCCCACCACTATCGAGAGCCAGCCCAGCGACGACTTGTGTATTCTGGCGGCCATGAGTCTGATGCGCTTCAGCGAACCGTGCACGTCCGAAGTTGATCAGCAAATCATCCCTGACACTGTTCTTATCCGCGCAGCAGCTATTCTGGAGCGCCTTCTTGACGATTCTCCTCACAACTATCAGGCATTGCTACTCGTCGTTAGGATCTATCTGCGCTTAGGTGCAGGATCTCTTGCACTGAGCAGCTTCAGTAAACTTTCCGTGAAGCAGTTGCAGTTCGAAACTGTTGCACACAATCTCTTTACGCGCCTTGCCACCATCCACCCACACTCGGCCCCGCCAGTTGAGGGAGCCGAATACAAGGACTTTAACCCACAATCCGCTTTTGTGCAGGCCCTTAACTTTTATCGGTCAGCAGATCTCACATCTACCAGGCATCGCACTAGAGGGCTAGACTATGGCAGCTATGTTAATATAGAAGGTACCATCGAGTTGCAGAAGCGTCTGAAACAAAGCATCTGTCGTAGGATGTGGGCTCTAGACGTACGACGCATACAAAGATTGGCTGGTGGAGACCCCATGTCTCGATACGATGATATGGGTAAGTGGTTTCCCAATACATGTTTTCTTCTCATTCTCACACAAACTGCATTTACAGCGAGAGATGAGTCACCTTTGATTGACCAACGTGCTTTTGATGCATTCATGAATTGTGAAGCTCCCGGCAAGCCTTCATTTGAGGAGCGTATTCGCGTGGGGCCTTTGCCTAGTGTAAGCTTTGCTTTTCTCATGATACAGTCACGCTGGCTAACAAGCTTAGAACGCATGGATTAGATCTATGAGGGTGACGGATTATACGTTCGGAACGCTTAAGACTCTGGTCACTCAAAAGCCAGTAAATAGTGAGCCCGAGCTACCAAGCCTTGATGAAATCTTGGGGGTGAATGCGGAAACGGAATTGACATTGTCGGAAATTGAGAGCGCTAGAACGAACCGCAACCTTCTTGCACTTGCCCTTTTCTTGACCGGTTCCAAGAATGTCACCGCAGAGCAGGCAGACGCCAGTCTTGCCGAGGTGGAAGCATGGTTAGACTCCAAGGTCCAGGATCTCGAAGAGGGCGACGGAAAGCTATCCCCGGTCATCTCGAAAACAGCGCTTTTCTTGAAGCCGGAAGCACCAACGGGGCCGACCTGGAAATACTTCCATAATCAGTTCTTGGTCCTTGATTCCCTCAAGGCCTTGTCTCTTCTCACCACTGTGGCCACCAGAAAGGGATCCAAGAATGCTAAACTGAGTCGTGAGAGAGTCGACAAACTGACTGAAAAGACACGCCAAGTCTTCCAGGATATTAGAAGCAGTGGTCGTACCCTCAAGTCTCACATCTCGGCCTCGGGTGGTCTGGGCGCATTGGTTGACCTGGTCTTGGCGGGTACCGGCAGCGGGCCGGAAGGCAGTAAGCTTTCTTCAGAGTTGAACAAGACGCTTGATATGTCTCAGCTGGAGGTCTTCTGCGGTGAGCTGATGGAAAGCTGGGAGGAGGGGTTGAAGGGGCTGCTTGCCGTGACTTTGTGATAGCCCACCGGTCCTTACTTTCTCTTAACCCTGCTGGAATACGAACGCAACCGTCAGAATTTCCTTATGTACAATGCTTCGTGGATCCTGAACACTACGCAAGGTCCTTCCCGGATCAGACATCATGGACTAGCTGCTAATGTCTCTAGTATTTGTGCAAGATGCTTACGGATCTACTATATGAGAGGTAGCTGAGACTTCCTGGGTAGATAGACCACGAGGCTGAGTGACCTGGATGTCGATCTGTTTCTGCAAGGGTGCTCACGTGTGTAGCGCAACGAATACCTCCCTGTCCCTTGTTTGTGATCTGCCTCGGTTCGGACGAATCCTCAATGCTTCACTGCCGTCCTCCTCTTGTCTGTGTATAAATATATCCCGACTACCTGCAACTGTAGATGTACATAGGACTACGAAGCACTCAATTGTCGAACAAATGTTACACTGCCGGTGCGCGTCGAGAGGATAAAGGAATACACGATGAAACGAGGGGCAGTCCTTTTCGGGTTCCACGTCTGTGTGCCATGCACACATTCTTTGTCGAGGTGTGCTTGACGCCTTGCGTCGCCGACCCATAGCCGGTGGTGCTGCTCGCTGATGGTTTGGGGCGATGATAAATTGAAGCACAGTGTAACTCGCCGGAGCAGTGGCTGCCATTGTAGCAAACTTGCAGACATGCATATATGTATGATCACCCATTGAGCTCTTGCTGCCGCTGCTCGGTGGTTTCCATCATGGACTCGGCTCTGGCTTGAAGATGCTTCAAGGCATGCCCGTTTTGTTCTACTCCCTGGATAATGGGCGATTCGAGGAACCATACCTGTCCTGCACTTACCAGCTCTCCCTTGACGTATGACTATAGAAGCTCATTACGATCCGAAGATATACTCACGCAAACGGTATGCCTGACGGTCAGTACGTGCTGTGTCGGGACGCGCCTGTATTCCAAGATCTCCATCACGCAAGCTCCCGGATGGGAGGATTGTATGTACTGCCCGTTCGTTAAGTGAGGCAGCGCAGTGGCGTCAGTGGAAGGGATACTGATAACGAACCCCGCTTGAATATGGACTTGCTTTTTGGCTTGGGTATGCAGCTCGGGCGGGGGAGGTCCATCCATTTTTTACTTGCACCTACTAAGCCATTCGTTATGACATGACCGGCTTGGCCTGATATGATATGTCGCCATCACTTTCAAGGCCGTTCGACATGGAAATGATATCCATCAATGGGAAGTGGCTGCTTCGGATCTGAAAGTATTCTCCAAAGTATGGGAGAAGCCACCAGTGGTTGAAAGTGATACCCGCCTGCTGACAATGAATGATAGCTCGCCAACGCATCTCAGATCCTCTACGGCCCTTTGATCTACGTCACGAAACTATCCATCTTACTCCTCTACCTACGCCTCTTCGCGCCGTCCAAACGAAACACTCCTTTTTGGCTCGTCCAAATGCTCATCTGGATGAATTTCCTCTTTTACCTCGCAGATACCATTGTGAAAGTCTGCGAATGCAGGCCTCGTTCCAAAATCTGGGATCAAGCAATCCCTGGGCAATGTATCAGCATCAACATCCCGATCTTAGTCACGTCCATTGTGAACGTCGTTTCGGACTTCATGATGCTCTTGCTACCTAATGTTTGTGTCTGGCGCTTGCAGATGACCTGGAGGACGAAGATGGGTCTCTCAGCTGTATTTGCAGCAGGCATTTTGTACGCTGACCCTCGTTTCAGTTTCACTTGCCCAGATCCGTTTCAGATTCTTACCCTCGACTTTGCTTAGTTTGGGCAGACGGAACCGGTGGTTGATGAGGCTAAAAATGAACTATAGTGCCTGCATCTGCAGGGTAATGCGTCTTATGGTCAGCGTCCACAACCGCACCACGCTAGACAGAACGCACGACTGGTTCCCGGAGTTTCTATGGACGTAAGCAACTCCACCCCCCTCCCACTGCCCTTCTTCCCCACTTCCATGACGCTCTTCAAGACTCTTTCAGCAAATAGACAACTGCACCGTGGAAGCAGCAGGAATGCTAGACTAACGCTGCGTGTCATGACCGATTTAGCACCGCCGAAATAACGTCAGGAATTGTCGCTAGCTGCCTGCCCGCCTTGCCTAGCTTCTTTCGCCATTCGTCTCAGAAGGCCAAGCCCTGGGTTTCGAATATCGGTACAGGTAGCAGTTCGACGCAGGTGAAGAACCTTGTTGCGGCGGCCACCGACCGGCGACTAGGACGTGCAATGTGGGTTAGGCTGCGACTTTGGAGGTCTGGGCGTAATGTTGGTGGCACGGAGTCTATGGCGGACAGCTACTGGGAGATGGGAGAGGTTGGGGCCTATCAGGGGATATGCTATACTATAACGGAAGCCACCGCCAAGCGGAGCGTACCAGATGGGATTGATGTAGCCGCGGAGGACCTGAGTAGGAGCGGGGAAGAGCATAGGCCCAGAACAGGGATCCTAAAGATCGTAGAGGTGGATGTTGAGACGGGGCCGGAGAGAGAGAGATGATGGGATTATGTCAGGCTGCTCTGAGGGTGAGCAGGCCGTTTGTTTCATACGTGAGTACGTAGTTCAATGAGTGGAAGGTTCTCCGCATTGAGTGGTCGATAAGCGGTTTATCGATAAGCGATAAGTAGTCGATAAGAAAGCAGTCCAGAGTCGCACGTGACAATGCCGCACAACCCTAAGCCCTACCCTCGCTACGCACTCCCGCAACGGCCAACCAAAAACTGGCAGACTCCATCGCGATCCCATCCGCACCGGCGCACGTCGACTCGACAACCTCTCAGCAGCAACACCGTCGTCGCCAACCCGCAGTCCATAACCGTCGTGATGGCTCAGGAACGCTCCGGAATCGTGGTCGGCCTCAACAAGGGTCACGTACGTTGTCCCCTTTCTTTGTTATGTCTTGCAGCAACGATTTGGTCCGGTCGAGTTGGGGGAATTTTCAGCCGTCGAAACGGAAACATCTTGGGGGAGAATTTTGCGTCAAGAGTGAAATGGGATATTGTCGGAACGGGTGCTGTCAGGCTTCTATTTCAGACTTGTTAGGAACATGGAAATTGGGGGAAAGGACGGGCCGGGGGTTTTTTTTTCGCTGGCATCGAACCCGAATTCGACCGACTTGCCTGGACCAAATCGCGCTATTTTTACTTTCACGTCATCTGTCGTCTGTCATCTCGGTGCTGTCGACATGATCCTGATCCTCTCGATCATGAGGAGACTTAAGGCTTTTTTACTGACCTGATGCTTCGGCTTAACAGAAGACCACCCCTCTTAACACCCCCAAGACCCGGATCAGCCGTAAGAAGGGCCAGTCTTCCCGCCGTACCGCCTTCGTTCGTGAGATCGCCCGCGAGGTTGTCGGTCTTGCCCCCTATGAGCGCCGCATCATCGAACTCCTGAGAAACACTCAGGACAAGCGCGCTCGTAAGCTCGCCAAGAAGAGGGTACGTTTTACATGATTTGATTCAAAGGGTGATAGGGAATGGGTTTTGCGGGCAGCTTCGCTTGAGTTTCCGATACGCGCCATGAGTGGTTTCACGACTGTTTTATCATCCGCAATCTTCGCTACCGTTCTTGGAGACCGACAATACTCCTCCGACTCGGATAACGTGCTTCCTAGAATTTCAACCGAGCTCAACATCATCTCGGCCATGACTCTACGGCTTGATTCGACTTCAACAAACGACCTATTAGCCGACTCCAACAAAAAAGCACCGAACCAATGCGGACATAGCGAAGCTGCTCCCTGAACTTGAATTCTCACATCCTCACGACCTCCTGTCTCACAAAGATGCTAACAATTTTTGTTTTGTCTAGCTCGGTACCTTCGGCCGTGGCAAGAGAAAGGTCGAGGACATGCAGCGGGTCATCGCCGAGGCCCGTCGTGTTGGTGCCCACTAAACGTCTTCCTTTTTACCTTCCATTTTCCTACCAAAAATCCGACCCTGTGTTTCCGAGTTTTCTCTCCCCCGATTAGCCAAGAATGAGATAACGAGAACATCATTCTTCTCTTTTTCTATCTATCTACAACAGAAAAGATGAAGAAACCACATAATGGAATATGAAGCAAAAAGAAGACTAGTCAGTGACTGAATGAGAGGACAACCACGCATCACACGTTTTCCCTACAGAAATTAAATTAAATACCCAATTCCGGCCCGTCCATGTTATTGCTTAATCTACGCAAAAGTAGACATTGATCTTTTTTTTTTACTCCATTCGATATCAACTCAATGTTATCGGGGTGGGTAACTTCTTGGTCTGTTTTCTAGCCGGCAAAGGAGAACGATGAATCCCTGCTTCGTTTGTGGTTTGCTTATACTGTAACTCTGTAGACTGGGGTCATAAGTCCGGGGAGGATGAAGGATGTCCATGGGGTTGACTATGCGTCTTGCGTCAATTGTTTCAGAATAGACCGCAGAGTATGCCAACTCTTGGGACTCCTACTCTCCAGTCCAGTAATAGCTCTAGTGCTTGTGCATCATGCAGGCTAGACAGACCGCTGCTGGTCCTATTCGGTCGAGCACTCAAGCCTTCCCCTCGCCAACTACTCGCTCTTCGAATTCCAATGTAAATTACTGTCCACGCCGTTCTGACATATTATGCGAATCATTCATCCTATTCATTATCTAACATCACTCCTTCTAATCATCAGATGCTTCATAGAGGCAAGCATCTCATTTCTTGCCTGGCAACTTCAACCATTTGGGTATCCCACCAGGTTTCCGCTTCTCGCCCGTCTTGGTCTCACTACTGCCCGTAGCCCCCAGTGTCCGGCCGCGCACGTCTTCAGCCGTCTCCATCACATCCGGGGGCTGCTCCACCTTGATTTCCTGGGCCCGGGTCCGCAGCTCCGGCTTCAGGAGCTCGCGGCTCGAGTGAGCCGCCTGCGAAGCACTCGCATCCCAGCTGAAGTTGACCAGCACCCGGCCCGCCAGTCCCAGGTCTCGGATCAGCAGCGTCCGATCCGAATCTGGGATCACCTCCTGGATCTTCCTGGCGCTTCCGCCTCGTGAGACCGCCGAGCTGACCGGGAGGTATGTGATGGTGAACTTCTCGGTGTCGGCGAAGGGCGCCGCCAGGCAGTTGCGCACAAAGTCGTAAAGTGCCCGCCCCGTGTCGTCCCGGCCGAACTTGGCGACGACCTGGCTTTGGTCGGGTAGACGGACCTTTACCTCCACTTCGGCGATTGCTGCCAGCTTCTCCTCCTCGGCGGCTACTTTGGCGGCAATTTCGGCGTCAGTGGGGAGTCGTTGGGGTCGCGAGGCGGCGTTCAGTCGACGTTGGTGAGCTTGGGCGTGGTCCACGGATGGGATATAGTCGGCTTCATTATAGGTGGTTTGCGCCGACTGCGGAGTGTCGCCAGACGGAGGAGAGAAGACGGTCACGGGGCGGGAGAAACCAGCAGGGACTTCGGAAGGACTTGGGGCTGGCACAGTGGTTTGAGAGGCGGGAGGAGCAGTCTCTTCTGGTACTGCTTCGGTCGCGGGGGTAGAGGCGGGGTGGGGCTCGAGCTCAGAGTCTCGCTGTTCCGCAATATCTTCCTCTAGAGGCACTCCTGTCGATGTAGGCTGTTCCTCGGGCTTCGGCCTCATGTCCTCGGAGGTCTGGAAGTATTCTTGGATCTTGCCCATCGCTTGTTCCATGGGCTCTTCCGTCCGCCGGAAGCTGAGCCTTAGCAACACATTCCCGCTGTTAAAGCCCAGTTGTGCTAGGGATTTCTGGAAATCTGCAAAAGAGCAGAGTTCCCGCTGCAAGACCTGAACCACTGGAGTCTCGTAGTATAGTCGACCTGCGCCCTCGTTGCCACTTGGTACACCGCGACCCGTCAGGTTGCGGGTTTTAGACGTACCGCCTGCAACGCCCGCCTCGAACTTGCGCAGGATGAACCAGATTGTTGTCGTGCTCGGGAACTTGTCCATGAGCCGGCCGTTGGGAGCCCCCCGTGCCTCTGACTCCGGAAGCTGTAACGCAACTGTGACGACAGAGGGGGACCGAGATGATTGAACCAGCTCCAACTTGGCACCGGAGGTAAGTCCGGATAGACGAAAGACGAGCGACATGTCGAGCTCTTTACCTTTGTACCTTGACAAAGATGGTGTCAGTGGGGTGCGATACTATCGGTGAGGAGGGGCCTCTTATATAGCGAGGGAGTCTTACTTCAACCCATGTTGACTAGGATCTACACCTAGCTTAGTGCAGGCCTCTTGCAGGATCTCGGTAAGGTGTTTGCCCGGTGTAGTCTTGACAGTCGCTCTTCGAGCTGTCGAGTCTAAGACCACGACATGAGAGCTCATTATTAGAAGTTGCGGGGTGTGGCAGTTTGAGGTAGAAGAGATGAAGAACAAACAGCAGGCCTGCTGGAATGGATGAAGGAATATATGGCAAGTGGCTTGATCTGTGGAGTCCAAGCCAGATTATAAGCCGCAACAGAATCCCCCAACAATGTATAGAACAAAAGAAGGGTCTAGATTGACAGAGAAGAAGGTGTTTTTAGTTGACTAAGATGAGGGGAGTCAACCACTAACTGAACCGTTGTAGGCAGCGGGCGCAAGCGTCATCGGAAGAAGCTCGGCGGCTCCACGCGTTGCTGGCAGAGCTTCAGTTCAACTCCGTCCATCTCCATCCATCCTCCGCCCATCCATGCTCCCTCCCCAATCATCCTCTCCCCCTTCATCTCTGCTTTGATATACCTGCCCACTTTCTTTTTTTTTACTTCCTCCCTCACAGTCTATCCATTTACGACTTCCCATCTTGACCTAACGCCTACAATTCCGCCCCGATAATGGTGCGTTGGCCCTGCGTGAACTTACCTGTCTGAGCTGAGCAAGCAAGCTGACTGAATTATCCTTACTAGAGTTCCCCCTTCGATATTAGTACGGTTCCTCGATGACTTTCCCCTTCGGCAGTTTGTATATATACTGACCCTCCGCTGTGCAGATGGCGGCGCCTGCGTCGCTATGGTGGGTAAGGACTGCGTTGCCATCGCTTGCGATCTCCGCCTGGGTATGCAAGCCTTGACTGTCTCCAACAACTTCCCCAAGATCTTCAACTACGGTCCTTCTACCTTCCTCGGCTTGACGGGCTTGGCGACCGACGTGGCGACCGTGTCAGACCTCTTCCGCTACAAAGTGAACATGTACCGTCTTCGCGAGGAGCGGAACATCGCTCCTCAGACCCTGGCCAACTTGGTCAGCTCTTCGCTGTACGAGAAACGGTTCGGTCCTTTCTTCGTCAGTCCCGTCATTGCCGGCATCAACAGCACAACAGGCAAGCCCTTCATTTGCGGGTTTGACAGTATCGGGTGTATCGATTTCGCCAAGGACTTCATCGTGAGCGGAACCGCAAGTGAGCAGCTGTTCGGTACTTGTGAGGGTCTGTGGGAGCCGGACTTGGTATGTATCTCTGCCTCGGTCGGGGGCTTACTAACGGAGTACTTGCTAACCATGAATTCCTTTGATAGTCTCCGGAGGATTTGTTTGAGACCATCTCCCAAGCCCTACTGAGCGCGGTCGACCGAGACGCTCTCTCCGGTTGGGGTGCACAGGTGTACATCATAGAGAAAGATAAGGTGACCAAGAGACTATTGAAGGGACGGCAAGATTAGACGAGATAATCACCTGGATCATGAATTTGTGTTTCTTTTCTATTGTCCCTCCTGCAGTTATTCTAATAGGACGCCTCCACCCACTGCCCCCATCTAAGGTGCTGCCGATACTGCCAAGGCATAGATATGAAGAGTGCGCGGACCCCGGAAATGGCTCGTATATTCCAGCTGCTCACAAATTAGACTCCGGTTAGTTCCCGAAATGGCACTATATAGAATTCCGGGGTACTGGGCTGTAGCACCAGAAGGCATGTATGGTCCGAGCAGCTTTATATCCTGGTGCGTCGGGGCTCACTCCCGAGTTCAGCCACGGCTTATGAATCCTTGGTTCCGCAGCTGATGGGAACTGTAAGCTTTCCAGCAGTTATTCGCAGATGAGTTGTAAGGCTTCGAACTACTATGGCCAATTTAGAGCTATATTGTCGCCGACAGACGCTATCGGTAGAACTTAGGCTCTTTCTCCCTGGGGAGATGGAAGTAGATGGGAGGAGTTGCAGCCACTTTCAGGAGTTACTCGATGAGGCAATGGGAGTAAAATGCAGTACACGATCCTGGCAGGAGGGTCGAATGCACCCAGTGATGTAGACAGTGAACAATGTACAGCTGATTACCAGGGTTGATGATGCTTATGTCCCAAGAGAGCCAGAACAACTGAGAACTTCCCCGACAGGTATCAGTCCACAGGAGATCGTGACTTAGAGCCGATGAATTTATCAGATGCCAATAGTTGACCGACTGGGGTCAGCCTACTCCAATCCCAATTACCACATGCACCTCCTTCCTTGCTAACTTCTAGCGAACAACAGCACACTCAAATGGTTTGGCACCAGCCAAAGCGCAAGACCGTATCATGATCCTCAGCGAGACTCGAAGCCCTCCCTCGCCAGTTGGTGCGTAATCTACGGCATGTCCCTCAGCGACAACAACCATGCAGAGCTGACCTTACGCTTCGCGGGGCTCGCCAGATGGACCTCCGCGGACACCATCGACTTCGATGATACGAAGCGTCACGCCCCCAAGACGTCCAGTCTGGCCTTTGGCGATGACAGCCCACGCAATCACTGTCGGAGTGGTCGACGCGGGTATGGGACGCGCTGGGAGCTTTGATGGAGGTGAAAAGTCCCCCCGGAGATGTGCTTTACCGTAATGCAAACTCGCCCAGCTGGTCTTGAAGGAACTTGGAAAGATGGTCGAGGGGTACAAGGGCATCTACCAGTCCTCGACGAGCAGCGTGGGGCGCGATGGGACCGAGAACTGAGGACGAAAAAACAAAAACAAAAAAAAAAAAAAAAAAAAAAAACCGATTACTACGGAAAGAACAATGAAGTCAGGTGCTGTGGCTCAACCTACAACCTTTGTCTTCATCTCATCATCTATGCATGGCCGACTAGGGCGGCAACAAGTCGATGACTTCTCCTGGTAGCTGATGAGTGTTCAGTGTCGATTTGCCTTGTATTGCAGGAATCTCGAACGAGTTACGGACTACAACATATTACGATATGACCGGAGGGAGGATTCTGGCGCACGCAGACGTGGTGGGAGACAAGTTCAATTTGTCAAGCCTGGGCCGGGAGAGCGGCTGGTGATCGGCCCATGGAATGAATGGATGGCAGTTCCAAAGATGTCAACTTTTTGGTTTGTTGATGCTCCATTTCATAGTTCGTCATCCATGGTCAGTGTCCTGTTTGAACAGTAGACTATACAGGAGTAGCAGCAGATAAGATCGTGGACGGTTTGGGGAGGAAATATCAATGCAGAGAGAACAACAGCAAACCAGAAGCTGAAAGGGCGAACCTACAAGGCAAAGCCTCCCCGCGTCTAGACCTGGCGATCGGCCCAAACTGGCCCCATCGATATTCACTCAGTTCAAAGTTGCTGCTCCTCCGTCTTTCCCCTCTTCCCAATCCAAACTCAGCTCCAATTTCCTCTCCATCTCCCTCCGCCTTGCTTTGGCTCTGTACTAACGAGTTTAGCACCATGAACTACCTTAAAAACTAAAAACTACACTAGTAGTCTTTCGTGTCTCCTTCCAATCTGATAACATCCTGTTCTGGAATCGAACTTCCTTCCCCCGATCTCCCTTCCCCGTGCCATCATCTTCCCTTTCGCATGCTGGCCTTCTGCTGTCGCCCTTCCTGTTCTGCTACTCAACCACGGGTGGTATGTGTCAATGACCGATCGTGACTTCAGCAATTGAACTTGCCTGTCAGCGGTCACTGGGGGATCCAGCTTTTCACAACAAATCGGACTACAAACGCTACTTTCGGCACTCAAGACCGAGACATCCGGTGATTCATTTACAGAAACTTCTGTGCCAAAACCCAAAGGAAAAGACAAGGAAAACCTTAACGTTGCCTACATAGTTCAGAATTAAGAAGGCTTTGAACTCTCTCAGTCAGGATTTCAGCGTCTTAGCGATAAATACTCTTCCCTTCGCAGTGTGTCGCAAAAATCTCCGTTACCAACAGCCGTCTGCTCTTTGCTCGGCTTCCCCTTCCACCGCCGCGCGGTGCCGCTCAGCGTGGGCTTCAACTCGACCAGCATAAGTGATGTATGTTTTTACCAGCTTTATCATGAGGTCTTTCAAAGTGGTGCCTCTTGGAAAGCATATGGTCAAACCTCCTTTGTCTGCCTTCGATTTTCGCTCGCTAACACCCCCTGAACAACTTTAGACTGAACGCCATGCGCTGTGTCCCTTCTATAGAAACCGGTCGTAATTCCTTGATCTTTCACCAGTCTCCTTCAGTATCTTGGCGTCCTCCCATATTATAAATCGCCTGGCTCTAGGACTATCTCTTGGTGGATTTTGCATCTGATATATCAGCAATCCCGTCCACACAGGGCAGTCAATCCCCGCGGGACACAATGCCCGACTCAGCGGACCCCGAATGGTCAACATCGTATGCAGCTGGCCCTACAATGTCCTTGCTTCCAACACAGTGCCTTCCCAGTGAGGTGCCTGCAGCTACCCTTCTCGACGACGATGCGCAGGTCGATTCGTCCGGTCGCCGATATATCGGTGGCCCCCAGAGCTTCGCCATCGAAAGGCTGGTGAAGCTAAAGCAAGAACTCCGTCCTTTGGATTCAGAATCATTCTGGTATCGACTGATGGAGCAGATCAGTCTGATATGCAAAGCCCAGTATGTTTTCGTCGCTCGCAGGGCTCGGGACGACGAATCCAGGCATGAGATTGAAGGCCACAAAACTCGGTTGTTTGGTACAGCGTTTTATTATAACGATGGGCACAATACTGCAGGCATGCACAGACGCAGATATTTTGCCGGAGGCAATCCCCTGTCACACATGGATCGTCAAAGGCCCTGTTTGATTCCTGAAAAGCTGGGGTCTTTCATTCCCTTTGATCGGGACCAGCTTCCCTTTGCCGCTGAAGGATATCTGGCTGTGCCGCTCTTTTCCGGGACAGACTGCATTGCTTTTTTTGGGCTGATGTGGTCGGAATCGGGCTTGCAGAAGCGTAATCTCTCGTGGTCGCTCCTTGAGATGATTCTATATTCTCTTGAAGACTTGGTTGTGCATAGGATCCGCGACGATCCAGTTATCGAAAAGCTCGATCAAGAGGACACCCATCTTCGTACGACCAAGACAAGCGTTGTCGGCGATGTGAATGTTGGGGTCATCCATGGCTCTGCAGACTTCTCATCACAGCCACTCAAACCCTATGCGAGAAGCCTGTCGCACGAGCTCCGAACCCCGATGCAGGGCGTAGTGGGGATGCTGGACGTCATGCATGCTACAGTCCGCGAGGCCATTCAAGACAAACCGTCCCCGAAAGCTGGATATGTCTTTCGCACGCTCAAGGAGAGTATTGAAATGGTTCAAGGTCGGTCTCCTTTCTCCAATGCCTGGAATCGTCTTAAGGCTAATACGCAGTGTTTGTGGCGATACAGATAGTGCTCGTAGAGCTGTCGAGGCGGCTGATAATGTTGTCCATGCCTACGACATGAACATGCAGGTCCCCAAAACCCCTCAAAGTGAACGGGACGACTTCTTCAGTGGTCCAGTGCAGAATCCGGTTGTTGCAAGTGAAAACCGATCAACCATCTTCGTGGAAAGGAGCAACATCACAGTCAACCCGTATAAGCGACGACGCAGCAATCCCCCAGACTGGAACGCTGGCCAGCCTTCGAAGTCGAAAGCGCCGCGGGTCTCCGCGTCCCGGGGCCTCTCGCCTCGCAGCGAAGAGGTGAAAAACGCAGTTCATGAAAGTGAAAAACTGCTCAAAGCTACTCCTGCTCATGAGATTGAAGCAGTAATGGCTAACGTGGTTGATCCTCGCCCGTCTTTGGCTGTCCGACGTTCAGCACCGCACTTGCTACTCGAAGGCATCAATATCAACCAGCAAGTTCCAGCTCTGAGAATGACGAAACTTCGTGATCTGCTTCGCCTGGTCATCAACGAATCTCTACATGTGGGTGGGCGACCCGATTTCGCGGTGAGTAATGCAACGGAGCAAGGAGAGAGGATTGAGGTCCGCTCACGATCATCCAACGGCGAGGTATTTTCGAAGACTATCGATTGGTCTGTCGATCCTGCCCTTCCAGAGACTTTGTTCGTGGATGATCGAGACCTTGCCAAGTTGATATCGTGCGTCTTCTTAAATGCCGTTAAGTTTACCAATAGCGGTAAGATCACTGTGGCTGCCACTGTTGGCCGCAAGGCGAACGATGTTTTGATAAGCATCAAGGACACCGGTCCAGGCATTCCGGACGATTTCTTACCCAAGCTTTTCAGGCCTTTCGCCCGGGAAGACACATCCACCACCCGCAGTAAGGATGGGCTAGGCTTGGGTCTACTTGTAGCCAAAGGCTTGTCGAGGAAGATGGGTGGTGACCTCCTTTGTGTTCGCTCTTCGACTTCGGGACCAGATCGTGGCTCGGAGTTTGAGATCAGAATTCCCGCCAACCAGCCCGAGCCTTCAGCGGATCGGCCACTGCTTCCTCCCAAACTACTGACACCTCCTCAGCTTACTGAAGCAATGCGGCTGAGCAACCCAAGTAGCATCACGCCAGACTTCTCTTCTCTACTACCCACTCCACGCACTCCTGGCCTACAGATCCAGCAGCCTTCTCCTTGTCCAACTGATGAGCCACCGTCGCTATCTTCAACGCCCTCGCTTCCGCCTCCTAGAAGCACACCGCCACAGCGGCACATCAACGGTGATACTCATGACAGCCGTCTCGGGGAAAAGCACCCGTTGACCTTCCTCGTGGCGGAGGATAATAAGATCAATCGGAGGGTTCTAGTCCACATGCTCAAGCGACTTGGCTACAAGGACATTTATGAGGCCAGCAACGGGAAGGAGGCTGTCCGCATCATGCAAGATGTTCTCGAGGCCCAGTGTCCCCGCGAACAAAGCTCGAGCCAGTCTCCAAAGTCGAACAATGGATCAGACGGCTTCACAGTTCCCATACCACCCGGTTCGACCAAGAAACGGAAAGCAGTGGACGTGGTTCTGATGGATCTTTGGATGCCGGAGATGGATGGTTACGAAGCCACATCCAAAATTCTACAGCTAGTTGATGAGCACCAGACTCAACAATTTTCCGATACTCAGTGTCACCAACAATCCACCGGTCCTAACTGCCGAATGAGACATCCTACAGTTCTGGCCGTCAGTGCTGATGTCACCGACGAGGCCCTTAACCGTGCCACAAAGGTTGGCATGAAGGGCTACATGACCAAGCCGTATAAGCTTTCCGACCTGGAACGGCTAATACTAGGCTTCTGCAGCGACAAAATATTACGGCCGCGCGACGATTCTATGAATGCATGAAATGGTCTTTCTTGTTTTGTTTCTTCAATCTCTTCGAGATTTCTTGGTTCCCCGCTTGATACCTCACCGTTGACCTTCCTTTCTACTCTTTTTATGGCCTAAAGTCTGGCTTGTTTTGTCTTCTTTGTGGACTCCTTTTCTCCACGTGGTGTTTCTAGAGATAATTCTTTGTCCTTGATGTGTTTACGAGTGATCTTGTGCATCCTTAATGATCTATCCCCGGATGCCAAGACAGAGAGCTAAATAGACAAGAGCTCGATGAATTTAAGATACAACAGGTTAGTTATATGATGGTAATATTTTCCCGATATATACAGATCATACACGAGCTGCAAAACTACACAAAGGTCACGACCTGTCAGTGTACTATGCTTGATGAGTGTACCTTGCACAGCCTCAAGGAAAGTGGCTATTCCATACATTGTATATAAATGTGTACGGCCCGCGCCGAACATGCGAGGCAAACCATTTGAGCAGAATAAATATAAGCAATTCCGCTAACCAAGCAAAACCCAGGGAGACATCTGGTTCCCTTACAGCTACTGATATATATGAGGATGAGAATACGGAGCAGGAACAACCTTGAGCGTAGAGAGAAATACATCTAGATCATTTCATATATCCCTGCAAGACCCAACACGGTGACGAATAGGGAGGGCATTCCGAAAGGTTATTAAATCGCTGAAAAGAAAACACCAGTCATGTGAAGCTACCGGGCCTGACCTGGTGCTTTCCCTCTCAATACTTTCAATCATCCTTCCATTCCCCTCCACGAAATAAAGAAATACATATAAGAAAGGGCATCGCTCGATAACCACGACATCAACAGGAGAACATTTATGTAAGCTTCTGCTTGATGAAGAAGGAGCGGAGATGCGAGAGTTGCCAGGCGCAAGCGGCCGAAAGAACGAACAGCTGGATCAAAGTCCACCGGACAACACGGGAATTGGTAGCCTCAGACTGGTCACGGAATTCGGCCTCACGTTCCTGTTTGTAGGATTTCGAATTAGCAAAGATTCCATTGGGACAACCGTGACTCGCGCGGAGAGACGAGCGCAGCCCTGTTTGGCAGAGAAATCAAAGTGGACAATTCGAGGAAGTAAGCACACAGTGGGAAATAAATAAAGACATACCCGCTGGAACACCTGCTCTCTTCGGATATCCTGCAACCGACCGTTCAGATCCTTGACCTTCTGCACAATGTCCTGCATCTTGTCCTTGTCCTCCGACTCAATCTTGCTGGTTTCACCAATGGCCATGTCGAGCGTGACCTGCACCGCGCCGGCGGGGGCGCCCGACAGCCATCCGCCCGTCGCGGCGTTGGTCTCGGGGGTGAGGCAGATCTTGTGTAGGCCGGCGTCGGCGGCGGAGAAGGTCCAGCGGCCCGCGTGGCTGTCGCGCTTGGAGACGACGCGGTGGTCGTTGTCAAAGATCTCGTCGACGGTGATAAGCATCTTCAGGTTGGGATCGACGATATACGTGTTCGATTGCTCGTTGATGACGGCGGTGGAGTAGGTACCTGTTTTCCCTTGCGGATTAGCTTTGTGTTTTGTGCGATTGGGTTGTGGCTTGCAAAGCAGTGATGGTTGTACTGACCGACAACGAGGGTGTCCTTGGGAAGCTCCTCAAAGAAGCACTTGGTCTGGCGCCCGTCCATGAAGAAGTAGAGGGCATTGGCGGGCACCGACAGGCACAGGATGGCACATACGGCCAGCACAGAGGGGAGCCATGAGGCTGATGACCGAGACGGAGCCATGATGCGATCCAGATTCCAAAGATTTGTCGGAAAAAACAACAAACTGGGGGAGGAAAAGGGAGCAGAAGCGAGAGCTAGTCAAGTGGAGGAGGGGGAGGATGACCGAGAGTAAAGAAGGACAGAGACACCAAACAAGAATAGGGACGGGAAGATCGAGAAGTGGCCCGAAGCTGGAGGTCTTGGCGCGAATTCGTTCTCTCCTCCTCAATTCCTCCCCCTCCCTCCAGACTCGACCTCCCCCCATCCCATCATTCATCTCTACCACTTTTCTTTGAGCAGTCATCTATCCCATCGAAAACCGATTTCTGAGCGCATAATCCATATTCGATTTGATCCCTCTCTCTTCTCCGTTGCCCCCGGGGTCCGCCCGTCATGGCTGCCGCCGATGTTCGCGACATGCTGGATTTGCCCGCGGAGGGCCAGCCACGTCCGCTCAAGAAGCAGAAGGTCGCCGAGAAGAGACCAGGTAGGCCCCCCACTTCCTGATCCCTGCTCTCGCGACTCTCTAATATATCATCCTACTGCTAGAGGGTATCACTCGTGAGCTGTTCGCTTTGCTAGGCGAGCGGGCACCGCCAATCGCAATCAACGAAAATCGTTACAAGGGCCGTCCGAAATGGATGAGCAAGTTGCGTGTCCGCCCGTGGTAGGACATCCATGCCACCATCTGGACTAAAATAAGCGCTAATAGCATGGCAATCAGGCGAATGGTGCCTTTTGAGAATAGTGCCCGTTCTGACGGCCTCGTGCTGCGTCACTGGCAACGACAGAGCGAACCCGCGAAACCCGCTCTAGAGGGATCCGAGATGGAAGTCGAGGGGACTACGGACGGCAAACATACATCTGAGGCTGTGGAAAAGGATTACATGTTTGCCAAGTACAACGTCAAAGCGCGCGTACCGAACCGCTACACCGACGAGGAGTACAATCGCCATCTGAAGAGCGACGACTGGTCTCGCCAGGAGACCGACTACCTGATGGACTTGGTCGAGGAGTACGATCTCCGCTGGGTAGTGATAGCCGACCGCTACGACTACCAGCCTCATCCCGTCGACACGGAGACGAACACCACGGCTCTCGTCCCAGCCAAAAGTATTCGAACGATGGAACATATGAAAGCCCGCTACTACTTCATCGCCGCATCCATGCTCGCCCTGGAACACCCTCCGTCCGAAATGTCGGAGGCCGAATTCGAGTTGCACGAGAAGATGATGAAGTTCGACCCGGAGCGCGAGCGCTCGCGGAAAGAGCTCGCCGCTCTTCAGCTCAACCGCACAGCCGACGAAGTACGCGAGGAGAGTATTCTTCTGGAGGAACTCAAGCGCATCACGGCCAACGAGCAAGAGTTCATCACCGAACGTCGGGAGCTGTATTCCCGCCTCGAAGTTCCCATCAGCGTCGGCAACACCACCATGTACCAGTCCAGCCAAGGTCTTTCGCAACTTCTCCAGACCCTTCTTCAAGCCGACAAGAGCAAGAAGCGACGCTCTATCCTGGCCCCCGAAAGCACCGGGGCCGCCCCTAGCCCAGCCGGCCAGACCCCCGCCTCTAACGCCCCCGGCAGTGCGCGTGACAGCCGAGCTGATACTCCCAATACCTCCGCGCCCGCCGCTGCCGCCGCCCCTACCAACAAGAAGGCTGCCGCTGCCGCGGCTGCTGCCGCCGCGGCTGCCAATAAGGAGGCTGAAAAGACAGTCCGGACGCTCACCGCCGCCGAAGAAGCCAAGTACGGCGTCCAGCACCACGAGCGGCTGGCCCCTGGCGTCCAATTCCGGAGCGACCGCGCCCAGAAGCTCACGCAGGCCAAGTCCAACGTGCAGACGCAGAAGCTGGCGGCCGCGCTGGCGGAGCTGGCGGTGCCGCTTCGGCTCGTTATGCCGACGGAACGGGTGTGCAAGGAGTTTGAGAAGTTGATCCATTCGGTCAATTTGCTGCTCGATGCGCGTAAGGTGGCGGAGAAGGTGGATAATGAGATCCGCGTGCTCGAGGCCGCCAAGGAGGACCGCGAACGCAAGACCAAGGAGGCTCAGGAGAAGACCAAACCCGAGGTCAAGTCGGAGCAGCAGGAGGAGGAGGATCAGCCATTGATACCAGCTGACACCGCGGCTGAGGCCGCCACGGCTCCTGATCCCAACGGCCCGGCCACTGCACCGTCCGCTGCCGCGGCGGCGGACGGTGAGGCCGGCGAGAAAAGTGCGGGCGGTGGCGGTCCTGCGGCTTCGACGGGGGATCAAGAAGGAGCGTCGCACAAACGCTCGGCGAGTGTACTTAGCAATTCAAGCGACAAGAGCAGCAAGCGGCAAAGAAAGTAAGATGGCTAGGTGGATTTTGGCATGGGCGTTTCGGGACGGAATGGGGGCGTTTGACTGTGATTTATATATACCAGCTTGTACAATTACATGAAACCCACGCGGTTGTTCTCCGGATCCCAAGAGTGCAGACTAGTAAGTTGTAAATGCATACTTCAACTTCCAGGATCACATGCTCTCAGTCCACAAGGTCCTTTTACTACCAGGCAGTCACTGGCTCCCCGCACCGAGCATCTGTTATAACATTTGCGAAGTCTAAGACATGCATTCTTGCTCGCCACAAGCTGAGATACAAATGATCAGTCCAAACCGTCCCATACCTGTCATGGCCAGCATGAACTACTAGCTTTTGCCCCGACGTAATGCCCCTCAGACCTCAAACCAAGGCGCTGCCACCATGCTGCGATTTTACCAACACATTATGCACTTTTGACCCAGACATCCACATCGCGTACTCACTCCCCGACGGCAAAAATCTCCTCGCAGTCCTGATAATTGCTTTCCCAACCGTCAGTGACAACAGTCGAGCCAGTCTGTTCCGAAAACTGCTTGCGTGCTAGGTCTACACTAGGAATACTTGCTCCGTCTCCCTCCCGGCAAGGGATTGTGTCCTTCTCGCCAGACCATTGCTTCAGAGGTACCATCGGCTCACCGTCATCTTCCGTATGGGCTCGACGCTTACGGTCTAAGACTTTGAATCTCGTCGCTCGCCCATCCTTCTTCTGCATCACTGGAAAACGCCCAGTTGACGCATTCAATTTCGCAGCTGCTTTGGCCTCAAGGTCGCGCGCGATCGCAGACATGCTACGGCCCTTGGCCCATAGACTTCCGGTGCGACGTAGGGTCGACCATCTTCCTAAGGATACTCCTCGTCCTTCTGTGCTCATACTGGATGCTGACGGGCTTGCCAGCGGCGGCTGTTGCTCACTTAGAGATTGATTAGGATTGACCCATGCGCAAAAGTCCCAGGGGTCCTTTGCACTAGCTGGTGGCTCCGGGTCGGAATGATCCCTCTTTTTCTTTGAGAATCTCCCCAGAAGGGAAGACTTAGGAGACTCATCACCTGCGGTTGCATTAGTTGCCCCCGACCAGCTACGAAAGTTGATGTGGCCAATGATGGAAGACAGATCGATAGGCATTCCCGCTTTCTTCGACAGCGACGTTGTATCGTGCTGTTCTGGCTGGCTGTCAATCTGCTTTGCCTGCTCGGCCTGGGTATCGGTTTCAGATGGTACCTCCTGGCTCAGATCATGAGTAGCAGATAGATCAAACAGTTTCCCCGAGGGCCTGTCGTTCTCTTCGCTTGCGGGAACTAGAGTATACCCATAACCAAGACGTCGGCCACCAGACATCCAGCCCACACTCACTTTCCGGGGTGATACAAGGTCAGCGTCACCGTTGATCGGGGAGCTGATGTTTGACGAGGCGACTGAAAGGTCTGAATGAATCTGTTCTACTGATTTACTGCACGGGGCTTGCACACTGGAAGCACTGCCATCGACAGGTCTAGAGGTTGCACACTCAGCATTTAACATATTCTCCAGTAGCCGAGGCGTGCAATCTCGAGTAGGATGAAGACTTCTTTGAGACTGTCTCTCAAGTGGAGTCAAGCCGTGCGCCGTTTCTGTCTTGCTCAAGTATATTCTGGAAGCAGCCGAATGCTGACTCTCTGGCCGTGAATAGCATGAAGATGTCTCTTGTGGAAAGAACCTGTATGTCGGTTCAGCCACGTCCATCACCTTGCCGTTGCTCATCGCCGAGTTACTATCAAAAGCTGGTTGCGGTGATTTCCGCAACCTGACATCACTAGCCCATGGATTCGCTTCCAAGGATTGTTTCCCTGACAGAATTCGAGGAGAGGTTGTTCGAGACGCCAACATTGTATGAATGTCCATATCCTCCAGATGAACGGAGCCATTGCCGGTTGCAGTTTGTGGAACTTGCCGTCTTCTTGTCCGAACTGAAAGCCCTGCCGAGGACCCAGCAAGCGAATCTACAGATGTGGTATAATGCGATGGGGCTGGAGAGGTATATCCTGGAATTTTAGAGCCATATTCATGATATCCTGGAGTCGATGAAGAGCTATATAGGGCGTTCGAAAGCTTCGGAGTCCCAGTCCGTGGTGGTGCACCATAACGGTCCTGCTGGTCATATAAAGCGTATTCTGTCGACTTCGGCGAACAGAAGCCAGCATGATAAGGCTGTACAGCTTGTACCCGACGCTTGGCGCTGCTTGCGACACGAGAAAAGGGAGGAGGATTCGCTGTAGGATGGACGTTCCAGATTGCCTGGTCCATGGAGGACCAAGGATTCCGTGTCCCTTCCAGTATATTTGGATCAAAACCTGGTGCCCTCACTGGGACCCCCTTCGAAACATCAGATGCCTGGCTGGCGGCAGGAGAGCCTTCCCTTCCCTTTCCCCGCTTCGGCAGCGATGCTGGTTCGGCAACGAAGCATTCTGGCTGGTGGTTGATTTGCTTTGGGGTACTGATAAACTGAGCGTCACTGTCATAGCCCCTCTCGCTCAACAAACTGCCTCCTAACCCAACGGAAGAGTTGTCCAGCCGATCACTGGGAAATCTCGCTGGGCCATGCAAGGTAGACGAACCGGATCTTCCCTCGGCCCTGATTGAAGCGCCATGGAGTTTCTTATGTTCTCTCGAAAATCGCTTGCGTAATTTTTCCGACAAGCCGCCCGCGGAGGTTCCAGTGGAGGACAAGCGGAGGGCATCTACCCTGGAGGCAAATGGAGCTATCACAGTTGAATCGTTAACAGATTGAACTAATCGGGAGAATTGAGTCACGCTGTACCGCTGCCAGTACCACTTCCCACAACTCCATCTGGAGGCGAGGTCACTGGATGCAGTGGGTACGAGGGACCCGTTCCTGGCGGGTCTGGTTTCTTCCAGTGGCCCCGGAGTCGGGGGCAGAAGAAAATCCCCATTGTGATTGAGTTGCTGGAATTGGAGAATGTTCAACTGCGATGATCAGATGGCGACTGTGGCAATTGTCCACAGAGCCATGAAGCAACAAGCATCGAGGAGTGAGGAAAGGCGAATGGCAAGTCTTCATGATGATCTTACAGTTACCTCACTTTTGTTTTACGAAAGGGAAGGCGAGGGGGAGAGTTGCTGGAACTGACTGAGGCAGGCACGTTCGTATTCGCGGTTGCGTACATCTGTCCAATGCCCAGTATATACGGAGTATCTGTCCACTTCCAATTCGGACAAGATATAGCAATCCAGACATCCGACAGCACATGGGCGTTGGAGCGCGATCGGCCGCCCTTTGAATGCTGGTGGCGGGATCATCCTTATCCTACGGAACACGATGGCTTTCGGACAAATCAAAATCAGTCAGAGTGTCCGAGCTTTGTTCTTGTCCTTGAGTGGCGAACACTAACAGTAGAGAATCTTATCCTTAGCTGAAGCTATACAATGGAACCCAAAAAAAGTCACCGGGCGATAGACATCTGGCCCTGGCGTTTAGTGGCCGATCGCGGAAGCAGCCAGACCGTCGCCGATGGTTTCTCCGGACTGCGACCCGCCGGTAACTGGCCGTGACTCAATTTGTTCGTTGATCTAACTTTTTTGTTTTTTTTTTTTCTGCCATTTCGATCACGCCATTTGACACTATCCAATTGCTGGTTTAGTCTCTTACTGTGTATACCATTTCTTACACATGGGTCTGATTGTGGTGACTGTGTACTGTTGTGCTTCCGGCAATCATTGGCATTGATGGTGAGTATAGGTAGATGCACAAACGACGTGCAGTTTGCAGTGCCGGGGAGGGGAGGGGAGGGGAAGCTCTCCGTCGTCGGTCCATGAACGACGATGATTTGATAATGGGATTAGATCAAAGGCAATGATACCCAAGTCCGGTGCAAAACCGGTGGCCGAATTGTACTCCGTACATTGTCGCCATTTCCCCGAGGGGCTATAAGTCTGTAAGATTACCGGTTATTACCGGCCAACCTTACCCCTCCACCAAAACCACCCAGAAATCGGTCGGCCTCCAAAATACCGTATTTTTCCTCCCCCTCCCTCCCCCTCCCGCCTCTCGCTGCCAGCTTATATTTCCCCCTCCATCCCCTCCTCCTCCTTCATCCTTTTCTTCTTCTTCTCTCCTCCATCTCTCCCCTGGGTTTATCCTTCCCTCTTCATTTACTCCCTCTCTATTCTTCTCCCAGCAAGAGGATTGATTCTTCTTGTCTGTTAACTCTTGTGTTGTGTGCCTTGCAATCTATCCTATCATCTACCTACAATCTTCTTTATTCTTCTTCCTTCACATTTACACACACATTCAAGATGGTTCAGTCTTCCGTCTTGGGTTTCCCCCGTATGGGAAAGCTCCGTGACCTCAAGAAGGCCACTGAGGCTTACTGGGGTGGAAAGATCTCCCGTGATGAGCTCTTGAGCGAGGGAAAGAGACTCCGTGCTGAGCACTGGAAGCTTCAGAAGGATGCTGGGGTCGATATCATCCCCAGCAACGACTTTGCTTTCTACGATCAGGTCCTCGACCACATCCAGCTCTTCGGTGTATGTCTAAATTAATCCAAACTCGTTTTTTCCCCCACGAACCCTTGCTAACAGACTTCTGTACAGGTCATTCCCGAGCGTTACAGCAAGTACGGTCTTGACCCCCTCGATGAATACTTCGCCATGGGCCGTGGTCTCCAGAGACCCGCCAAGGATGGCCAGCCCGCCGTCGATGTTCCCGCCTTGGAGATGGTCAAGTGGTTTGACTCCAACTACCACTACGTCAAGCCCACCCTCCAGGACAACCAGACTTTTAAGCTCGCTGCCGAGCCCAAGCCCGTTGTTCAGTTCCTCGAGGCCAAGGAGGCTGGTGTTGTCACTCGCCCCGTTATCCTGGGTCCCGTCTCTTTCTTGACCCTCGCCAAGGCCGACCGTGGCCAGTCCATCGATCCCATCTCCAAGCTCGAGGAGCTCCTCCCTCTCTACGTCGAGCTCCTTGCTAAGCTCAAGGAGGCCGGCGCTGAGGATGTTCAGATTGACGAGCCCGTCCTTGTCTTCGATCTCCCTGCCAAGTCCAAGGCTGCTTTCAAGCCCGCCTATGAGAAGCTCGGTGCCCTTGGTGACAAGGCTCCCCGCCTCGTCCTCGCCACCTACTTCGGTGACATCGTTCACAACAAGGATGTTCTTCCTGCTCTCCAGAGCCTCCACGGTATCCACATTGACCTTGTCCGCAACCCCGAGCAGCTCGAGACTGTCGCTGGTGCTCTCGGCCCCAAGCAGGTTCTCTCTGCTGGTGTTGTTGACGGTCGCAACATCTGGAAGACCAACCTCAAGGCTGCTATCGAGAAGGTTGAGCTCGCCATCCAGAAGCTTGGCAAGGAGCGTGTCATCGTTGCCACTTCCAGCTCTCTTCTCCACGTTCCCCACACTCTTGAGAGCGAGAAGAACTTGGATGATGAGGTCCGCGATTGGTTCAGCTTTGCTGTTGAGAAGCTTTCCGAGGTTGTTGTGATCGCCAAGGCTGTCACCGAGGGTCCTGCTGCTGTCCGTGAGCAGCTCGAGGCCAATGCCAAGTCTGTCCAGGCCCGTGCCTCCTCCAAGCGCACCAACGACCCTGAGGTCAAGGCCCGCCAGGCTGCTGTTACCGAGGAGATGCACAACCGCAAGTCTCCCTTCACTACTCGTATTGCCGAGCAGACCAAGTCCATCAAGCTTCCTCTTTTCCCTACCACCACCATCGGATCTTTCCCACAGACTAAGGAGATCCGGGTCCAGCGCAACAAGTTCACCAAGGGTGAGATCACCGCTGCTGAGTACGAGAAGTTCATTGAGCAGGAGATCGAGGAGGTCGTCAAGATCCAGGAGGAGCTTGACCTGGACGTTCTCGTCCACGGTGAGCCCGAACGTAACGACATGGTTCAGTACTTCGGTGAGCGCCTTACTGGTTACGTCTTCACCACCCACGCCTGGGTTCAGAGTTACGGATCCCGCTGCGTGCGTCCTCCCATTATTGTCGGTGACATCTCTCGTCCCGCTCCCATGACCGTCAAGGAGTCCAAGTACGCCGTCTCGATCTCCAAGAAGCCCATGAAGGGTATGCTCACTGGTCCCATCACCTGTCTCCGGTGGTCTTTCCCCCGTGACGATGTCCACCAGTCCGTTCAGGCTCAGCAGCTGGCTCTCGCCCTCCGTGACGAGGTTGTTGACCTCGAGGCTGCCGGTGTCAAGGTCATCCAGGTCGATGAGCCTGCCCTCCGTGAGGGTCTCCCTCTCCGTGCTGGCACGGAGCGTGAGAAGTATCTCGAGTGGGCTGTCAAGGCTTTCCGCCTGTCCACTGCTGGTGTGACCGACGGTACCCAGATTCACTCTCACTTCTGTTACTCTGAATTCCAGGATTTCTTCCACGCCATCGCTGCGCTGGATGCCGATGTTCTGAGCATTGAGAACAGCAAGTCTGATGCCAAGCTGCTCAAGGTCTTCATCGATGAGGCTTACCCCCGTCACATCGGTCCTGGTGTCTACGACATCCACTCTCCTCGTGTTCCCAGCGAGCAGGAGATCAAGGACCGTGTCGAGGAGATGCTCCAGTACCTCCGCCCTGAGCAGCTCTGGATCAACCCTGACTGTGGTCTGAAGACCCGTCAGTGGCCCGAGACCAAGGCTGCCCTGACCAACATGGTCCAGGCTGCCAAGTTCTTCCGCCAGAAGCACAGCAACTAAATTTCTTCTACATTACTTTAATCAACCCAAGATTGGGGCGACAACTTTCAACCTGTCGTCTCGGAGACGCAATCTGTCGATTGTGGTCCAAGCACTTTCTTATGATGAGTTTACGATGTGATACCAAAAGTTCAACATATGGGTTCAGGTTTCATTAGATGGGTCCCCGGAGTTTTCAACATGTCTTAATGACGATTTCAACATCGGCGTCTGCATTAAACATCAGCGCCACGATTCAATTCTTCCTGCCTTTTAACAGCGGGAATTTCGGTGATGTCTGGTGCTTCGCCGGTGTCTTACACATAATATTTCAACAATGTGATACCACACGAAGAGGTTGCTACTGTCACCACCTCTTTGGCAATTTGATATGCATTTTACTACCTCTTGTCTTTTTCTGTAGTCTTCGTACAGTGTAGGAAGTAGATCTTCTGAAATTGGTCTACTTTGACCAACCCTTGATAAGTCCTTGTTCCTTTTCATCGCTTGTATTCATTGTACATGTTCACCATCATACTTGACTGATTAGTCCATACTACCTTTTCATCTTCGCGTATCGGAACGTCCAACGCATACCATAATAAAGCAAACCCCATTCAACAACCGACACAACCTTTTTCGTTCAAATATCGATACTGTACCTAGTATACAAAGCCTTTTCCCTCGAAACAAGATCAATTCGAACCAACACTCCATGTCCAAACCAAGTCCTTTTCAAAAGACAGCCTTTCAAACGATACAAGCTCCCCCCCCCACCCCCCTCACCTCTGCATACTTGCCCACTCCCAAGCTCCAATGCTAACCTGACCTAAAGCTAAAGCTAAAGCTGAACTCAACCCTCGACTCAAAGCCAAGTACAATACGGCACCACAGCTCCCCTCCCCGCCAAGGGCTTCTCCCCGAATTTCTCAACATACCACTTCCTCCCCCACCGCGCATGCGGCAACATATTCGTGACGGCATTTATCACAAACACCACCGCCGGCACGGGGAACGGCTGCCTCAGCCATGCAGCGAGGTGTGCAGCGGGGCGGAGCCAGGGGGCGAGGTGGAGGGGGGTGATGCTACCGCTGGCAGCACCAATGCCAATACCAGCACCAGCACCAGCACCGGCCCGCAAACCCAGCACGGTAGCAGCAGTAGCACCCGACTGCACCACAGCCGTCCCAACGAGAGCGAAACCCGCCCATTCGATCCACTCACTGACATAGTGGGGGTAGAGGATTGATGAGAACAAGGGGGTAGAGGGCGGGGGAATGATGTAGACTTTTTCGGTCGATGTCGATGTCGATCTTGCAGGGGTATCTGCATCCGATTTGGGTTGTGCCGCCCGCCTCGCAGCCTCCTCGCGCCGAAGGCGAAAGAGAGTGCGTTCAGCGTAGATATTCCCGGCCATGCCAGCGAAGAACAGGGCGAGACCTAGGGCGGTTGAGACTGTGAGGAATGGGGTCGGCTGACCACCAGCCGCAGCAGCAGCAGCAGCAGCAGCAGCAGTGGTGCTGACAGAACCAGCATTCTCGGGCTGGACGGGGATCTCAAAGCCTACAAGCCAGCCGGCGAGGCAGGTGGAGTTGAACCAGTTAAACAGCATGGCGGATGTCATGATGAAGACGTGGATGGGGGACATGCTGGGGGCGGCGAAGAAGGGAGAGATGATGGCGCGGTTGAGGTAGTGCAGGACAAACAGGGCAGCGACAATCTTGTTAGGGAGGGGGAGGGCGAAGGACGAAGGGGAAGTGCCGTGGAGCTGGAGCTTCGCGGGCAGTTTCCACAGGATGTAGATGAGGTTGATGGGGCTGACGATCTCCATAGCGCACCAGGCCCAGCGGCCGGGCAGGTTGAAGATAGAGGCTTTCATGGAGGTCTTGCCGGCTGGGTGCCAGGCTGTGAGCCACTGGAGGATGGTGAACTAGACTTGAATTTAGTGGCTGATGGCTGATAGATGCTATAGGTTGAGATCGCGAGAGGATCGCGGGATCAAGTACGGACGGAGTACTGACCAACGGAAAGTATTGGAAGATGTTCAGCAGGGTGAGATAGACATCTGGAGTCGGAAGAAGAATGTCCATCAGGGGAGGGAGATTGCCCCAGCAAGTGGAGATGGTAGCCCCCATGATGTTGAAACTGTTGTTGATGTTGTTCGTTAATGTACTGTACATCGCATCCTAGCCATTATGTCACTGGACGGAGTGAAGTAAGTTAACCTACGCTCCTGTGAATGACTAAGAGCTTATTCAGAGGGTGCCTCCCTCACGATTAACTACATTGGTCGGTCAACTACACCCAGTGTACTGGCAACTTGATAGAAATAAATGTCTGTCCATTGCGCCCATTCCATTCATGCTTAAATTCCAAAACCACAGCATATCATTAGTCTCGAATCATCCAGCAATGCAGATCATGGTGTACTGATCAGGTCGCGACGTCAACCTCGCCCCGAGCCGGCGATTCTATGATGATGACAATGATCAACGCAAACGAGACTCCAAACCTGACCTTCATTTATATCGGAACAAGAAAAAAAACGAGAATTTCAATCCATGGTCAAAGCGCTAATTCAGAACAAGCCCTTAGGCTTTGAAATTGCCTGGTGCACAAACATCGATTATCCCTAATGCAATCAACCAGTGGTCGTATCCATTGGATCAGACATCTTGGCTTGTCTGCGAGCCGCCATTCGCTCCGCCTTGAAGGCTGCAATCTTCGCCTTGAGTTCCGTATCTGGGAACAAATAATCAGCCTTGTCTTTCGCCCAAAAGCCGACGATCAGATACTCACCGGGACTGACATCTTCCATTTTCAGTGGGGCTCGGTTGAAAGGATCGTGAGGATCACTGAGAAGGTGAGAGCGGATGGTGGAGCGATCGATAGAAACCCTGGACCCAGGCAAGATCACTGGGTCTTCCATCAAAGTGTACATCAGAGGATCTGCAAAGCCGCGTTAGCACCGATGCGATGGGAAGATGGGAAATGGTCATCATACCCAAAAACTCGTCAGGAACCTCTCCAAGGTCTTCTTCGGCCTGTTCGTCTTCCTCTTTGGCCGCCTTCACCTTGTGCTGGAATTGCTCCCACCGCTTGAGTTCCTCGGGTGATTTCAAAGACCATTTCCGCAGGATCTCGGCAGCCTTTTCGAAGTTGGCCGGCTTATAAGACCGTCCGTCACGTGCTACAGCAACAATGAAGCTCTCCTTGCCCGTCAAGTTCAGATATACATCAACAATTTCGCTCAGCAGTGCCCGAGGATTGAAGCCATACTCTTGCGGATTATCCACCCGCAGAGTGGCACTCTTGGGTCCTACCATGGCATCCAAGTTGTAGTCAAGCATATCTGCCAATCTCTGCACGATTTCAGGCATCGTGAAGGAATCTGCCAGCGCATCCGTGAACAGCTTCAGCATAGACACCGTCTCATTCGTCAATTGCATATACGACTTGGCATTGCGCTGCGCGGCCGCCAGCTGCTCTTCCTTCTGTTGACGCACCGTGGGATCCATTGCTGCTGCATTGCGCAATTCCGTTTGAGTCTTGTAAATAGTGATGAAGGCGCCAAAAGACTCGTCCAGCACATACGTCACATCATTGAGTAGAAGGTTGACAAAGCGAACGAAGAAATCCAGGTTCTGCTTGGACTGGTTGTAAAGTTTATTGCGATAATGGGTGTTGGGCCAGATGCATTGAATGATCTGAAAAATCTCGTAACGAATATTGAACTTATCGAAGAATTGAGTATGGGTACCGGTGTGCTCGGCCTCAATATAGAACTTCATTAGGGCGTGCAGCAGGTGCTGATTGGCGAAAGGCATGGAATTGAGCAAGTCCACGAGGACACCACGACCGCCTCCAGGGCGGGACCAGGTTCCCCGGAACAGGATGGAGACAAGACCTGCCTTAAGATAGGGGTTCTTGATATAGCTCGAACTCTCGAGGAAGGTAATGCAAAGCATAACCAGCTCGTCTCCTTGGGTGGCAGTAATGATGTGAGGCATGGCCCACATGATAAACTTGAAATTGCTCACAATGTCATCAAGAAAGTATTCTGGCAAGCATTGAAACACCTCCGGTTGCTGCTCAGGCAAGGGAAGCTTGAGCGGCTCTTTGGGGAAATTGCTGCCTGAAGCTACGCGCAGTAACCAGACGACCACATATCGCATGAACATCATGGACCGAGCTTGCCATTGCTCGTCAATCAAGACGGCCTGTAAGCTGTATTTCAGAGCCAGACCGAGATCCAGCTTGTCCTTGTATTTCTTGAGGGCCTGCTCGAATACTCTGAGCTGGACGGGATTGTTCAACCACCGGTGCCGTTCCATTTCGAACTTATTGATTGTTGACTCCATGTGCCTCAGGTCTTTCTCAAGCTGCTCGAGCTTGGAAGTCAGAGACTCGCTGCCGTAATGGTGTGCGGCCACAGTAAGGAAGAAGATCTCTGTGATGAAGTTAGATGCGCCCTCCGCAGACTTGGCATAGAAAGCGTCTGAGGCATGCTGATCAGCATTGATCTTGGTTTCATCCTTCATGTCTACCCGCGGCTTGCGGTGCAGGTAGTTTGCATCAACTCTGTCGATCTACAAAGACGAAACAGGTCAGATTGACAATCAAGACAACACTATCCTGGCTCCCATACCTTGGTGAAGCTTGCATCCATGAACGGCTCGCAGAGCTGGTCCAGGCAAGTCGTGATGTTGAACATGAACCCATCGGACGAGACAGTAGTGGGATCCACTTGCATTGCTCGTCGCTTGTGGTTGATGTTCACAGAAGTTGCGAACCAATCTAGCACCCGATCCCTGGCATCCTTCGAAGCTCGAATCATGTGATTAATAACGTCCAAGAGATCCGAGCTAATCATATGCTGCACCATACGGATCGACCGTTGTGCGGTGACAAGGTAATTTTGATCTCTCGTTTTGGGACTTGAGAAGTAGGTTAAGGTGACATTGCTCTGAAGCGGGGACAGACTGAACCACGGGCCCAGAAGCGTCTGCTTCTCAAATTGAGCAGGGTCGCGAGACTCATTGAACATGGACGACTCCGTAATGGCAGCGGCAATGGCCGCGTGGTGGACCAGATTCCGCAAAGCCTGCAAAGAGGTTGGTGAGACACTCCTACGGCAAAGATAAAGAGGACAACATACTGTGAGGTAGGGCTTGTAATCATCATTGATGTTCAAGCCGGCAAGATCCTGGCTCATTTCCTCCACAGCAGCTATAAAAGCCGGCTTGATGCTGTCATCTTCATTGAACCTGCTCACGGCTTCGCCAATGAACTCGAAGTCCACACCTTTGTCCTCCTCGGGATCCAAGAGGAGGTATGGTTTAAGAGACGACTTCGCGGACGACTCGAGCCTTTAGAGAGCAGAATGTCAGCTGCTAATCGTCAATGATAGCCAGGCCAACGAGTCAAACCCACCCAAACATTTCCGGCATGGTGATCGCAAAGATGCAGTAGCTCATGCACATGCGGCGGGCTTCACAGATGACGCTGTACTTAGGATCATCATCTCGAGGCCGACGGAAACCCTTGTGCAGCCTGGAGATGCGCCTCCAGCATGGGAGCAAGTAATCCAGCGGCTTCTGCTGGGGTGCATTGGAGGCTGCCTCCAAGAGGGCTTGATCCAGCACCGACAATTCGATGCGGATCTCGCGGCCTTGTTCCTCCAGCTCCCCCCGCAGCCCCGGAAGGTAGGTCAACCGTTGTCCATGGATATCTTTTTGACGAGATTCGTTCAAAGACAGCTTGAAGACGGCGCTCAGCGTCCGATCGGCAAAGGACTCGATGCTCTCGTCAGCTCTCGACGGGGGTGGGGTACCCGAGACTGGAGTAACGGTTTGCGATCGATCTGGCACTGCACTGGCGCCTGTGGGTGGTGCTATCCTGATTCGTTTCCATTCCGATTGCACAGTCTGTGGTTGCGGGGACGAGGACCGTGAAGCAGCTGCGCTGCTCAGATTAGATTGTGGTTGTGACTGAGGTCTCTCCGGGAATCGGGATGCTGGCGAGGACTGGGAGGGCGATGCGGGCTGGCTCGACGCAGCGCCGTCGACGGGCGACGATGGTGTAGGATTTCCTAACTTTGCCAAGCGCTTGCTGCGGATCTGTTGATGGTAGGGTCAGAGCAATCCTAGGCCCAAAGGCGGGCGTCTAAAGAAAAAATTGAAACGCAAAGTCCGCCTCACCTTGTCCGCCTCAGACTGGCTATCGGACATCTTGACTGATGCTGATCGGGGCAGCCCGCAGCAGAAAACCTTCCTCGGTCAGCGGGTCACGATTTTCAACCAAGTGCTTGGCTGAATTTTGATCGGATGAAGTGAGAGAAAACAGAGATAAGAATGACAGAAATCAGCTACCGGGGATGTGACGAGTCCTCAGAAAGCGGGCTGATGGCAGACTGCTCCGTAGAACCGAGGACAAGGACAAACCGGAGGTTGGGGAATGAGGATGTCACTTCTGCATTATTGCGCGGGCAAGTCGGACTTTCTGTCATGGTCGATGGCTGATTATTAACTAAGCTCACTCGGGGTTTAGTTTGGTTTCGTTGGTGGTGGTGGATTGGCTTCCGTCCCTCCTCTTCCCCGCCCGCTCAGCACTTTTCACTCAATGGCATTTCAAGTTAGGTTCATATCGCCAGCAGCCATGCACAGCTTTCTGTCTCAGAAAGAGAAAGGAGAGAGAGAAACAAGAAAGAAAAAGAAAAGAAAAGAAATAGAGAAAAAGACCAATCATACATCGTGCTAAGGAGTTATTAGAGGGTTGAAACTTGAGAGTACTCACTCATAGTTACCAGGAACAACAATAATTGAACACTAATTCCTACCCGAACGCAAAAATGAAAAATCATTATCGGTCCATGAAACGCCATCACAACCGTGAGAACATATAGACATCTAAGCTGAAATAAAGAAAGAGATGATTGTTCGTGATAAGAGCGCTTGGGATTTGGGTTGATTGAAGCCCAATGATACAACATAATTAGTATACGATGGATGCGAAGCCAACCGCACCCAGGAAATCAGGAGAATCCAGGTCAGTACCTCCCCACCAACGAATCCAGTCGTTTGCAGCTCTTCATCTCCATTGATCTTGCCTCTTTGATCTTCTCGACGTCCGGAAAGAACCATCCTTGAGCATCCTGAATCATGCGATCCCGCGTGTGTCTTTCACTGTCACATTCGTATCGCAGTTTCGTCACGTAGTCCACTTCCACTCGTTGGTCCAGTTGGTGGAATTTGCGGGCGCTGTAATCATCCACATCTCTCGGGTTGACGTAGTAATCAACATTCAGCTTGGGCGTAGTGCGATGCATGGTGTGAGGGGAAACTGCAGCGTCAAATCTGTAAGAAGGTCCTGAAGGCGCAGGAGTACCGGAAAAACGAGAAGAGATCCAAGGAAGAACAAAGAGAAGAATGAGAGGGAGAAGCTGCTGGAACGTCGACCAGAGGGATTGCGCCGGCTCGGACTGGCCATTGGCTTCACGGGGCCTCCTCCGAGGCCGCTGGCCGCCAAATTGATGCACCCGGAATCCAGGACCGCCTCCCATGTTGAAGACAAACTGAGGGCCGCCTGCATGGTATTAGTTAGCCGCCAATCGCCTCTCCATTGAATTTCTAGAGCAGAAGGTATTATGAATCGTACCGAAACCGCCTCCCATGGGACCAAAGCCACCGCTGAAAAATCGCTGGAAGAGCTCCTCTGGCGAAATCTCCTCCTCGAACATCGGACCCCCACCCCCTGACCGCGGGAATCCGCCGCCAAAGCCGCTGAAGGGCGAAGCACCTGATGGCCCAGCGCTGGGGGTAAACCTGCTGTCAGGATCTCCTCCGAACTTATCATACTTGGCTTTCTTTTCGGAATCGGACAGTACTTGAAAAGCACGAGATACCACTACAAGACGCCATAGTTAAATTCGGTAGCATACAAGCAGTGACGACGGATAACTCACATTTGAAAGCCTCGTCCGCCCCCTCATATCCATTCTTGTCGGGATGCGTCAATAGACTCAGTTTGCGATACGCCTTCTTGATCTCACTATCGGTGGCGGTTTTCTCCACCGCTAAAATCTCATAGAACGCCGTGGTCGAGCATTTCCTAATCCTCAGCACGGCTGCCTTCTGCTCCGGTGTGTATTTGCGGTCCTGATTGCCTTGGTTGTGCTCCCGGGATTTCGCTGAGCCCCCATTGTCTGCTCCAGAGGCTGTGGCGGACGGCATCGCAGAAGTCGTCGAACGATGGTTGTCCGGGAGGATATCGAGAATCAATCAATGGCAGCGACGCGCTGCTCTCGGTTTCTGTCTATTTACCTCCTTGGGCGCAATGTAATTCGAGGCCTGGATCTGCGGGAAGAGGGAGAGTGGGCCAGCTAAAGCCGACACGAGCAGAAAAAGACAATAGAGGGGAGGGCGTTCCTCTGTTAACAGAATAAGGGCTGCGGATACAGCTTTGGTTCAGGGACAGAAAATGATACTGAGCTGGTTAAGCCGCAGTGTGCCTGTCAAGGTCTCAAATCAAAAACAACCGTGACTGATAAACGTGGTGAGTTTCTGGAGGTTCAGATGTTGACGCTAAGCCCCGGGTAAGCGTTGACAGTGGCTTGTTAGTCAGGCAAGATTGTCTTGTGCTCATTGCCGCGGATCGTCATCCACCTTCTGGTCTGCCACCACCTCCGCATCAACCGGTATGTCCAGTGCTTCATCATTAGTCTCTATACCTCCCTCGCATATACTCTCCCTTTGTAACTAACTAATACTCACTCACGAACAAGACCGAATTCCCATCTGAATCACGGATTGCGCCTCGCTAAGACAATCATGGCTGGTTCCGACTCCACCGTAGAACAGACTGAGAAGTCTCTAGTCCAGACAGCTAGAGCATGGGGAGGTAAGTTTTAAGCAGAGCAACCTGGCGGCCTTGTCTCTTGGAGAGAGTGTAACGAACGCCTCCAATGGCTGTTTGTGAGCTAATGGCTTCCTCTTACCACAGAAAATGCCTTCCCACCTACTCTACTGGCTTCTCTGATCACAGCACAGCACATGCGCCCCTTCCAGCCGCTACCCATGCTCTTCCCCCCTATCCTTCTTTTCACTAGCTATGCCAATCTTCAAGGGTTCAAAACCGACACGGCGGGTATCAGTGCCGCCTGGTCTGGGCTCTACCTCCTGCTTGCGGGTCGGCGCAAGCAGCAATTCATGAAGAAATGGGGCGCTCGGGGCATCGTGCGCGGTGTGACCATGGGTCTTTGTTTGGTCAACATGGTCAGTGGCGGTCTTGCCTATACGCTAGGCAAACGGGAGGACGACGATGAATAGAAGGTATGGTAATGGTTGTATAGCCTGGACCCTTGACGCAAGGGCTTGAAGATTCAATGAAGGCTTCTGTACGATAATGTTCGCCAAACTTGGATGAGGGCGTCGCTTTGGGCATGGTGTTATGGTCAGTGTTGAGATAAAAGCAGTTTCGTTCTTGGCAAGCAGACTACTGCATGCGATGTCTATGTGTATAGTATAAATTTACAGTTGTCGCGACCGGCGGCCAGCTAGCCATAAGGTTTTGAGTCTACGCGCTACCACCAGGACCTGTTGACTAGTTCGCGTATAGTTGTTCCGACAGAATCATCTCCTGTATGTTCGACGGGACTAACCATTCCAGGCCCTGAGGGTTTGCGGTGACTGCTTCTCGGGCTTTGGTTGAGCTCACTGATGGTGCTCCTGGTTTCCTCCCCTCCACAAGCTGGATTCGCTGGGCCCATTCCCGCTTACCGCCTATGTCATCTTTCCTTCCCTCCGCCAAGTCCCGCAGGAAGGCCTCCTGCTCATCCCGACTCCCCCAGCTGCTATCAGGGCGCAATGTCACTCGTAAGCGATGCTGGGAAAGGAAGGGTTCCAAGGACTTCAGGGTATGCTCTGGAGGGTAGTACTTGGGATCGAATATGCGAATCAGGGTATCGTATCCTGTGAGGTGAATTTGTTCGAGCGACTGCGGGTAAACCCCAGCCTTCTCTATCTCCGCGGCTTTGTCCACAAAATATGGCTTTTTCGTGACGGCCACGTCTACTGCTGAAAGGGTGTGACGGTTGTTTGCAGGGCTTGTAGCCTGCAAATGGGAAAGAAGGTCGCGGGCAAATAGGTCCATCATGGTGAGACGGTCCTCGAAAGAGGCGGGCTTAGATGGCTTGTCTGCATTCTGAGTCGCCAGGAGCAAGAGAAGTCGTGGAGATGCACTAGAAGTCTCTAACAAAGCCGAGCAGGCGATCCGACGATGGGCAAGAGTTGGTGGGTTGAAAGAGGAGTCGAGCACGTACAAGACGTCGGGGCTTGCAGCAGCGTCATGGGAGTTGTGGGTGATGGAGGCCAGAACCTCAAAGTTATGGTTCGAGTTTTGAAACTGTTTCAAGCGAGATGCATAATGTGTCTGCAGGGACTGAAGGGAGGGTGCCTCCATCACTGAGAGGGGGTTGCCGATGTCTGATCCGAACTATATTCTTAGAGGATCTTCTCTTCAACAAGCAGGAAGTTCACGAAACGAGCCCATCCGTCCATCCAGCAGCAGCAGTCAAAAGTTCAAACGTCACAGCCGCGGCGGCAGAATGAACGACCGCCCCGAGTGGGACGACGGGAAGAGTTGGCCGAATCCCATGGAAGGAAAAGAAGCGGATCGACCACCCACCATCGGACCCTTTCCTTTCGTCTTCTTCCCGCGGCTGGCTGCATCCCCATGTCAACCTGTTGTATAACAACAATCTACTCACCGGGAGGGAAATTGTCCCAACCCACCACTCTCTCATCCCACTCTTCCACACGGCTGAGTGGCGGTCAAGCCGATATTAATGATTACTGTGTAGGCTTCTCTGATCCTGATAAGCCCCAATAATTGACAGCGGATGGCCAGTGTTCCGTTTAGATTAATCCACGGGCTGATCTCAATCACGGTCATTTCGGTTCAGTTCTCAAGCATTGCCGTCCAGCAGCCGTGTTGGTCGGTGAACTTGGAAGCAAGAGCAATTTTGGTCCCGATGGGCTAGAATTCGGGGCTCCGAATTTTTCTTTCTCTAGCCGCGGTAGCGATCATCCTCTTAGTCTCTGCTCAGCACTTTTATGCTCGATTCTCGGGTCAACCACCAACCTTCCGGCACTCGGGTACCCTAGCTCTGCTTTTTGAAACGTCGGCGGCAAAGATGACCCTGGATGAGATAGTGAACACCTGGAGAGGGAGTCCGGCAGAGCGCTGCCTGATCACATCATTCCACGGTCAACAACAATCCATAAACACGATATAAACGAGGGCTTTGATTGCTGGTATTTAATCTCCTTTGATTGCAATCTGTGCGATCGTGTCTAGACTCTTGACTTCCGGCCATGGTCTCCAGTCTCCACTTTTCCTAAGATCATCGCCAGATGATCTATCCTTCTGTTGATTTGCCCTCCAGATCAACCCTGTCATACTCATGCCAACGCTTTCGCAGTCAGCCACCGGATCATCGCTATATGTCTTAACGTGGTTGTTCTACGTGTGTGGGTGTCTGCTTGGATGCGTTGTTTGCTTAGGCCTCCTTTCAATATCCAGGGGGAAAAGCAATCGCAATCGCTTACCTAGAGAAAGTTTTTTAGTACGGAGTGAGGAGCCCGAATTGACTAGCCGGACGACCCAGCGGGCCCGGTTGGCGCCGAGCTTGACCACTTGAGATGGCCGCCACCATGAAGCGAATGGAGGCAATCGACGTGGTTTCGCTTGCTGGCTCGGGCTATACCACGCTTGGACCAGGTACAGTGACACCATTGTCCGTAGAGCATGCTCCGTGGTGCACGATTAGTGTCTACTATGACTCTGTACTGTAGTATCTGGTTACCTGCGATAAATCACATTCCCCCTTTTTCCCCCTAAAGTTGTTCCTCCCCATGCTACTGATCCCCCGCTTCTCACTCGAAGCCTCGTCACTGCTACGCAGACTCATGGATCCATACGTGGGATAGAGCTTGGCAGAGTGGTCAGTGATCGATAGTCACCAAGCTTGAGGGTTAGTGTCCTGTCAGTACCGTGGTGATGGTGGTGGTGGTGGTTGTGGAAGGATGGATCGTAAATCGTGTAAAATGCAGTACATGCATGGGCGCTCATTTCCGAATCCTGGCAAAATATAGTCCGTAGAGTTATCATACTCACTCATTAGGCGGATGTGTGATGTGCTGGTGAACCCTGCCACACCACGAGGATTTTGGCCCCTCGGCTTATTGTCCTGGCGATTGCTTGTCTCTTGATGGTGTAGTGGTGTAGTGGTGTGTGTGCAGTGTGCATTGTGCAGTGTGCAGGAGCACATGTCTTGTACCCTCCACGGGCAGTTTCATCCTCTGGAAGTACAAAATTACAAAGTACACCTCCGTGCAAGACTTCTATAAAAGAAGAAAAACCCGAAAAACACTCACCACCCGTGCGGTCCATTGGTTGGGGAAATTGGTCCACCAGGAGATTAAAGCAGGGGGAGTCAAGATGCAAAGCCAATAACACCGGTTCATTCACGGGATGAAACGGGGCCATCCTCTCTGCAACCTCCAATCCACGGATGGTGCCTGCGCCAGGGGCTCCACTGCAGGAAATTAAATCATATCAACAATTGTTTGCAACGGCCTGTTCGGCTGGCCATGAAACCTCCCTAATTCTCTTGCAGGGCACGAGGGGAGGGAAGATCGGCTGATATTCAGGTTACTTTCGTACTGCACTTACTGTTTGTTACTGCCTACTGCCATCTTTTAGGACTTCTCAGTGTATGGTGCCTGGTAACGCAAGTGTACCATCCATCGGGAGTTAATCAAATGAAAAAACAGATAACTTATTAGAACAAACTAACAACCTCTGGTGTTCTCCTTTCCACTCCACTTCCCCCCTCCTCTTAGTCTCTCTTTCACTGTTCACCAATTCTCCAGTCTCTCGCTCACTTTCTTTTAAAACTACTCTCCTTTCCCCGTCTCGGATTGATTCCGTCAGACTGCTACTTTCTCTCTCTCAACTGTTCTCTGTGCTAGAGACCGTTGCTTCGTTCTTTCGAACCCAGTCATTCATTATCCAACTTTGTTGCGAATAGATTTCGTGACTCACATTCGTTCAACCCAAGCACTCTACCGCAGTCTCTACCCTAACACCAAACCAAAAAAAAACCCCCATTTGTAAACCACCAAATCACCAAGATGCAGCTCACTACCAAGGTCTCTGTTGCCCTTCTGGGTGCTCTCGCAGCGGTTGGCGAGGCTAACATCCACCACAACCTGCACTTTCACGGCCGTGATTTTGGCTCCAGCTCCGCTGTAGTCCCCGTTGTCGCTGCGCCCACCACCACTGTCCTGCCCCCGGCCCCTGTTGCTGCCACCAGCTCCGCCTCGACGGCTGTTGCTGCCACGACCAGCGTGGCTGTCGCTCCTCAGGACACCACCGCCGCCTCCGTTGCTCCCGTTGCGCCCTCTTCCCAGGCTGTGGCTCCTGCCGGCACCTCTTCCGTGGCTGTTCCCCCCGTTGCGCCTGTGAGCTCGGCTGTAGTGGTGCCTTCGGCTCCTTCCTCTGCGCCGGTGGTGCCTGTTGGTCCCTCCTCCGTGCCTGTTGTCCCCGCCCACTCCTCTGTGGTGGTGCCCGGTGCTCACTCTTCGGCCCCCGTGCCTCCTTTCCCGTTCTCTTCGGCCGTCTCGGCCATCACCTCCGCCCCCGTTCCTCTTGGAACCGGCGTGACCAAGTCTTCCGGCTCTACCAGCTCCGCGGCTGGCTCGGCCTCCGGAGCTGGCGCTGCTTCCTCTGGCGCTGCTTCCTCTGGCGCTGAGTCCGTCTCCACCGACTATGAGACTCTGACCTCCACCAAGGATGTCACTCTTACCTACACCCTGGGTGCCGGTGCCTCCAAGACCGTTGTGACCACCACTGTTCACCGCACCGTGACTGACGTCGAGACCGTCTATGTGGTATGTTGCTGTGCTGTTATTTTCAATTGAACCCAACTAACACCGTATGTAGACCCCTGGAAGCCACAGCTCGAGCACTGCCAGCGCCGCGGCTCAGGACACCACTGTCACCTCCACCTCGACTGCCTATGCCACTTACACCCTTCTGGCTGTTCCCTCGTCCACTGGTGCCGCTAGCTCTGCTGCCACCTCTGGCAGCTCCTCCAGCTCCGCTACCTCCGGCTCCGCTACCTCCAGCTCGTCCGGCGACAGCTGCGCTCCTGTCACTGTCACTGTGCACGACACGGTCACTGTGGTAAGTTGATTGCGTGGAAACTTCAACTATGATCATGCTAATTCCTGTAGACTGTGACTCCTACCACTGCCGCTGCTATCACCGCCACCCCCGACACCAACGTCGAGGTTGCCCAGCCCACCACCAGCGCTGAGGAGACCACCTCCGCCTCTACCTCCGAGGCCTCTACCAGCACTGCCACTGTTGTCCCCACCCCTCGCCCTCCTTTCGGCCACAGCAACGGCACCTTCCCTTACCCTAGCGGTGCGGCCCGACCCACTGGTTTCCAGACCAGCAGCAGGGCGGCCTTCCCCTCGCACTTCCGCCGCGTCTACTAGGTCCCCAGCCTGGCTTTTTCGTCTGTACTGAGAATTGATCCTGTGGCGTAAAGCTTGCGCTGGCCTTTGTACCTATGAGAGGATTTCATGTTTATTTTCTGGTACAAACTTGACATATTTTCATCTTCATTCACCTAGTCTATACCTTCCATTCTCGCCCTATCCGACTCGGCACGGGAGACCGCGCAGTGGCGGTAGTTGTTCAATTCTTGGGGTCCGTGAGATCCTACCATTACCAACGGGGTTGTTTCTTCGATTAGTTTCTCTGTGAGACCTCTCATGGGACGTGGATTGTACAGCGGAGGCCCGAGCGGAGGTTCCGGTTGGAGAAAACGGCTTGGGACATTTGTGTATCCATGTGAAGAATAGATCCTAAGTGGAGTTTACGACCATCCGATGATGATCTTTGATAACGACAGCGAATTGATTTGCAGTTACAATGCGTGCATACGTAGATCTTTCTTTGGTAAATTCTAGAGTCTAGTTCGTGCTGGCAGCTGCAGCGAGATTTCTGCCAGCTGCGTGGGATGGTGGATGCAGTGATCGCGCATCACCTGCCATTCCAGCCAAGTGACTCCCTGGACCAAACAATCTGCCAGATCGTCGAGCTTACCGATGTCCAACCACTCGGCTTCTGTTTTTGTCTTCTTGGACTTCGTCTTTTTTTTCTCCCACTGGGTCCGATATGCTTCGACCCATTGGTGTAACTCCTGGTGGTCTGCCACCGCCAGGTGCCCGGGTTGGGGGTTGTCTGGGCCAGTGGCATTCCGCAACCAGTTGCCCACCAGATCCATCTTCATGTTCTTGACTTCGCGGGTGCTTTTCTTTCTTTTCTTTGGCTCAGTCGAGAAGGATGGTTCTTCCGCCGCTGCAACTGGGAGCTCCTCCTGCGTCTGCTTCTTCTGCGTCTGCTTCTTGCTGCTCCTCTTACTTTCGACTATCTCCAGATCTTCAACCTGCCCCTGTCTTTGTGCCTGTCCCTGTTGTCCCTCGAGAGATCCCAACCCATCATCACCCTGCTCATTAGCCCCACGAACCCCATCCCCCCAAAGCAACCCAACCCCATCATCCCCGAATTTCCACTCTAACGCCTTGTCCACGCAATACCGACTCACCCTCCCGGGCTCCACGCCCCAAACTCCCGGCGGTGGTGGTGGTAGTGCGCCTCCCGCAGTTCTCCTCCCCGGGCCAACCAGGAGACCCTCCCACTCCCGCCGCAACGCATACAGCACCGCATGCAACATCCCCTCAAACACCCCCACGCGAATCGTCCACTCCTGCACCGCCGACGATCCGCCCGTCCGGAACCGCTGACGCTCGATCAGCACGTGCGTCGGCCGGTAGCGGGCCAGGAGGGTTGTGAGGAGGGTGTAGGCGTGGTGGGCGTGGCGGGTGGGAGAGAAATCTTCTTCTTCTGCTGCTGCTGCTGCTGCTGCTGCTTCTGCTGCTTCTGCTGTTGCCCCTATTTCTGTTGTTGTTGTTGTCGTTGTTGTTGCTGCTTCTGTCGCTTCGGCCTGCTTGTCCAAATCGGAAATGGAGAGGCGGCGCCACGCGTTGAGGGTGAGAGTGGGGAGATTGCTTTGTAGTGGTGATGGTGGTGCTGCCGCAGCTGCAGCTGAGTCCTCATGTGTACCCTGACTGGGATCCTTGGACTTTCCATCCGCATCCACCGAGGAAGACCCCGGAGGAGGCGCAACCAACAAATGCGCAAAGGCCAGATTGCGAATCCCCATGTCGATGCTGAGGATACTCATGCTCGGGCCCGGATGGAGGGGAGTGGGGGTCGTTTGGGGTGATTCTTGTTCGCGTTCGCTGCCACTCCCACTGCCACTCCCCACATGGCAGGGGCGACGGAACTCGCATTGCAGCAGCTCGGTTTCCAATCGACGGATGAGCACGGGCTTTCGGCCGCCGGTCTTGATGCCGGTGCGTTGGGCGAGGCGCTGGAGTTGGGTGGCTTTGAGGGTGTGCAGGGATGTTGAGATGGCTCCTGCTGCTGCTGCGGCTGCTGCTGCGGCAGTGCTGGCGATGGTGGTGGTAGGGGTGCGCATTTAGAGGATGGAGATGGAAATGAGGCTATTCGTAACGCAAATTGGTTTTGGTTGTGATGAGCCCAGTCAAATCCTGGATTAGCTCATGCATGAGCTTTGTGAGATTACGGGTAGCTGAGATAATTATGCTTGGTCCATGGTCATGTTAGTGGTTTGCATCTAGAACCGAAGTTCGTGCAATGCAGCAGTATAAAGTCCATTAGATATAAATAAGTTCCAAATAAGGGAACGAGTTGATGTGGATGTCAGGGCGGAACGTTGATCTGGGGTGATTATGTAATGAGCCATATCATCAGCAGGAGTATACAAGTAACTGTAGTTGATTATCTACACACCGTGCTGTTTCTCTCTTCCTGTCATGAATCACTCAGTGTAGTAACATGTACTCGAAAGACTAGCATCCAGGATTTGGAATCCTCATTTGCAACGCACCCTGCGACAAGCTAACTACCCCCGAATGCTCGAGAGGGTGGAATATGCTGGCTGAAACAGGCCTGCCACATACTCTCAGAGCTTCTTAACTGTGAGTCGGTGGAAGGTATAGGTAGAAACTTGAGTCGGAAATTAGATGCCAAGTACCCCGAAGACCCTTTTCACTAGTCTTGAATGGATTCATACGATGGGTTCCATGGCACAGGATTCGATCCACTTTGACAAAAGTACTCGATCCCATACAGTGTTTGCTACATGATATAATGCAAGATATTTAGCATATGTTATGAGACAGTCTCGAGATTCAGTGAAACTCAGTGTTCCTCATCTCTAACGAAAAAGCTTATCAACGTATTAGAATTTTTGTTAAGCTAGAATGTGACTGTCACATCTAATTGCACCCGGGTGACTTTTGCACCAAAACCGCCTCCTTCACCAAGGCACCAATTGAAGACAAGAACAGATTATATATGCGCTCTTCCTCCTCCCAGTATCCAACGCCCAAATCCCCAATCAAAAAAACCGATGCAAACACGCTGAAAAACTGCATGAAACTCACACCAACTCCCTCTGTGTCACAGGAACATGTCACCGAATGAAAAAAAATCAAGACTTGGTCTATTGGCCCGTCCCAGTGGCCTCGGGATCAGAAGGTGGCCGAGCGTGCCACGTCATACACCTCGTTCGACGGAATGGTCGCCACGTCAGTTGGTGACACGCTCACGCGCACGTAGAGAATCGGCGCCCATACTCGCCAGTGTAGCACGCCCATATGTGCCAGTCGCATGGAGATGCGTTCGACGTCATAGTGCTGCTGGTGGCCCATGCTGGTCGTGGGGGGGAAGTTGCGTTGCGACTCGCAGATCGCGAGCGGGGACATAAGCAGGTACTTCTTCGCCGTTGCGAACGTGGCAGCCAGCAATTTCTCGCGCAGCGAGCTCTGGAAGTACTGGAAGAGGTTCGACTCATTGGACAGGTGCCATTCCAGGGCAGACTCGATGGATGCGAGCACCTCGTCCGAGACCGTGCCGTCGTTGCAGCAGGCGGCATACACGAACCGGGCGATTTCCAGCGCCATGCAGCGCACGTTTTTGACCCATTGCGGCGAGCCCCGCGTGCAGTCCTCGTTCTCCTCCATTAACGATCCGATGCGTGAGCGGAAGGTGGCGTATGTTTGAGCGGGAGCCGACAGGTACCGTTTCTGCGTGTGGATGTAGGATTCGAAGATGAACCAGCAAATGTCCAAGTTAATCAGATTCTGGAGGCAGGTCCGGAGTTGCCACAGGCGCTCCGAGTCAAAGACGAATGTTTCCGGAAATGCTTCCGGAGTGTGGAACTGGAGCAAAAGGTCGGTGATGCCACGAAACAACACCGAGATCGGCCACAATCCGTCCGTCTGTGCGGGCTTGTCCATTGGTCGCACCTCCCGCTCCTGCGCTTCCAGATACCAGCGTCGCGACGACTCAACCCGGAAATTATCCCTCTCGATCTTCCCCCGAAAATACTCCTGCAGGAAAGGAACGGTGTCTTCAATGAGAAGCACTCTAAAGGCGCGAATCTGGTGGTTTGCAACGTCCTAAAGCAAGCAAGTTAGTTCTCTGTTCTCTACCTCTGCGCATCACTTCCCCTCCAAACTCCCGGGGCGCATTGCGCAAGGCAAAACCAACTCCTTACCAGTTTCATAGCCTCTAGAATGGCGAATAACGTTTGTAGACCGCTGACGATCTCCATCGGATTCTGCGACTGCGACCCTGACCTGATCTGCTCCACCATGCGGTCCGCCCATTCATCCCGCATCGGGGCGCAATGCGTTTTGAGGAGCCCTGCTAGCCAGGTGGCCACGCGGACCATATCTAGCACACCTTTTTGGATCTGCTGCATGAGTAGAGATACTTCGAGATTCTGCATCACGCTCGGATGATCGCGTTCGGGCACCAGGGTCTTCAGAACATCCTGCAAGGTTTCGAACATGGCGGGTAAACGGGGTTCGAAGGCCTGTCGCTGGTCGTTCTGCGCATTGTCGGCAGGTCCGACAGCCGCGGGAGACGAGTAAAAGGCGTAGATGGAGATCTCCACGGCCATGGCTTCCCAGTAATCCGCCGCCTCTTTGCGTTTCCGCCTACCTTTCTCTCCGTCGAGATCGGGCTTGAAATGCAGGTCGCGATCAAAGTTCGCATCCATTCGGAGGTTGATGTTGCTCATGATGCACGGCAGATCCAGCTCGCTCAATGTGCTTTTCGTCACCGGGGGATAGCGTTTGGCGGTCAACAACAGTCTGTGATCTTCGCAACGGAGCCCAACGGCCGTGGGAATCTCTAGACTTTTCGACGAAGACGATGACGGGCTACCCGTCGCCAACACGATCGGAGAGGGAGACTGCGGAGCATGCTCACGATAGACGACCCGGTCGATTGACCGTTGGCGCGCGTCTGCGGCATCAGGACAGTCGGTCGCATCGCAACGATCCAGCGAGTCGTTCTTGGGAGACTCCTTCGCATGGCCGCTTCCTCCATAGGCTTCCAAAGGACAGTCTGTGCTTTCCTCCTGCTGGCCCGGTGCACCCCGGCGGGCCTCCTTGGTTTTTTGAAAGTCCATCTCCATCCGATCCCCCAGATGCCCAAGCAGAGAACGGCGATGAGGCTGGAGAGAGAAGAAAAGGGCGATGGCTGAGGTTGGGGTGGTTAAGGGATGGCAAGATAGTAGTTAAAGTGGGCCAAGTGAGACTTTGATAATCTGGGGCTGCACCTAGATCGTGGGGACAACGGGCATTTCCTTGGTGATAGACGCAAGGCACCGTAGCCCTATACCAGACGACGACAACCGACTCGACTGTGATCCCTTTCCAGCGACCCTTCTGTTAGTCCTTGCCTGCGGTCGACAGGAATTCAAGGCGAGGGAGGGGAAAATAGTGCGCACCTGATCTTGGTCAACGACGTCGATCGCAGGTGTCGATCATTCAACGGGTAGGTTGTGGAGGGTTGGTTGGAAGTGTGTATGGATTGATACCAGAGAGAATGACCAGTGGTGGTGGTTGTATCGCGGAATATGGCTCCCTGTGATTTTGGTGTAGAGAACTTCCACCACTTTGTCGCGACCGATTTCTGCTTGCTTTGATTCTTTGCAGACGGATCCCAGTGTCACCTTGCGCACAGATTGGAGCTGTATAGATCGAAACGAGAAGACCAGCGACAGTATCAGTCCCACGCTACGCCAAAACCATGAAGGGAGTAACCGAGAGTGAAGCCAAGTAGATACGCTTCACTGCGGATAGCCAGTAGGCGACGATGACGACGACGACACACTAATCGACCGTACAAACCGACAAGATCAAAGGAACAACTTTTTTGATAGCAAACTGCGGTTGAAGATTCCGAAGAGTAACCCTGCACTACCCAGGGGGAGGGGGGGAGGGGAGGCTTGTGCTGGAAGGGCAAAGGGGGTTCAGGGTGCAGTCAGTCAGTGAGTGTGAAGAGGGAAGTGAAAAACAACACCAGCCAAGTGTGAATGAACTACACCGATCCTAAAGAAATTGGTCAATGAAAGACAAGGTCAGGTCGCTTCTGCACCACCGCATTGACTGGTCAGACCCGTGTGAAAAGGAAAAGAAAAAAAAAGCACCAGAATAAATTAAAAAACAATTGAGCAGAAGAGAGGCAACTGAGCCTTTTGCAGGGGCAGAGGGAAAAAGTGAGGCTGATCTAATCTAGACGCTTGCAGCAACTACGAACTTTCCGGGTTTTGTTCTGGCTCCTGGAAACGGGCAATCCCTAGTCACATAGTGGATGACGTGGGATCAGATGGGAAGAAGTATGGAGTCGATTTAAAGATAAAGAGGGTTGGTTGCCTTTCATCAATTATGGATAAGTGGGTAATTGGGTAGTAATGGGTAATGGGTATAGTACTTGGAGTAAGAAGAAGGGGATCATTCATGCCCTTGACAGACCAGACAAGAAGTGTATGTAAAAGGTGGAAAAAAAGGCGACGAAGAAGAAGATGAAGAAGGGAAAGTCAATTCCCGCAGCACACCAGCGGGAATCCCTGATGATTGAGGGACTCCACCCCAGCAGCATTCCTCGCAATCAGGGCACGGTATCGTGTGCGATCTCACACCTCGGGCGTGTGCCGGTTTCAATGCTGCTACCCGGCAGGGTGGGAAGGCCCTCTGAGTAAATCCAAGCCAGATGGTTACTGTATGGTATGTAGTTGATGATTATCAACTCCGGGTGGAGGAGGAGAGAAGGCGGAGAGATCGGTGGATTCCCACTGAATCATAGGAGGTGCAAATGGATGCAGCCTGCCGTTGACTGTGTTCGGATGGATCTGGAGACCGGATTCATCGAAATCCGAACAGTTCTTTGACTTTTCTTGGGGGTTCTCTTTGATGGCAGATTCGAAGCAGGGGATGGCCGGGCATTCCACGGACCTATGATACGGAGTACCTGGAAAGTAAACTTTAGTAGTTAATATCATACTCAGTAAGTAGTAAGTATAACTTTTTTAGCTCTTCCGCATGCATAGTATCGAGTGATTTACTTCATCTATCCCCCTTTCCTCCGTACAAATCATTCTGGTTCCCTCTCGTAGGGCGGCACCATGCAGCATCATGCAGCATGGGATCTCGATGGATCACGGAGCATCAGCATCCATTCGCATCATGCCATCAGCTTGCCTGCCTGCCTGACTGCCTGCCTGCCTGCTTGCTTGTCTGCTTGCTTGCTTGCCTCGTGTGCACACCACCACTAAATTAGTTTGGTAAAGTAGTCAGTCTAGTAAGTCACCCGAGAGTATTTCGGCAACTCTGCAATCTCTACTACTGGTAAGTATTCCGTACTACTTGTTGTGGCCGATTGGTTCCAACCCTAATAGTCGGGCGTCAGACTCATCCATCATTATTCCCTCCGCGTCGATTGCCGTAATGTATGGCCAATTGCCAACCGGAGGGTCCGCTTTTCCCACCGACACTTTCATATAAAGAAGTCCCTTTGCAACCACTGGCGTCTGCAACCATGGGGTAAAATTCTTTTGATTTGTTTTTTTTCCCCTTGGGATGGGATTGATATGATATACGGAGTAACTAGCTACTAGTAGATCGTAGTAGATACGTCCTCGATGTCGACTTCCGGTCGGGGTGGATCCCCGGCGTGGTAGCATCGGTAAGTGCACCCGAGCTAGCAATGCTATCTCTATTTCTCAGCAGCAACCACCTGATATCTATCCCAAGGTCCCGGTCGGATGGTTTCTGTAAGTGCCAATTGACTCCTGAGACAGCAGCTGCAGTCGCTTTAAGGACTGTACGGATTGCTAGGCGAGACAGCTGTGAGAAAGTTACTCGAGTGTAGTGACGGACAGCGGAAAACGTCCTTCGAAGACTGTGGCCGGACCATTCGATCCTTCATGCTGCGAATAAAGGGGCGAAAGCTGGTTTAGCGCCTCACTTTTGTTGAGCACTGATCACCGATCAGATACTCCACGCGTTGCCGCCTCATTATCGCGGGTCAGGACGGCGCAGTGGCAAGAAGCGGTGTTAGGATAGACCCAGTTCTTCTTGTTCCCCCCCCTCAAAGCTGCAGGGTTAATTCCCAGTCTAGACCCATCATTGGCTCCGCGTTGCGCTCCCACAGCCGGGGCGGAGAGTTGGAGGACTTTTGACGTAAACGTCAAGTATTACGTTAAAAATTACGACGAGTACTTAGTAGGTGCAAGTGGATTGCCCCGTGAGGTTTCATTTGCAGTGAAGATGAAGAAGCAGAAGAAGAGGAGGAAGAATGAATGAGCTGAGGAAAAATCCAGAGTAGCCGGGCGGTATCTCAACCCGTGATCGAGTGCCAGGCCCTAATCAGGTGACTTCCTTGATTGACTCTTTGTCGACCTGAATAAACAGGTGTCTATTGAGAGCAAGATCAGATTGATCCAGTGTTAGTATCAGCGAGCTTCAGAGTAGATGGGATGGATATAATGAGCAAGAACTCGGGCAATTGCCCGTATAACTCCCACTGCTTGCAGCGAACAGTGACCTACTATGACCTACTAAGATGTTTCTGGCTGCCATACTATATCCCCTGATCAATATTCTCTGGGCACTGCTGCCACTCTTGCGCTCGGCCCGGCCCTCGAATCGACTGCCACTGCTGGATAGTATCTCCCAGTTCGAGGTCCATTCGCTGCCCGGCGCACCACCTTCCTCTCTTCCTACCAGTTGGGCTGGCCGGATTCCTGTTCCAGATGCGAAACCCGGCAATGCGCTGTTTTTCTGGCTCTTCCAGGCCGAAGACCCTGCGTACGATGATAACCTCATCAGTGGGTATATACCCGCAGTACAAACCCCCGGCTATAACTGACCAGGAGTCGACCAGTATGGTTCAATGGCGGGCCTGGATGTTCGTCCCTGATCGGACTTATGTCCGGCAATGGGCCTCTCGCCTTTGTGGGCAACTCCACCGAACTCATAGGCAATCCGTATTCCTGGACGCGACTGGGCCATGTTCTGTATATCGACCAGCCCGTCGGAACGGGACTCTCGACGGCGAGTGAGCCCTATCCTCTGTCCGACAATGAGGGAGTGACAGCCTACCTCTACGCGTGGCTGCAGTCGTTCTTCGTCTATTTCCCCCAGCTTCGAGCCAAGCAGATCCACCTCATGGGCGAGTCCTACGCGGGGATATACATTCCCTACCTCGCCGCCACTATCGAGCACCACCAGGCCTCGTTTCCGCTGAATCTCCGCTCTCTGTCCCTGGGCGATGCGACCTTTGGCCATGCCATCGCCATGTCCACCATCCCCGCCGTAGCATACCTGCGCTCCCAGCAATCACGTCTCCAGATCCCACCCGATATCCTGGATGCATTCATCGAAGCCGACTCCATCTGTGGCTTCGACCGAGTACTGGAGCAAGCCGCACGATATCCCCCCGCGGGACCCATCACCATCCCCGACGCTGCCGAGGACGATAACGAGACCGACCAGCAAACATGCAGCAGTGACACAACAGCAGCAGCAGCAGCAGCAGCAGCAGCAATAGCAATGCAACAGTCTCTAACCACCCCGGAAGGGATCCTCTCTGCCATCCTCAACTCCACCACCTGCGACGGTTCTTGCGCGACATTCTCCACAGCCTCGAGATACCTCTCTTCCTCTACCACCACCACCTCGCAACCCCACAACACCAGCAATACCCTCCATCATCAATGTTTCGACGTGTACGACATCACAAACAACTGTACCACCATCGACCCCCTGCCCCTCCTATCCTCATATTTCAGCCGACCCGACGTCCAAGCCGCACTTAATCTACTCCCAGCAGCAGCAGCAGCAGCAGCAACAACAACAAAATCTCAATCCTCCCCCCTTCCAACCCCGGCAAACAGCCCCAATGCCAATCCGACCAGCACCACCACCCACAATGAAGAGCCCCCACCCCCACCCCCCCATCATCCCGGCTCTCAGACCCCAAGAACATACCTCCCCTGCAACGACACCATCCGCACCCTCATCCTCCGGGATGGCCAACTCCCCGCCCCACCAGCAGACACCCTCCTCCCCACCCTCCTCAACACCCACCGGGAGCTGGCCCTGCATATCTACGCCGGGGACAGCGATTTCCTGCTCAATCATTATGGGATTGAGCTGGCCCTGCAGAATATGACCTGGCGCGGGGGAAGGGGCTTCGAGCGGTCGTTCGCGGATCGGTATTTTTATGTAGATGAGAAGGGGTGGTTGCGTGATACGATTCCTTCCTCTTCCTCCTCCTCCTCCTCCTCCTCAACTGGGGGTTCAGCACAAGCAGCACAAGCAGCACAAGCCGCACAACCAGCAGGGCTCTGGACCTCCTCCCGAGGAGTCACATACCACCTCTTCTGGGACGCGGGCCATGCGGTGTTTGCTAAGAAACCGCGGGAGATGTTTGCTTTTGTGAGGGCGGTGGTTCGAAGGGGGGGGGGCTTTGGATGAGCAGGGATCGTGACCATGACCATGAATGATAACTTAGATTCGGGCGAGAAGGAAGGGAAGTAGTCTCCAGTAAACTTTATACAGTAACTACATAAATAGGTTGAAAAAGTCCCGAGGAGCAAAACAGAATTGAGTGGTGTTGGGGGTAGAGCTGCTGTGGTGCAAATCGTTAACTTCAAACTGGTAAATTCCTTTTCTTTTCGCACTGAGATATTGTAATCATGATCGTCGTTGCATACATACACCAATCTGCCATCTGGAGGAACGTGGGTTGTTGATGTCTCATTTATTGGACCCTGGATTCCAATCATTGACCCCCTCTTTTTTTTTTTTTTTTTTTTTTTTTTTTTTTTTTTTGTGGGGGGGAGAGATGGCTTTCGATGCAGAGGCCACCCGCATCGTGCATGCAATTGCAGTAGGGGCGAGGTGCTGGTGGAAAAAAAGGAGAAAAAGAAATAAAAAAAATAAAAAAAAAAGCTAACTTACCGGAAACCACCCCGACTGTTTGGCTGAGGATCCTCCTGTAGGTAAGGTCTTTGAGGTTGGTACTGTGACTGCTGCGCCCAGGAAGTCAAACTTGACTTGTTATGCAAGGAAACTGTGATTCACTTTTCTTGCGCTAAGGTAAATGTTTACACGCTTCTCCCTCTATCAGCAGGAGACAACAAAAATCAGATACATGATGGTTCATTTCGCCTTAGTCTTCATAATGCATGGTCAAAAATCAATAAGGAATAGAGCACGCTATGCAAAGTCCGTCCCCGCAGAATTTGACATTCGAAAGCCGTACGCCGCCTGTTTTCAAGCCCCAACTCGATGTCCCCCCTGTACCTTGGTGTGTCGGTAGGAAAACAAATATGTAAAGAAATGCGGTACACCTGCAGCAAAATAATGGTAACCGCACCGGTGATATCGCATAAGGCACGTAGAGATGATGATGTGTGATGTCGCGGACATGGATGGATGTGAAAATTGCTGACTGAGCCAAGGGCAACAAAAATGAAACCATGGCCATCGAAGCACATTGTCGCAGCACCTGTGTCGCAGTGGTATAATGACTCAGACTTTAATAAAAATGAAGACTGCTTTTCAACGACGCGCAAAGAACGGTGCCTGGCTCGGCATCGAGAGCAAAGAGTCGGCGCGTTGGAAGACATCCCCTTCGAAGAACTTGTCGCTGTATGCGCTTGCCGGGGTAGAGGGTACGGTCGCCTGCGCAGCGGGACCGAGGGCGGCACTCAACGGCGTTGCAGGAAGATGGACCGATGGCGATAAACTCGGCCCATGATGGAACGTATTAGCTGAGACCGAGGTCTGGTGCTGTGAATGCTGTGCTTGTAAAGGGGGCCCATAGATATTGGCCGGGGGATTGCCGGGGTTCATATCCGCGAGAAACGACCAGGGCGAAGCATCGATCAGGCGCCCAGCCTCTCTGCTCGATCTCTGAATAGGACGAAGCATGTGGACGATGTCGTTAGGAAGAATCTTCATATTTCGAACCTCCTTCATGTCAATGACAAGGTCTACGAAGGACTGCAGGAATGCCTTGCACGTGTGCCAGAAGTCACGCGAGTTTCGCATTCCACCGCCAGGTTCCTTCACCTTCATGTTTGAGAGCTTGGAGCCCAAGCCCTCTGACACATCCAGACACGTCTGGCAGCGATTGATGAGATTTTTCCAGAGCATGACAATACCCTCCGACTTGCGGGTTTGCTCTGCCAGTTCGAGACATCGCACTAACTGAGAATACGCCACCGGCAAACCCTGGAGGGCAGCGCTACACGCCGAGTTGAGCTGGCAAAAGATCTTTTCGAAAATACGTTCTTCCTCAATCTCATCCAAACCGGTCATTGGGTTTATTCGAGGCACAACAGAGCTCGGAATAGCAGAGAATGACTCGCCTGAACGAGGGGTCGCCAGCGAGGACGGTATGGAGGTGTTGATATGGTTGGACCTGCTACTGGAACGACTCCGTGCGGCGAAACTGAATGACGTCGGGCCAAACCCTGGCGAGCTGACTGCGGACTGGTACTGCGATGCTGCCTGGAAAGGCCCATTCATAACAATCTGAGGATGGTGGATCGTCGTGTCACTCCGGTACCGACGTGTTGAGAAAGACTGCTCTCTTCCCCGTGTGGGTGTCACGGTTGGGCCCAGAAACCGGTCCGGACCGGCGGATTCCTTGATTTCTGGTATTGGCATTTTCGAAGGTGGTTTATGACTCTTCCTAACGGGTACCCCCAGATGTGCACACGCATTGCGCAATTCCACCATGCTACCAAATATCATCAAAATCAGCGAGCGTACATAGCACGACTCGCCATTGCTGACTATCTTGTCAATGCTATTTCGTAGCTGCGTTCCGACATGTGTGTAAGCGATAATGCAAGTTTCACATTCCCGCTTTACCGCTTCGTTGGCCAACCGCGCCACGTCTGCTTCCTCGGACTGGGCGTGCTCCGCGTTCTCTATAGCCTCGTTGAGTCGATCGACATGGGTGGATGCATTGTAAAAGACTATCTCGAGGCTATTCCGGCGGGCGTCTTCGCGCTTTATGACGTTGATCAAGGAGGTAACGTTAGATTGAATCTGGAAGAGAGCAAATAAAATGCACTTTGCACTTGCGATGATAGGCTCTGCTGTTGCCTTCTCGGCCTTCTGTTCCGGTAGGCTCGACATGCGATTCACGAACCCGTCCTTCAAGCGTCTGCGTTCCCTTGGACTACTAGGGCTGGAGGAATTGCTATTGGATAGGGCGCCAGAGGGCCTAGTACGAAGGATCGAGCCGTAACTTAGACCTCGCAAATGGCTATTCCGATAGGGACGCGTCTCATCGAGAGTTCCAAGATCTGTGTTTTTCCGAATAACCCCCATCCGCTTGTTACGTGCCGCGAGAGAGGCTTGGATAATGCCTTCGCTGTTGCTTCGGTTGCGTTCATTGTACCCCGCAAAAGGCTTCGCTCCGGGACGTTGAAGTATAGAGCCGTGGAAGGCAGGGTTGTGCCCTGAAGCGATGCGATAGTGAGATTTCATTGGGATGGGTGGTGGCCGACCCAGAGAGGGTGACTTAGGGTCGGAGGCACCGTCGCCGGTACTGGGAATCACGGGGAATCGGCTGCTCATTCCACGCTTGAGAGGTTTCGGAGTATCCAGCATGACCTCGCTGCAAGCCGTGGTATTAGTTTCGCTGCTAACGCACCGCGGAGATGAGAAGATTTACCTTGGGTCATATCTCTCCAGTTCCAAAGGCGCAACAGGCTGCTTCGTTTTCAGAAATCTTTTAAGCTCGGCGGTTACTGCAACCTCCTTCTCATTGTCAGTTAGACTCGAGGGGCCAAATTCTGTCTCGGAGCTTTCGATGAGCCGTCGCAGGGGGTACCGCAAGGGGTTCCCGGCTACTTTCAGAATTTGAAGCTTGTTCATGTCGGAAATCCCAAGCGGTAAGTCGTCAAGGCGGTTTTGCATGACCGAAAGAACCCTGAGTGAGGATAGCTTTTTTATCTCTTCCGGAAGGTGGCTGATTTTGTTTCGGCTGATGTCTAGGATCTCGAGGAGGGGCAGCTTGTAAATCTAGAATCGATATTAACATCCACTAAAGCGGTTCTTTGGGCTGGGGCCGGGGTGTGACGCACTCCTTTGGGAAATTCACGGAAACTGTTCGCACGGATATTAAGATATCGTAGATGACGGCACTCCGCAAATCGATAGGGAATGTGGACCAGCTGGTTGTTTGAGAGTGAGAGTCTATCTGTGGTTAGCTTGTCCAGGCAGATGGCGCCTGGTGTAGCAGGACCCTTTAGGGATTAGAAGGTAACATACCGCTCAACTTCGTCCTTAATAGTGTCAACAACCGACTCAGGAATACGTGAGATATTGGAGTGGCCCAAGTCTATGGTCAACTTCGGCTTGACCACGTCGGTCACTGCCTCACTTCCAGCAAGCGAGCGTTTTGTTTCTTGGATTCCATTCTCGACCGCCCGGCGGGCGAGTTCAATTGTCTCTTCGGTTGTCAACAAGCGGGGTCCTGCTGGATGTTTGCCTGTGGTACCATTGCCGTCACCTGTGGCTCCGTTGACAGAAGGAACCTCATCTTCACTTTTGGCCAGCGCATCTATCTTAGAGGAAGATACCATTGAAGGGGGCACCAATGAGGCGGGCACCAACGAGGCAGGCAGGCTTTGCTCCAGAGATGGTCTGTCATGGTCATCTTCGTCCGCATCGCCACGGTAGGCGAAGGGCATCCTGATGGTGTCCTCCGGGCGCACCATTGTTGACAGCATGTTGGGAGATGTACGGAGGAAGAGAGTCTATGCGATCGGCCTGGCGCTGGAAGGGTTCGAGACTTGTAGGTCAGGATTCAAAAAGCTTCAGATCGCCAAAATGTCTTTGGAATGGGTGCTGTCTGCAGGACGAAGCATGATCGATAAGCAAACAGACGGAGTAACGTGTCGAAGAAGGAAAAGACCAGAGAAAGATGTAAAGGAGGCGACAGTGTGTGAGGTTGGCGTGAGGCGCGCAGCCAGGCCCGGGCGGCACTCGTTAGGCTTCAAACGGATGAGGACTTGCTCAAATCCGAACAACACAAGAATCACGAGACTGACGTGTTTCGTGATAAGTCGATCAAACAATTCAAGGGATGGTTCAGACGATCGTAAGCCAGTACAAAGTCCGAAATCCGATGATGGGGTGTGGTCTAAGATGTTAACGAGATCAGGAAGGACAGACGGAGGAGGTGACAAGAGAATGAGAGACTGAAACGCGGAGAAAAAGGTTGCAGCTGTCAGAACAAAGCCACCGCAGAATCAACTGAGGGAGCCATGCAGAGAGAGAAAGGATGAGGTGGGAGTAAAAAGAGATAGAACACTACAACCAATTATTGTCTAATCAAGTTGATGACCAGATTTCGAGTTGGGGG